GCGGGTCAGGAACGCGCTTCTGTGGGCGTTGCGATGTTACACGAAGTCTACGGGCGATCAGTGCGTTCCAGGTACTGGTGCGGGGGCTCAAAACCTCCGACCAGGGCTCATAACCTGTAGGAACTGCACAGCCGTCAGACGCTCAGTCGTGGGTAACACTCGACTAAATTAGGGTTACCTGCACAGCCGTCAGACGCTATGCAGGACGTGAGTAACTATCGTAAGTATGGAACGCGGAACTCTCACCTCAGTCGTGGGTAACACTCGACTGAGGAGAGAAGAGAGGGGAAGGGGACGAGAGGACGAACCACCCCCGGCGGTCTGTCACGTGCGGTGTGGCCGAGATCGAGATCACGTGCCGCAACCTCAACAGAGTATAGCCTGCCTCAAGAAAGGGTGGCCCGATGTCTGCTTCTTTGCTCAATTCTGACACACGGGGGACTGTCACGATGATGGCCACGAACTGCCAGCGATTAGCATGTGCGATCTTTGACGTTCACGCCATGTTTCACGGTCACGACTCAGACTTGGAGCATTGGGCTCAAGATCCGAAGCCTTCTATCCGAGTCGACGGTGCGTGTCTGGTCTATGCTCATCACTCGCAGGTCTAGAGACTGACTCATTCTGATCGTAATGCAGATTGATTCACCGCGAAACATACCCGCAATAGAGTGACCTACGCAAGTCTCCGTAGTGTTGGCGAGGCTCTGGCGGATCTCCTGTTGTGTTTTCCCATTTTCGCCGTCGATGACGCACGAGTGCTCAGTACGTGCGGATCGATCTCCTTGTTGCATGGCAGAGGCCCGACTGCATCGGGCCTGGAGGTCAGCGCACTCCGACGGCGTCTTCAGGCTTGCGAAATATAAAAGGTGAGCCTATGTACAAAAAGGCTTTACACTCGTCAACGACCTCTGGCACAACGACTGGGACAAACTGCAAGCATAATGTGGAGTGGAACCCAAGTGTGGCTAGTCACCGGTGAGTGGAAAGTCGTCTTCCTCCATCGGCGGATAACGCGCACATCAGTAGAAGTCGGAAATTGCTGACGAGCTCTAACGATCGGTGACGCGCTGACCAATGCTAACGCAAATTCATTAGATACCGTCAGCGCACTACGGAACTGTCACAGTGTTAACATGTAACAGGGATTGGGGTAATTCATCCGCTTTGCTGAACTCGCGCTTACGGTTTGCTGAGCATCATGTAACGACTATCTAGTATGTTATGGGTTGACACTAGCTGTCTACCGAGTGCTGTCTCTGTAACCCACACCATCCGCACCGACTACTCCGCCTCGCGCCTGCCCGTTCTTGCCGTGTCCCGGCCCTGCCCACCGCTGATGACCCGTCCGTGCCTAATCCTCCGCGCGCCCTCGCTCGTTCTTCCGTCATGCACGCGCGGTCGCCGGTCCATTTGGCGGTGACGTTTGCGTGCTGGGCATTCGCCCGGCGCGCTCGTTGTCGCCATGTGTGTCGTCGTCGCCTGCGTGTGTTCGTCGGCCGTGTTTGTGTGCTGGGCATTTGCCCAGCGCGCTCGCGGTTGGCGTGTATGCTGTCTAACGGTTGTCCACCCAGTATGTGCGCTGACCGCTTGGCGTCCATGTTTGCGTGGTAGGCATTCGCCCTCCACGCTCGCAGTCGGCGTGCATTGCGCGTGCCCCGGCCTTGCCCAACGTTGCCGTGGCCGGTCTTTTGCTCACGCGCGTGGGGTCCGTTCGTCGGCTGTGCTTGCGTGCTGGGTATTCGCCCAGTGCACTCGCAGTCGGCGTGTGTGCCGTCGCCTCTCGCTTGCCCGTGTTCCGCGTGGGGGGTCCACTCATCGGTTGCGCTCCGACCGTGCTGGGTCTTTGGCCGCCGTGGTCACCGGTGCTCGACGCAGAGCTGAGAACGCACCTGGTCTCTTCATGGACGGTTGTGCTTCGTGATCTTGAAGTCGTGCGGGCGAGTGGCGGGCGAGTGGCGGCGTTCACGCAGATGATACGGGCGCATGTGACGCGTTTAAGGGTCGAGATGAGCAGCGGCCGCATCACGCGCGCGGTGGGGTTCGTTAGGTGGCAGCAAGCCCCTGAGGCCCGTGCGCGGTAAAGGGGAGGGAAACGTGGAGTGAGGGGCGCCACAGAGCGCGCAAATGGCTGTGCAGGGATTGAAGGAGCCGGCGAGTAGGTACTAGAGTGGATTCGAAGCGCGTTTGGTTTTGTATACTAGGTAGATTTGCGCGCGGATGAGCAGATGATTCCGGTACGTGGCCAGGCTTGTGTGTGTTGTAGGCGGGCAAGTGATTGTGCGGGTGAGTAAACAGACTGACAGGTGAGCAAGAGGATATGCACGCAGGTGAGTCAGGGTGGATGGACGTGCACGCCGGCGAGTCAGCCGCGAACGGACGTGCGCGCAAACGATTGCGTGGGCAGACAAGTACGTGGAGGGACAGTCGCGTAGCCGGGCTCGTGCGCGGGGCGGACGGTGTGCACAACGAGCAAAATACACAGGCTCACCTCCGAGTCTTCTTTTGACCCACTCGCGGCGACCCGCTCCTCCTCGCCCTCCTCGTCTGACGTAGTACCGAAATTGGCACGATGTTCATTTTGTTTTGGTCATCAACCCCGTCTTGACATGCACGCTGCCTTCATTCATGGTCAGCCAAGGCAGAGGTATAGGAAACGGGTGCACATACCATCTACCGTATCACTGGCGTTGGCCCGGTGGACAAGCCATCGCGAGCACAACGAGAGCGTGAACTGGCCGCCGGCGCTTCACGGGTTTAGGGCAAGCCACAGTGGCACTTGCGCGTCCTGGCCCAGGTGCTCCTTGGTGTCGTGGCATGTCCTCACTCTGAGTCTCGCCCGCTCACCCTCTGAGAGTCTTCTTGTCTTCTCAACCACTTTCCCGCTCCTCTGCCCGCTTGCTCGGAGCAGCGCGATATCACGAAGCACGCGTTCAACCTTCTGGGGGCGTTCGACGACATTGTCAGCTTAGGGGACCGGGACTCGGAGCAGCAAGAAGACGAGGCAAGCGGAGCTCCTCGATGCGCTCGGTGGGGACGCGTTGCTGTCTGAGGACATGTCGACGCCGGGTATGCCTGCGGCGTCGAACATCGCACCGCCCGCCCCGAAGAACGACCGCGGCAGCTTACCCACGTTCATGCTGAGAGGTATGCCCGCATCGTACATGCGCTATTCCCGAACCTCATCTAGTGTACTCAGCGTGCATGTCGTCATTTGTGAGACAATCAACGTGGAAATGATTGCATCTCGCTCGCCCTGGAGCTGCCGTGAAGGCTCGAGTAGCCAACACACCGAAGCGGGCCCAACAAGGAATGCAGGGATGTCAGGAGAACGGTAGGATATCTCCAGTGAGTACCCCGTACATCTGCCTTCTCAGTACTGCGTCCTCCACTCATTCTCTTAACATGATCACGGCGCGCGTCTGTCATTACTCGACACGCTCACTTCCGTCCGAAGCATAGCACCATATCCGGCCGCAGCACTCCACCACCCAGCACCGCTGCACATCGCGTCCGCCTCCACCTCCTTCCAGCCCGCCTTCGCAGCCCAGCAGCCCTCCCCGTGCGCCCTCCATATAGCCACCAGCCACGGCAGGCGCACGCGCACCCGAGCCTGAGGAGTAGACCGCCCACCCCCTGCGCTCGCGCGGGCAGCACGAGCTGCTTGCGGACACGGAGGGAGATCCCGCGCATAGCGAGCATGGCTCGGACAACGCGCACACCACCGCTGCGCTGTCCGAGTCGATCGCCGACGCGATGACCCACGGGCCCGGCCCACACGGCGGCCTTACGCGGTCGCTCACACACGAGGAGTGTGAGTTCATCAACCGCCTCAACCGCCTCAAGTTCTTCCTTGCCACCGCCACCGCGCCCTCACGTTGGTCTGGCGACGACCCGTCTTCCACTGCAGCCGCCGCCACGGGCCTCCCGGTTGGCCACCCAAGCAGCGCACATCCTGGCATGCCTTGGACGGGCGAAGACTGCTGCACCCGCGCCTGCGGTCAAGGCAATGATGCCCGACTCCGGTGACGTTTCACGGGAGGCCGGACGCGCACGCATTCCCGAACAATGGGTACACCCCCACAGCCCCGCACGAACGCATTGCTTGAAGATCGGCGAGCCCAACTGGGTGTGAAGCACGCGCGTGAGGCGCACGCGTAGACTGCACGAAAGCTGATAACTGCGCCCGCCCGTGCTGCGGTTCTACAACCCCCGGATATCCAGCTGGGGGGCATCCCACTGCATGCGCAGCTCGGGGAACCACTGAGGAGGAAGGAGGGACACTACCCACTATGGTGAGTATCCCACTCGCTCCTTGCCCGCCTACGCTGAATCACCCGCACACATGTTCCCCAGCCCGCCCACTTGCCCGCATGATCCCTCGCACACCTGCACGATCGCACATCTGCGCTCAGCCGCACGTATGACTCACTCGCCGACCGGTTGACTCACCTGCCAACCCGCATTACCCGCATACAACCCGTACCCGCTGCGGCAGGTCTGTGCCTGGGTGGTTTGTGCAGGCTGCTTGTTAGTACATCCTAGTATATCATGTGTAGCATATTTCGAAAAATGAAACCTATTGCCAGTGCATTGAGCACGGAACCGGAGAATGAGAGCCACAGCAGTGACGCTTGCTGACGCGCTGACGGTTGTGTGAACTGTTATGGCTACGTAACGACTATCTAGCGAGGCGATCGCCACATCTTCCCAACCTTCTAAAATGCGACAGGTCTTGCTAACGAGTGATACGCTGACACTATGTAAAATCGGAATTTTAGCAACCGTTACGGCCCGTCACAGCCCTTAACCGAAATCAGAGAAGTTCTGATGCACCAATGTGTATCACTCTCGGTTTTATTTGGATGCCGTATGCGCGCGCTCTATGATCGCGCGACTCAGCGCATATCGCAGAGACACAGCGTTGACTTCTCGTCCTACAGGGACATCTTCAGGTCTAGGAAATTGTCTCGTCAATTCCATTCTACAGCGAGGAGACCATGTCATCGCCACCGTACGGCGCAAGGACAGTCTTGACGTTTTCGCTGTAACGGATGACCAAAAGGCTCGGCTACGCGTCATTATGCTCGACGTCACGGACTCGGAAGAGAATATCGGCAAGGTCGTTGACGAAGCTTGGGCGGTGTGGGGACGTATAGACGTCTTGGTGAACAACGCAGGTCGCGGTTCCAATGCTGTGCTGGAAGAAGGCGGGTACGTCGTTCCTGACGATGGCTGGGTTTTGTGCTTCCGAGTCTGACATGCGATTAGGGCGGACCTCATGAGAGCAGTGTTTGAGACAAATGTCTTCGGCGCTGTAAAGGTTACCAACACTATACTGCCGCACTGCTGCCGACGGAAGTCGGGGCTCATCATATTCCTAGGCAGTCGATCGTCTGGCAGGCCAATATTCCCGTACGTCTCGATGAACCCATGCGCTGTGGTGCTCGGCGTTCTGACCCTGTCGACGTGGATTGGTAGATTGACTCGTCGTATCTCGCCACCAAAGCGGCCATACACGGTGAGCGGCCGTCGCGTCTTTTGCATAATTACATCCGTCACTGGCACTGAACAGTATTGAATGCACCCAGCTATCAGCGAGTCCCTCGCCGTTGAAGTTGCACAATTTGGCATCCACGTCCTCCTTGCGATCCCGGGTGGCTCCCGGACCAGCCAACTGAACACGCCCTACACTATGAATCACCACTTCGCAGATTACGATGGCTATCGCGAGGATTCTCTGAGGGAGATGCACGAGCACTGGAACCACGCACAAGGTGATCCGGCTAAAGCCATGGACGTTCTTGTGGACGTCGTTAAGAGAGAGTGAAAGGCGCAGGGGATGCCCCTGCCATCGTGGCTGCTCTTGGGGAGACCTACGTTCTTGTATGCGAAGAAGCAGTCCGAGAGGTTGTTGGAGAATATCTCAATTTGGGAGGGTATTTCTCGGGACCTCGACTTCGATATTACAGTCGAGTAGCACTAGCAATGCCACGCGCCACCTGCGGAGCTAAAGTATCGGTGACATGTACTAGTAGAGCAATGATTGATTGAGATCAAGCACATCGTTCTGATGTAGAGGTTCATTTGAACTACTTGACCACCGAGACCACTGCAATCGCTATAGCAGTCGGGGTTCCCATCTTTGGTATGACCGATCTTCAGCGCCACGCCGCCGACTTTATGATATGTACCGCACTACGATTGACCTACCCAAGTCTTATGTAGAGGCGCATCAGTCACGATATTTCCTTTGAGATACGAGTGCTATACAACCGGTCGAAGCTCGGGCCCGGGTTCACAAACCCGACTCAGTCAAAGGGGCCAGATCGCTTCGAGATCACGGGCGCTACTGAACGCCGCCCAGCCACAGCTTCCCGCCGCGGCGTCCTCTTCTGCCTCCTCCTCTGTGTCTCCCGTTTCCTCCTCCTCCCCTACCGCGAGGTCAGAAAGCACAATGCTTTCGTCCTCGCCAAACTATAGGTCAAGCGCGTCGCAGACGCAAATCCTTGTCATGCGGGCATGTAGCCCTCATATCCAGGAACCTAACTATGCTCTCCATCTCGAGGTCGCGGAGTATATTAATCAGAAGAAGGCGAATACGTATGGCATACTTCCACATCTCTTTTGGCATTAGCTGAGGTTTGGGATTAGCCCCCGCGAAGCGGCGATGATGATAGCCACACTAGTCAATAACCGCAATCCCCACATCGCAATGCTCGCCCTTGCTCTGCTCGAGACCCTCGTGCAATCATGTGGATACCCTTTCCACCTACAAATATCCACGAAGGAGTTTCTCAACGAGCTCGTCCGCCGCTTCCCCGAACGCCCGCCGCCCTTCCCGGGACCGGTCATGACACGTATTCTCGATTTGATAAACGACTGGAAGGAGGGCATCGCGTCTGAGTCGCGGTGGAGGGAGGATCTGGGGAACATCAGGGACATGCACCGTCTCCTGACGTTCAAGGGCTATCGATTTCGTGACCGACCGCGCCAGCCGCCCATTGCCTCTGCCTCCGTACGTGTCCCTCTCGCACTTCGTGCCTGTGACTCGATGTAGTGCTGATGCATTGCCGCAGTCACTCAAATCTGCAGACGAGCTAGAGGCGGAGGACCGGGAGGCGCAAGAGGCGAAGCTGCAGGAGCTCATCCGGAGAGGGACACCGCGGGATCTGGCTGCAGCGCAGGAGCTGATGAAGACGCTCGCGGGCGCGAACCCCGACGCGAAACCCGACTATCGCTCACAGGCTCTCACGGAACTCACGAAGCTTGAGAGCAAGGTCATCCTGCTCAACGAGCTGCTCGACAACGTAGACACCGCACGGGGGGAGCAGTTTGCGCAGGGCGATGTATACGATGTGAGTCCGACTGTGTTATTGTTGGATCGTGCTATACTTATCGCTTCACTACCAGCAAGTTGCTTCGATCCTCACGGCGGCACGGCCAAAGATCCAGGGCTGGATCTCGAACGCAGAGACGGACGACCCCGAGTCGCTCAACACATTCCTGCAGATCAACGACCAACTGAACACCGTGCTGAACCGGTGGGATTCGTACAAGAAGGGCGACTTCACCGCTGCGGCGAACCCGGTGCCGCCGGAGGTCACGGCGGCCGCGCAGAACGACTCACTCATTGACTTCGACGATGCACCCGCGTCTGCACCCGCACAGTCCGCCCGGCAGCAACCTCCCATGGACGATCTCGCGAGTCTGTTCGGACCCGGTCCTGCGACGGCGCAGTCGCAGTTCCAGACACAGCCTCCGCAGGCGACGGGCATGCAGCAGCCGATAATGAGCGGGATGGGTGGCATGGGCGCTGGGATGCACATGGGAACCGGGATGGGTTCAGGCATGGGCATGGGCATGAGAGGAGGAATGGGCTTGGGTACGGGCTCACACATGGGGATGAGTATGGGTATGGGTATGGGCTCGCAAAGCGGATCAAGCACACCAATGGCCGCGCCGACGCCTTCAAATGGCTTTGCGAACGGCATGGGCATCGGTGCGGGCTCGCCGCCGATGCTCAACCTCGCATCGCGCCCAGGGGCGGGGTCGCCTGCACAGCTGGGAAGCATCCGCCTGGGCACGCCCCAGGCACCGTCGACGCCAAACTACTTCGCGGGCGCACAGTCGATACAGCCTCAACAGACGCACCAGTCGATGCATTCTCAGCAGCAGCAACACCAATCAAGTATGTTCCAGCAACAGACGGGTACACCAAGCGCGACACCTGCGAACGGGTCGCAGGCACAAGGCGGGAAGGACCCATTCGCAGACCTGGTGGGGTTGTTCTGATTCTTGGTTATCGGGTTAGATGGACTCAGTTGTGTAGGCGGGCGGCGGGCCTATGTGGAGTATCTACTGTTGTTTTGTGCGAAAATATTGTTATGAGTTTGTTCAACGTGCTAGCCATTTGTTAGAAGTCTCCTTATGGATGTTCCCAGTCATAGGCGAGGTGAGAAATTGTGGCGCACTGAATCTTGCACTTCCCGCCACTAAATTTCATCAAGCTACAGACTCAGGTGGAGTGATCGATATCTTGAACGCAGTGCCAGGCTTGTGTTCTGATGTCCACAGGCTCATAGCGGCAAGCGATATACAGTAGGTGTTTGCAGAGGCGGACGATCCGAGACAGAGCCACAGGGGTATCGTACTAACCAGTTACGAGTAGAACTTGCGGTTCGGGTTCGAGCCAAACAGATTGTTCCGGATCTCTGGCAGCATCTGGAGGCACGATTCGATGTTAGTGCGACGAAGGCTGTACACCACAAAATCGAACACACCCTATCCTCCAGTAGTCTCAGCCGCTCATCGAGCGTATTGTCAAGCGTGATACGTGAGGTCCCGCTGACGAGCTTCACACCGCCGGCACTACAGCACGAGCCATAATCAACAACTGATCAGTGAGAGAGCATCAAAACTCACAGATCCTTGCTGAGTGTCCCCTCTACCGTGACGTTCACCGTCCGCCCGCTAATTTCATTGTACTGCTTCGACGCGCCCTCCGCCGCCCGAGTGACAATCTCGACGTCCTGCTCGCGCGCGTGGACGGTGACGTCCGGCTCGAGGAGCTGGAGCGAGCCCTGCACAATCACGCCCTCGAGGAATTGCACGTAGCGCGACTCGTCCTGCGCGAGATCGTTGACGAGCTGGCGCGCGGAGTTGAAGAGATCCTGCAGGTGCTCCTCACGCTGCTGGAGAAGCCGGAGGCGAGACTTGTTCGTCAAGGTCGACTGCGCACTGCACGAGGGTCATTAGAAGAGACGTATGGGTATTGCGCAACGCACATCTTCTGTGCAACCTCGGCGCCCTTGCGCTTCTTCTCGTACTGTGCGTCGATGGCTTGCTGCTCCTGCTTGACTAGTCTCGCCTAGAGCCGCCCTGGACTTAGTGACCAGCTCAACTACAGCACAAGGTATACACGCACCTTCTCAATCGCAAACTCCTCGTCGGCCTTCACGCGAATCTCTCGCGCTTTCTCCATCGCCTCCTGCCTGATGAAGGCCACCTGGCCACAGCAGCAGCATCATGAGTCGGTCCTTTCGTTATGTGTCACAGTGTGCACACCATCTTGTTCATCTCCGTAAGCACTTCATCGTCGTTCAGCGGCCTCAACGCCATCGTGCCTTGTTACTTCGTAGGCTGGTTGACGAAAGATAGAAAGAGATGCTGGTAGCAGCGGACGACGAGGGCAGCCTGAGGTCATCGCCATGTTAGGTAGCTCAAGCGCCCTTGACCGCGGTGGCTGCTGCAGCGCTTCTTTCTTATTTAACCCTCACCTCGACCACCACCATACGACTTTGTTCGTGAATGCAGCGAGCCTAGCGAATACAAACGAGACAAAGCTACCTGTTGTAGCTGAAGGCTAAGCAGGTACGAGCCATGTTGTCTCAAATACGTGTCGGTTTGAACCCAGGATTATCTTGGGATTGACTACATGTTATATTCCTCTCCCTAATCGAACAAAATTCGCATCCATTGGTCCCTAATTCGCGAAGAAGACTCTGAGACCTCTTCCGAGAGTCGACAAACCCGTTCTCATGGTCTCCTCTGTCCCACAGAATGTGAGACGGAAATAGTTCAGGCGCTACGAAGCACGGCGGTTTAGCGGAGCATCAAAGCCATGCGCGAAAATCATACTCACGTCCTCGATGTTGTCTTCAGGATCGGTGTAATGCGGGTCTGAGTCCACTTTGAAGATGGACGCGGGCATCACCACCAGTCCTTCGTCGAGGCATGTGTCGAACAGCTCCTCCATCAACTTCTTGCAGTTCGTGCGAGGACCTCTAGCTCCCTCTACGCCCGCAACTTCTTTCCGGTATCTGGGATGCTTCTCGACATAGATCCGCGTCCAAACGAACATACCTGCTTCTGGTGGGATTGCCTCCGCGAATCCCGTAGTGGCGACTTCTTTGGCGAACAAGTCCAGGAAGAATTCGCAACGGCGCTTGTACTCCATCCCGAGTCCGCGTACCCACTTGTCGAACCCCGGTAGCTGCCATCCTTCTGGACCTAGGAGCTCGCTAAGGAATATTTGTCCGAAGGCATGAGGATGCTGGCTGGAGGAGTCCGTGAGGGCAACTAGCTGTTCGTGGAACTGCGTGCTGGATGTTATCCAGCCGAGTCGCATGCCGGGCGCAATTACTTTGCTGAACGAGTCGACGCGGACGACACGGCCATCTACGTCCAACGAAACGAAGGATGGCGTGGACTTCGGGGCTGCAGTAGCGTCTGACGACGGGAACTGCAGGAAGTAATATGGATCTACAGGAGTCGTCAGCAATCTCTCTGAAGTTATGCTAGCCTCCGGATCCCGCTTACCGTCTTCTATGATTATGAGGTCAAACCGTTGCGCAAGCTCATAGATCTTCCCGCGCCGCTCTACGCTCAATGTCGAACCTGTGGGATTTTGTCCACATCTACTCTCTCGTGGTCAGTTTTACACTATGCAGTGCGTCGCTGTTCATACTGACGGGATCGTGTAGAGAACGTGCGGTCTTGGTCCCCGTGCGGCATCCCAGCTAGTCAAGATCTCTTCCAATCGCTCAGGGATCATCCCTCTATCGTCCATTCGAACCGGCACCCATTTGATCCCTTGAGGTATGGCCGCTTGGACGAGTGCGCTGAATGTGAACTCGTCTGCGAGGAAGTGGTCGCCAGGATTCCCGAACAGCCGAAAGCACTTCGTCACAGCGTCCCCGTTCCCGAGCGTCAAGGTTATGACGTGATTCGGCGGGTGGTGGTATGCGTGCGCGAGCTCGGAGACCGCTTTCTGCGTCTCGACGTGCCCGGCCCCGTTCGTGTACTGCATGGCCTTCTTGACAGGGAGGACGGACGGGCCGTCGCGCGTCGCGCCGATGACCTGCGTGGGCGTGTTTGCGCTCTCCGTCTTCCAGGACGCGACGGGGTCGTCGCCCGAGGGGGAGGCGATCTCAAACGACACCCTTTTGATTGGGTAGAGGATGTTGGGCGGGTCACCTGCGTCGTGGGTCGTCTGTAAGGGCCACTGCAGTGCTCCAGATTATGAACTCACGGACCGTTGGCTAGGGAGACCATGTTCGGCTTGCGCGACGCGAGCCGCCAGATCTCTTTCATGGCCGTGGGCTTGCGCAGACGCGCCTCTGCGGAGAGATGATGGGACAGATCGACGCTAGCCATTGTCCGCGGGATTCGTCAGCGACGGTCGCACAGTAAGTATGCTAGATGGACCCGCGGGGCTTCGGGGCGGTGAAGCCTGCAGCGGGGCACGGTGTGCGTGTGGTCTTAAGAGGAATCGGGGTGTGCCCGTCTCCACACTCCGGCAAGATCGCACCTTGAAGCGGGCTGGCGGTATACGTCAATCGTGTGGCAGTGGCAACAGCCAGTGGGCGTTCCGTTCTGGTGTTAAAGATCGATAGACAGCGTGGATTCAGAGTATATATCTTCGTTCCGTTGTCAACGCCGGATCAAGCGGTTCCCAAGTGATTCCTACGGCATCCCGCGAACTATGCCTTGATATGATGGGTGCACGAGGTTCAGACCAAGAGGACTTCGTGCTCACGGGTGCGGTGTGGAAGTGACTGGACACCCGAATGGATCGGCCTCAGGTATGTCACCGAGCTCTGCCATCATAATGGGGCGCAACTGACAGGACTCCGCGAATATAGTGACATCTCCGTGGCATTGACATTCCTGTATGATCGTTGATCGCAACGCCACAGGTAAGACGGGTGGTGGCGCAGTCTGAGAATGCAGCGTAGTACTCATTTGTTGGTCCAGGTCGCTTTTGAGATGAGCATTCGTACCAAACGACTCTGAATTCTCGACTCCGGTGTCGAACGTGTGACGTACGGTAGTTTGCCAGGCATCGCTGACTGGTGGTTGATTAGTAGGTTTCCGTTGCGCGTTACTCGCACATCATTGACGAACACGCCGCACGCATGAGGCACACAGACTTACCTCTCCCCACCGAGCACACCGAGCACATCGGCTCAAACTCGGGTACGCTCGAAATGTGGGACGAGTGCCGCACACGTTGCTGTTCGCGAACAGCATATCACAGAGGAAGGTGCCAGACACGTCTTCGGATTGATGTGCGACCTTTGAAGTACGCTATAACTGGAATATATTGTGGGATCACGATATAGAGTATGGGATACATCGGGAAGGTACGAGAGAGCGACAGATGACAACACGAAAGAGTGTGATTATAGTGACGAGAGATCGAGACGTTCTATGGGCTACAAAGGTCGGAAAGGAAAGTGGATTATATGGTCGTAGTCTAGTCGACCGCACAGCGGTGACGGACTGTCGTGATAACGTGAGATGATACTGGAGCTTCGAAGAATGAAAGACCATCGCTGGAAATGTCGTTCTTTATCAGGGAATGAAGGTCATTCGACCTCGGAGAGCGACGCTTCCCCAAGTGTCTACTCCTGGGGTGCATTCAGGCCTTCGAAGACTGACGGGCACGACGCGAGCAGATCTTCTGCTAGTTCTGGTCGCTCCTCAATGAGCTTCGTCACCTCCGCGATGACCAGCTGGACTTGACGCTTGGCCTGCTCTTTACTGTGGAGAATCATGACTTAGTTACTGCGCATTAGAAACGACGATGAACACTTACTCGAAGCAATCCTTGTTTAGTCTACGTGCGCTGTCCCTCCTCATACCCGGCGGATAGTCCTTCCTACACCAGGGGCATCGCCAAGTGAACTTCCACCCGTGCCGTTCTCTGATGTGACGGCACACGGTACGCGCATCCTTCAGGTCGTGTTTGTCCTTGCACAGATGGTCTGGCCAGGGACATCGGACGGGATCTCGTATTGAGTGGGCATATGCAAGGTGGTCCTTGATATCTTGATTCTTCGGCGCGATATAGGTCATGCAGCCGTCGATCGCACAAGGGAAGGGCGCATCCAAATGATGAACCTCGGATCTCTCCGCGACGAATATTGGTTCATGAGAGTCCGGCTGACGGGCCTGGAGATCGTAGAAAGCAATATCCAAGGACAGTTGCTCCGGGGTCGAAGCGTTCTGAGCAGGGCTTTGCTGACGCTGCGTACTATCTCGTGCTTCGTTTTCGAGCGTGGCCAGTGGCGACGCTGAGTGGGGTTGACTCGTCGGCCCAGGCTGAGTGCTGGAGCCGGTAGCGACAGGACTCATGAGAGACCAAGCGTGAGGCTGGATTCCATCCAGTTGCGCGGAAGTAAGAGGAAGGGAACCCAGTTGATCCACCGGGTAAGGGAACGTCACTGGCTGCCAGACATTTGTCAGAGGCGAAGGCTGCCAGTGATTGTAGAGCATATGAGTGTGCGCCATCTGCAGATGTTGGCCCGCCGCCGCCGCCGTCGCCTGATACCCTGCGGCATTGACACCTGGAACCGTGCTGCTTGTAGCGGTAGCCTGGGCACTATCAAAGCATTGTTAACTCGACAGAATTCCGGGAACCCATGACGTTATAGGTACCTCCATTCAATCCAATGATTACCGGGATAGGCGTTCATCTCGCCGATGTCTTGCACTATACGACTCAGTGATGGCGATTAGAGGTGTTTAGGATAGTAGAAGCAGAAGCTCCCTGTTCAAGGGGCGTTAAAGGAGAACTTGAGGGACGAGATCAGGTCTAGGGCCGGACACTCGTCGCCCCACTCCTGCGCCAGGCCATTATATACGCGAACGCTGGGGAAATCGTTAGCGCACAGGACAATGGACGCGATGTGAGACATGGCCCTTACGGCTCGACGGCGCGCCGCAGTAGCATCGGGGCCACACCCTAATCAGGAATCCCCCTTGTTATCCGTTGTCGCACATTGGGCCGCGAGGCTTCGCCCGTCGTCCCCATTGTCACAGCCTAGACACGAGAAGACTGACGATGATCTGAGTTAACATATTGGGTCACGGCACGACGCACTTGCAAGCTGACCAAACGGCCAACTTACCACTTCCGGAAAGGCCATACGGCGCCCGACGCAGGTCGCCTTGTATTCCGGCTGGTACGCACGTGTCCGCTTCGCAACGACGCTCGCGTTTCAGACGAATTCGGTAGGAGAGTGTCTTCGGGATGATATCGATTCGGATGTGTCCTGTTTGGACGAGCGATGCAGGCAAGGATAGGACGGACGCATGGCTTGGTGTTAATACGCACGGTCCTCCAAGCGACCAGCATCGTGCGTCCCTGCTCTGTCAGCTTAGGACTGGCGCAGGAGTCGACCAAATGAGGGTCTTGAGGATGACATGAAAATTGGTAATCTGCTATACCTGATGCAAGGAACGGCCCTTCGTTATCGGGACTCCGTATGCATGCACGACTCGGACAGACCGCCTGTCTGCAGCAGGAAATCCTAGCTTGCCAAGGAGTCGTAGTAGTTCTTAGCTGAGACCGACCACCAGCTACCAAGCGCAGTAGGTATCGGGATCGCGGCGGACCTAGTAGGGCAATTCGAGTGAGAGAACTGGACATCTCTTGTTCTGGGCTCGAAGGGTTGGCTACTATAGCAGTAGTATGCTACGTACCTCGCTATGTAAGTAAGTCGTTCATTAAACGAGATCCGTTCAGTGCATATGCTTCGGTGCAGTGTTTCTGATGATGTTTAAAGCCTGCCTTAATCGGCGTCATGCTTCATTCCGAGCCAATCCAGATACGTGAGTGCCACAGGCTTTGTCCGCTCTGTCGATTTATTAGTGACCGGCGGCAGTGCCGACTCGTCAGCGCGTCTTGAAGCGCGACCGTGACGAACACAGCCGTGCGGGACGTAGCAACGAGTCTCTCAATAGAATACATCTCACAAAGAATCGGAGGCGTCCTTGCGGATGTAGTGTTGTCTGGAGGAGGTCCTCGGCCTAGAATCATGGTCCGAACTAGGTCCGAACGGTGAGGCCGGTGAGGACTTCAGTACTGCATTCAGTACTTAGGTCGCCGCTGCGAGTCGCCGGGAAGCACCACGTGACATTAATGACATGTAGCGATGATGTACCCAAGTTCGCTGAGGGCGCCATGATTGCCACTGTGCCAGTGAATAATATTGCCAATGCAGTACATGCGAATAAAAGGGGAGAGACGATCACATATGAACATACGGTATCCGAAAGGGCTTCGATATGAATAGATGTGATTGTTAAACCGTAGATTCCGCCGCAGCCAGTATTATACCATTCGACTCGTCGGACGAGCCCGAACGTCCATCATGCTACAGGTTCTGGCAGCAGTTCAGAATTTGAAGGGTCTAGTAGTTACGCCGACGAGCCTGCCCGCTTGAGGAGCCCTGCACAAAGTTAGGCTGTGCCGGCCCGTTGACTATCGAATTAATGGCATCAGACATGGCTCAGCTTTCACCGCACTTGGGCTTGGGACGGGGGACGTACCATATTGACTGGAATAGATTCCGGAACTGGAATCTGTCTGTCCCGCGCCCTGCGCGTAGTTCGGCGTTGGGTGAGCCCTTTGCAACTCGCGGTACCCCCGGACGGAAGGGCTCGGTCGGAACACGGGGACCATTCCCCACACAGGAGGAGGAGTGTAAGCGTAGAAGGGACGGGGGGAGTTCTGACAAGGAAAGGAGGCTGCACGTCGCGCGAACTGGTGGAAGGCCCGTACGTGCTGCGGCACAGCTTGAGCGTGTTGCTGGCCTGTCTGCGCATATTGCGAGGGCGATTGTGCGTATTGCGGAGTTGATTCCCTACTCTGCCAGCCCTCTGACCCTTCCGTCCCGTTGTCATATCCTGCCTCGTCCCCTGCTTGTGAGTGTGCATAGTCTGAGGCCAGACCCGCGTCCGAGCCCGGCGATAGGTTTGGGAACCCATCGAAGACACCGTCTTCCTCCGCTTTCATGAATTGGTTGTAACCGCCTTCATTCTGTTCGCAAAGTTGTTTCCACGCCTCCGCTGCCCATGCCGCGTTCTCCGCGTCCGCGTCGACGCTCATGCCACGGCGCAAGGGCGACGGATCATAGTGGCCTGGTATGGGCTCCGTGGGGCTTCGGTAGCGCGCCAGTTCGCGGATGTCGATGTCTTCGACTTGTTCCTCCTCCTCGTCGTCCTGACTGGCTTCGTCGCTGCCATCGAAGGCTTGTGCAATCGCAGCGTCAGCCCCCTCGATCGCGAGCGGGTGAGCATCTTGCTGCGAGGCGGGTCCTTGTCCCATGAGCGAAAGAAGAAACGTCGCGGGCATTTCTTGGGCTATCTGAGCTTCATCGTGCCAGCGGATGTGGATTCCTTGCTGGTTAGGAGTGACCGAGATGGTCATGTAGGCCAGCTGTTCGGGGGTGTACTGCTTCAAGGCCTCTAGCTGCCTCTCCAACTTGCCGTCCATCTCGCGGTTCTATGAAGGTGAGAGAGACGCGTGTCAGCATACACGCATATAACAGTCCGCGTATTGCTTCACAACTTACGCTGTTGAGAACATTGTCATTGCGTCGTCGGCTGCCACCCATAGTGGAACTGTGTAACGAGGTCGGGGATTTGGAGATATGGGGCAGGAGATAGCGGAGGATGGTCCAGCAGAAAGACTGGTAGATTCGCTACTCATTATATACTCTTAAGGGCCACTTGTGCCACCGTAGCCGCGGCGGGCACACGAAGCCCCTGAAGATGAGTGTGGCCCAGGACCCGCTTTGTTACTAGCGGCCACAGTGCCAAGCCAACGAATCGGTTGTCATGCTTCAAGAAATCGACAGTAACCGTTGTCTGCTTTGTCCAGGAACCGAGGCATCTGTAATGTTATCAAAGGATTATTGCTTCATACATGGGAACACATCGAAGGAAACCCGCGAGGTCGTACCTTGCTTGTTCACGAGGCCGTTGAAGTACATCACCAAATCTACAGCGCGTGCGCAGATTAATTCAGTGTTGACGCTGTCTGTGCACAGTTGGCTCGCCCCCATTCCGCCTTGCTGTTCTTCCGAGTTCAGTCTAGTAATCAGCAATATGCGTCGTTAGTCGTGCGGCGCGCTGTGAAGCCGACGTCCGTGATACCTCCATGTAGTTATCATATGTGGAGAAGGTCGTAAAGTGGAGAAGGTCGTAAGATGTACTGCGTCCACATTGCGGTGCTCTTGTGCCTCGAGCGCAAAGACGTCCGAGTTGCGTCCGAGTCGGGGTCAAAGCGCGAGGCTACAACAAGCGCGCGGACCAGCAGGTGCTCATGTGACCGCGTCGACGCTTTGACCGTGACGCGTGCCACGATGAGTCGCGTCTTCTTCCCTCCCGTCATTCTTCAAACTGGCTGCAAGCCAAAGCTCCCCTCGCTTGTTTGGGTTGCCTCTGCTGTGCACATCGTTACAGAGCTAAGGGTACGTGTGGAGATTCAAATTCAGTAACAAACTGTAGGAGGCTGCCGGACGAGACACGGTCTGTAGTGAGAGTCCATTTGCGCGGGTCGCCTTCGAATTGACAAGTCAAGCAGCATCCCCATCCTACGCAAAGTGCTACATTGCTTCAATATTCTTTGCTATGGAATCCTCAACGACCAAGAAAGCGCTGGAACAGGAGAAGCAGGCAAAGATACGCCGCCAGATCGCTGCGCTACAAGCTCAACTTCATGGGTCTGAAGAGAGCTTGCCTGCTCCACCTGAATCACCGAAGCGGAAGGAGGCTTCTGAGCATCTTCTTGCTCCTGAAACACCATCTAGTGCGTAATGATGCCATTCACCCTGTTCTGAAGAGCTCACGATGTCGTACCTCCCAGAGAAGAGGAAGCTCAATCACCCAGAACGACCTCGCACTGGTTCAACTATTTCATCCCAACGACCAAGACCGGTTGCTGCTAGCGTACCGGCATCGTCGGCTTTCTACTCGTCACCGGCAATTCAGCCCCAGCCTCAAAAGCCTGCGCCGTCCAAGGTCCTTGAGAAGCTCGCCAGGGCGCAATCTCATAAGGACGCGCAGCAAGAGAAGAGCGCTGTCAGTCGGTCCACCGCGTTTACACAACCGGCTGTGGTAGCCACGCCTCACGCCGAATCAGAGGCGGTCCCACCTCGCGACGACCGTCTCGCTCTAGTGGAGGATCTCGTCCCTGGACCAGTGGATCACAAGCCGCCCTTCGACGACCCTCGACTTGAGAAGCTAGAACCCAACTCTGGCATTCGACTTTCGTGAGTCGTAGTTGGCGTGTCACCACTAGGAACTGCTCTAACACTGTACTAGCTCTCGCTCAATCCCGTTTGAGGACTTTCAGGACTATCTCCGCGGCCGGTATTACCTCTCTCCATCGCGGCTTTACTCGGTTGTCCGCCTCCTACCGAGCAAGCAGGGCTACGACGTGCCAGTGGAGGGTGACTGGTTGACCATCGCTGTGGTCGCCGAGCGGGGGAAGGTCAAGCAAAGTCAGGCACCGGTTGGCATTGGTCGTGATGATAAGATGGGCGCAGACGACGATGAAGACGAAACTACTGTCGACCAGCTGGACGTGCCTCTGGATGCCACAGCTCCCGCGAAGAGCATGCAGGGACATCCGCGACCGAAGCGCGTACGCAAAGACGAACCGCCCCGACCTAGCGGAAAGAAGTATGTCAACATGAAGCTCGTTGATTTCGGCTGCCGCACCACCCCTGGATCTTCCGCGACAGGAGGACAGACGGTCATTCGCGGCGATGCCTCACTCTCCTTGCTTCTGTTTGAGTCGGATGGCCACGACGTCGTCATCAAGGAGAATGGAAAGAAGGAGAAGGTCTATCGAGGCGGAAGTAGGGGAGCTTTCGAGAAGATGTCGATGTTGAAGGAAGGCGCTGTCGTGGCCCTGCTAAACCCGAAGGTCCTCAAGCCGTTCCAGGTCGGTGAAACTTTGCAGTCCGAGACGTACGAATGCTGATAATATGTGACTGCAGCGCTCCGGCGATGTGCCCCATCCGACTGACAACATCCTCGCGCTCACACCTGAGTCCGTCGAATCCATTGCTGTGATCGGGTTCTCTCTAGACCTGGGCATGTGCAAAGCGGTCCGAAAAGACGGTACGAAGTGCGGGAGTTGGTGCGACAGGCGCGTTGCAGATGTGTGTGATTGGCACATACAACATGCCGTTGAACGTAAGCGTGCTGGCCGTGCGGAGTTCTCGAGCGGGTTAGTCTGCTATACCATCCAATGCTTCCTATCGACCGACTTACCTGGATGATCAGGACATCTGGCATGTCGACTTTCGCGAAGCGGAAGAAGCCGGACCACGACCCCGCCAGGCAGTGGGGCCTTAAACCAGAGCCCGACAACAACGGGGCAACATATGTCGTTTCTGGACATATCATCTCGGGCTCTAACGACTCGAAGTCACTGTTCCTCTCGGAGTCGATGGGCCGCGATGCTCAAGCGAGGGCATCACGCAAAGCATCGACGCTGGAGGCCGATCGCGCTCTGCAGCAGCTCCTGAAGCGGGACAAGGCTGGGTCTCAGGCCCTCGCTACCGCGAGGGCGTTTGCCAAGAAGCAGGCCCGGAAAGTCAAGAAAGAGGAGAAGGGACAGCCTAGGCAGAAGGTTAAGGCGGGTAATGCATCTGACGCTGAGAGCGGGTCCGAGGCGAGCGAAGAGGAAGAGAACCAGCAACCGCTTAAGCATGTGTATTCCGCTCAGCTCATCAAACAACTTGGATTCGATCCGACAGCGAAGGACGGACGGAAGACGGCTGACCCTAAGCTGCAGAGCAAGGTAGCAGATTAAGTTTCTCATCATGCGCGGTACTTACTATGCCCCTGCCCTAGCTCGACGCACTTGCTGCAGTTCAGGCTTCCAAGAGGGATATCGACCTCGCTCCAAGGCCGGGCAAGAAGAAAAGTTGCGTAGGGCGCCCTGCACCCACTTCTGTGAAGTCCGGTATCTCTCGTGAAGACTCTCCACTACACGTCCTCGACAGTGATGACGAAGACGACCTCGAGCGAGCGGAGAAGGACGCGTTCGGTAAGGTCGTCAAATCTTCTGCGAAGGAGCCTCTGGTGTGCTTGGACAGCAGTGACATAGAGCAATAGGAACCCGTTCACCTGTGATACTCACGCTGTACCATCCATACTTTCACACTGCGGACTCTCTGGCTGGACACTGGCACTGGTGAGGGACAACGTGATGATAACCTCGATGTTTGAACAACAGCAGCAGCAGCAGGGACACAGCAGATATAAGTAAGAATACAGAGTTAACACGGTCGTAGTGTACCACGGGCACCCGAAGCGTCCTGTTTCATACGCGCGGACCTCAATCAACCAAGATGACATCGTCCTCTAATGGTTCGTCCAGAGTTTCCAGCATGATGAGACCGTCGTCTTCCAGCCTCCTCTTTTTGCTTGGAGTGAACGGCGGCGGGACAGGCGCAATGCCGTTGGTCTTCTGCCGCTTGGCCGCAGGCTCGAGCTCGTCGTCGTCTGGCGCAGCACGCTTTGTCCCTGTTGGCGGAGGCGTCGAGGGCATAGCTTTCTTAGGCTTTCTTGGTGGTGGTGTCGGCAAAGGAGATGGCAAGATCAAAGCTGAGCCGTCTGCCGGATGATTTGGCCTGGAGCAGTACGGTTAGATCAACGCAAGGGTTCACAAGAGCACATTAACTCACGGGAGTACACCAATCGCAACCTGAATTGTAGCGAACTCGCCCTCGTCATCGACGATCGACAAGAACTTGCCCCGAGTGACGTTCAAGCTCTCGAGGGTCCGCTCCAAATTGTCGTCCCAATCCGGGTCGCTCAGCATGCGCGTGTGCTCATACACGCTCACATCGCGCTCGCCCAGCCCTCCCGCGTCCTCGCCGTCGCCCAGGACACCCTCCACGACCTCCCTGAGCGTCACACGCGCGAGGTCGCAGAGCACCTCCGTGTACGTGTCCCTGCAGACGCCACAATTCTGGTTCGGCGGCGTCATGTTGATGGCGCTGAGCGGCATAGTGGGCTTGAACTGCACGTGGACGTTGCGCAGAGCGTTGTAGGACTTGCGGAGGAGGTGGAAGGCTTGCAGGACGATGAGCCCCGCGATGATGGCGTTGGTGGTGGCGATGGCGGGGATGATGTTTCCAGCCATCTCTGTAGGAGCGGTCAGCGAACGGAGCTGCTGAGCCAAAAGCAACGAAACGTACCTTTGACTTCCCAGCGGCTCTTGCCCGGGATGCCGTAGGCGATGGAGCGGAGGTTGGAGGCGGCCGTGACAAAGTCGAGGGCGTCGTCATCATCCTTGTCGAATGATATCGTGTCCTCTCCTGAGCGTAGGCGTGCAGCCAGCCGTTCAGTGCTGCGTAACATAACCAGCTCATTGACAACGTTACAGAGGCCGCACGATGTATAACGCACCTTGACACGAAGAGGTCCACGTTGTCCTTGAGCGACAACGCCCGCTGGTCTTTCAGGCCGGCCGCGCTCGTACCGTTGGGCGTCGAACCATTCGACATGCCGCTACTTCCACTGTCCACCTTCACGTCCTTCAGTGCGCGCTGGGCAGCACCATCCTCCGGGTACGTCTTCTTGTTCAGCACGAACGCCCCGCTCCTGATGCCTTCAAAGTCCAGTGGCGTCGGTGGCGCACGAGAACGCCACATGTCCGCCATAGAGAGAAGGTTGAGGATGTCCGAGTGGAAGACCTGCCAGGGACATGAGCTCAAACGTACATTGCCCACCTAGTAGTGGCTATTACCTTCTCAAATACCATCTTCGCCGCGCTCGGGCCCTTGCCGACGTCCGGCGTTCGGAGGGCAGCGCGGACAGCCTTGAAAGCTTGGGCCTCTTTACGTAGGGTGGCGATTTCCTGCGCTGTAAGTTGAGAGACGCGGGTTCATTCATCGGCAATGCATGAGGATGAAGGGGTACTCCGCTTACCATTCTCGCCCTGCTTCTCGGCGTCGTCTAGCTCGCCACCCGAGTCCTCGTCCTCGCCGAATAGTTGACTGCACATACAAATGCGGGGAATTCGTATGGGTCGTTCTGGTATGTCAATTGGGCTACTCACGGCATGAGGTAACTCTTCGCCCATACTATACAGTGTATCGGTTGGGAGGGCGTCGAGCGGATGGTGCAGACAGGGAACGTTTTGGGTGTTGGTTTCGGTACGCAATCGAAGCATTCTGCGCGGTCCTAAGCAACGGGTCATGAATGAGAAGCGGTTCAGTATACGAGGAAGAGGTAGGATAGCACACCTTCACGATAGGCTGGACCTGGCCTAGGTATCCGGCAGTCCCGGATTCTACCAGCGGGACGTTTGCAGCCATGCACATCTTGTTTACGTGCCTCCGCGCATCTATCAGGTCATGAGCTCGAAGATTGAAGGCAGGAGAGACGGAGTAACGCACCGAGGTTGTCCAGCGCGTTGAGGACGATGTCAAAGCCTCGGAACCAGGCAACGTCAAACTGCGGCTCTTTGATATTGCCATGTATCGGCGTGATTTTGACGTTCGGGTTGAACGCGGATGCGGTCCTGGCTGCGACCTGTCCACCAGTCGTCGCGTCAGACAGAGTTTGACTACAGCCCGATGGGAAGGGCACGCACCAGCGCCTTGCTCTGTTTGACATCCTTCTTCTTGAAGAGAAACTGGCGATTGAGGTTCGAAAGGTCGATAGTGTCCAGGTCGAGGAGGGTGATGTCTCCGAAGCCCGTGAGCACGATGTTCTTCACTGGGTGGCCGTATCGAGCGAAGTATTATACGCGTCAAGGCAATATTAAAGGCCAATGAGATGTAGAGTCGGTCTGATGAGCCATTAACTTGTCCAGGAAATCGTGCGACGTACAGAGTTCACAGCCAATACCACCCGCGCCCACCAACAACACCTTCGTCTCCGAGAGACGACCGTAGAGCTCAGGGCCCAATATGGCTCGTGCGTGTAGACTGCGCCCATCCGGTCCTCCAGGAAGCTTCGGCATGTTTTCACCAGCGATCCCGCGTCGTCCGGGCTGTCGAGGATGGGAGGGAGAGCGAGGCGGGGGGACAGTCTGTGCGGACGTCTGTGGTCGAGCGTGACAACCAGACGCGTACATGGACTGTGACGTCACGCGTCAAACCACAGCGCGTCACGCGCTGTCACATCACCTTCTGTCCTTGTACCCACTCTTCCACCACCTCGGGATTTCTACTTTGTACTCGCACCTTACACTTCCAACCCAACCAAACCTCGAAGATGATCGTGCTCAGGGCATGTATAGCAATGGATATAGCATCGCCAGTATGACCAGACTGAGATATGCTGCAGGTGTGACCTTACAAGAACCAGTTCGTGAATCTCAGACTACTTATATGCGGTGAGTACCCAACACTAATCCCGCTAATAAGTATACCGAGTCGATGCTGCATGGTATGATGTCGGGAGAAGACCATTCTGCCTTGCGCTTTGGCTGAAGACGCAGTCCGTTGCAGTATTCCAGACATAACTTGGAACATCGCAGGAATGGTGCCCCAGCATACCTTCTTGCGATGTTCGCGGTCCTCCTAGGCTCTAGCATGCGTTGTCCACAATCTGTGTATAGGAGCCTCCAGAGCAGCAGCTCTATTAACCAAATCTCTGTACAGTAACACATCGTGAGCGTATCGTGAACGTAATGCATCGTCATGGTCGGCCCAACGACCCAGATCATAAAGGAGGGCATCAAACGAATGACCGACCCGACCACGAGGGCGAGCGACAGTCTATCCGACGACGATGAAAGTCTAGTATCCTGCAGTGAAACGTGCAAAGGCGGAGTCCTTTCTCAGTGTCCGTTGACAGTGGAGGCGGGAGGCGGGAGGAAGCGCTCAGCAGCGAACACCGCGGGGCGACTGGGGGAACGCCCAGAGGCCGTCGGAACCGCGGCGGTTCGGCAGCCAGGGCGACGTGAGCGGGTCGACGGAGTGTACGCGGAGCGACTGCAGCCAGGGCGAGAAGATGGGCGTGTGCGCGGAGCAGGGCGCGCGGGGATCGTACGTGGGGCTGAGCGCGTTGTTCGGCGTGGGAGAGAGGGGGGACGCCAGGGCAGCGAGGCCCAGCACGCCGAAGATCATCTTGCTCGCACGGCTGGGAACGACGTGAGTTAGCGAGAGGGGGAGAGGGCGCGCGGGGGACGCACCTGTGCTTGCGAGACCGCTTGCCCGTCCACGACTCATACGGCGCCATGCCGATGTCGACCGTCGCTTCCCCATTGACATACCTGCTGGCTGTGACGGGCACGGGCGCGCTCCGCAGGGGCGTCTCGACACCGCGCTCGGAAGATAGTCGGAGCGCGATGGAAGCTGTTCAGAGGGCAGGTCTATCACCGGCGTGTCAGCGAGGGGCTGTGCGACTCACGGAACGTCTCAAGGGTGGTGCTGATGCGCGGCGTGCCGACGCGGACGGTGCGGATCGTGCCCTTGGTGTCGGACACCCAGATCGCGGGACTCGCCATGAACTCGGCGGCGGTCTTGAAGCTCTCCTCGAAGTCGTCCTCCTCTTCGACCGCGCCGCCCACGGCCGCGCCCTCGCCCCCGCGCGCGCGGACAATGTCGCGCGCGAGGTCCTCCGCGGTGACGTCCTCGTCGAACATCATCCGGTTGGGGTCGTCCCAGTCGTAGCGGTCCTGGAGCCAGGTGTGGAGGGCGAGGACCTGGGTGGGCTCGAGGCTCGCGAGCATGAGCGGTGCGTCGGTCGCGACCGGCTGGCTGGCCTGGGCCATGGCACCGAGTTGTTCTGCAATGGCCATCGCGACCTCGGTGATCTGCTCATAGTTCACTTCAGGCGTAGGAGAGGGCAGCGGGCGCGAGGAGATGGTAAGGGTGGACAGCCCGAGGGAGGCGCGGGGCCACTTGCGCATCGTCGCCGACTTCAACGGAGGCGGGGTGCGCTTGTCAGACTGAGATGCAGGCTGGGCAAGACTCATCATGTCAGATAGAAAAAAGTAAGTCGTCTCGAGACTCGTGAGGGGAGGTGATTCGTGTAGATGTCGTGAGCTGCGACTCGCAATCGACCGGCGATAGAGAGAAGCGTAGATCTGGGTGATGAGCGGGAAGGAGGGAATAAGACGTGCGCACGATGTGCCAGAAACCAGCTGAGCAGAGTGGTGGATGGCTCAGGAGCGGGCGCGTTGGAAAAGGTGCGACGCGTGTTATATAGCGCGCGGGCAGTGCCGCCGCACTTGCCATGCTGCCTCTGGCGACTGACCGCCATGCGTGTGTCGCAATGTGCAGATCATCGCTGATACGCCCGTCGCGACGCCTCGACCTCGTTCTACCCGCCGGGATTAAAACTAGTACTGGCCCTGAAACAGTGCAGTGCCTTAAGCTTATAGTCGCAAACAGTCCTCGCTCACTCGCTCTTCTCTCCAGCTATCCTGCGACGGGCGGATACGACAATGACACGATCACACTTGCGGTACAAGCTTATTGCACTGCGGAATTCCACGCACTAGGACAGATGACGGGACGCGACGACGACGGGCATGACACGGGTATGAACTACACCCGCGCCCAAGGCGATGTCGAGATGTTCTCGCCTGATGATCAGTCCGGGGAAGCTATAAGTGCCCCTCGGAAGTCGTCTTCTATTTGCCGGCGCTGGTCAGACGTCCCTTAGCGGGGCACGGTGGACACAACCGTCCCGCACGAGCGCAAGCCTTACGAACACTGTACCCGAGTCGACGTCTCGAAGGCGTCTCGAATCGCCTGAAGGCTGGACAGCACGCGCGAAGGCGGTGCGCGACGACGGAGGGCACCATGTAGCCCACAGCGCAGCCCTACACCGTGTATGTGTACCGTCTCCTATTGACGGTCGCGTACTACAGCGTGCAGCTGTACCGCTGGCAGATGGCCCTGAGCGAATATGCCCGCGCCAAATACTGGCGCGCGGACGTAGCGTATTATAACCTTTTAGGGCGATCTCTGCGGTGGCACCGCAACCCCAAGCGGCGTCGCGTTGCGCCATATGAACGCGGGGCACGGTTATGGCGAGGCGACTCAGGCGAGCCTGTTTCCAGTCAAGGAGCAGGACAACCACGCGTTGGCGTTCTCGTGAGGGCGAGGGACTGCGGAAAGAGGTGCGGATTTCTGCCAGTGTTGTGAGGTGTACTGAAAAGGCGATGATGCGGAACAGGCTCCAGTCCGACCAAGTCCGGCGCTACATACAAGTACCATGGCTATGGCGTGAGGCAATGCAATAACTGCTAGAATTACCGCGGCCGTCCGAGGTACGTTATGTAAGCCCATGGAGTTCAGAGTACATTGACTCACACGTAACGGAATGTCCGAGTGGTGGTGAACGCATTTGTTCAAGTGCTGCGACAATCGGATTAGGACATGTGATAGGTAGCAATACGGAGAGTCGGGAGACGATAATGGGATGACCAATCCCCGCACGTCCAAATCAGGAAAATCCCGCCGTCGTAGCGCTTACCGCTCGCCGTCCGAATCCGTCGTACCGACTCCCAACCCAAGCGCAACCGTCTGAAATCATTGATTTGCTAGTCGCGCGAAGTCGTTAGCGATTTAAGACTAGGTTAGCATCGTTTGTTCCATCATCCTGACGACTGACAGAGCACATCACGCATTGTGGTGATACTCCGCACTACACGCCTCTTCTCTCGATGCAATCTCACCGACTGAAGGGGTTGCAACTGATCTGGTGCGCATATATCTGTTCCGGTCAAACGGTGTTGCAACATCTACTTATTCTGCAAGCCTTTCAATGAATAGGCAGTCAAGGCGCCGTCGGTGATTTTTCCGTCTGCCTTTATCAGCAGACTTCACTTCTCGCGTCGCGCTCGTACATTCGACAAGCCCCATCCATTGCTAGCTGATGCACCGATGGTTGATGCACCACGTAAGTACAGAGGTTGCGATTTGCTGCGCTGCTTGATGGGATTGTCTTCAGTCCCTTCGCCGGTCAATAACCGTAACGAGGCAAGCAGCACCAGTCAAGGCCCACGTTCGTTACCGGAATGCGCGCAAAATTAACAGAGCACGATGACTATGGCGCTCACCCGCTTCGGGGAGTACTTGCGGCAGCCGAGGGCACGCTTTCTAAACACACCCTTCAGCTTACGCAAATTAGACTCCTGCCAGTGAGATATTCCGATCATTCGCGCAAGCACCAACGGGATGATCTCATGCAGTCGCATCGCATCGACCTTCTATGATCCATCAACCGGCCTCCCACTCACGACGCCTCGGAAGCCACGTTCGGATTTGAAAACCCCCTTTCGATCGGGTATGGGCGCATGCGCAAGGCAATGATCGAGACGCGCGCGTGGAGCGTCACGGTGTTGGTGGGACTGATCTGCAAGGTACGGTGGGCGCGTCGACGATCACCTGTGCCGCCTACTACTAATCCAGCCTTTCCTGTCATTAGAGCAATGGCCGAGGACGTACTGCCGTCCAGAGGTTCACTGCACGCTGAGCGGTCTCAATCCGTTTTCCTGCGTATGGGATTCGTGATAGCCGATATGCTCCGTGAGCGGTCGGTCCTCCATACGTGATGTGCATTCGAAGCGTATGAGCACTGAATACTATTGACAGGTGAGGGGCGCCCTAGGGCGCGAGCTCGAAACCATGAAGGCCGGGTATGATACTTCATGTTCACATTGTTGGCGCAATCAGGCGATGCAATCTAGCGGTAACGAGTGTGATCTGTAGGTTCGCCTGCAAACCCGCGCATTGATATTTATTACATACTATACGATGCATCGGCTCTTTTTGAAACCCATGACATTGCCTGCAGGCTCAGCGCCCCAGCAGCGCTGTCAGTGTGGTGCGACTCGGAGTATCGTCTAACGTGGTTATGCGCAGGCCGGATTACAGAAAACAGCACTGAAATCTCGCATGCACACAGCTGTATTATGCTCCAAATGTTGAGCTCCATGGCTGAGCAGTGTGATATACATTTCGCATCGTCAACATACGATCAACAAGATTCATACGAGACGGCGGTCAAACATTCATCAAGAACCATATTGGTACATGTCCCTCTTCGATTTCCGTTGGGTGCAGCACGGATATGAAGTGACTCAGTATGTGAGCGACCCTACAAAACCAATCAATACCGACGTCAACGCGGAAGATAGACCACATACATATAGTGAACATGTCATTACAGGTCCTTTCGAATGCCGTCAAAGGCGTTGACCGCCGTGTTCGCCTCTTGCTGACTCTGTAGTCATCACAAAGGAATCGTAAGCAATGAGATCTTCATCAGCCAACAGTAATGAGAGAACTGACGACATTGTAGCCAGCCTTCTGAGCGGCTTTCTCGATGCCGCTGTCCACGCCGGAAGAACCACCACCGCTCGATCCTCCTCCCATACCTCCGGCGCCAGACGAATTGTTCCGAGTCGCGCTGCCCGTCCCGCCGCTGCTACCGTTGTTGTCGTTGCTACCGCCATAGTTGTTGTTTCCGCCGCCACCGTAGTTGCTGTTATCGCCGCCGCCGCCATAGCTGCTGTTCCCTCCATCGGCATTCGGGTTATTGTTCCCGGAGCTGTCGTTCCCGCCGCCCATACCGCCGCCGCTACCGTAGTTATCGTTGCCTCCGCCGTATCCGCCTCCCGCACCGCCGTTGCCGCCATTGTCGTTGTTTCCTCCGCCGGATCCGCCTCCCATGTTGCCACCGCCCATGCCCTGGCCGCCACCCATTCCACCACCCGTGTTCTGGTTATTGTCGCTGCTCCCGTAACTGTTGTTGTTGTCAGAGCGATCCATGTCGAAGGATGGTGGTGCAATATAGAGAGGATGTTAGTTCCCACAGAAGAGCTTTGGCTCAGCATCATGGGCTCTTGTACTCCGCGAGTAGACAGGCACACTGACCAGGAATTCGAATACTGACGAGGACGGGCATCATACATGCATACTTATGACGCAGTGAACAAGGCACGCACTCTGTATGACAGCGAAGCACTCCGCGTCCGAACCTGTGACTGACAATACGAATTCTCGCTGAGCAAGCAAGCGTCGCACCTGGGAACGCCAGAATGCATAGCGTACACACAACGCACAGCGATCATACTGAGCACATCAATGAGGTCATTCCTTCTTGGCCCAGTCCTGCGCACGGCGTTTGGGAGGGAGGGGGTGGACGAAAATAACCTGTTATCGATACTTCATGACGTGAGAACATCTCGTCCCACCGAGTGCAAACTGGGGAGCAGCATAGTCCTCGTGACGAAGTTGTGTGCGGCATGTAGTAACCACAGCTGGGGGCTGCAGAAGCCCGACTAGCAATGCACGTATCGCCGTCGACACTACAAGCGATCATCGTCGAGTAGTAGCGAAGCGAGGCATGAGCTGCATGACATCCGATTGTGGAAAGTTAAGCTTATAAGACTCACCGCTCAGGATACTATCGGTGTGCGCGTCGCGGAGTCTGAGCATCAACAAGCATGGTATACATCCCTACCGGCAATCTTCCTGAATAGGCAGCGCCTCATAGAGACATCTTCACTGCCTGTGTCGATGCAATTCATGCGTGTCTATCTGTCCGTCGGGAAAATCAATGATACAGTGCATGAGCTCGATGTCATGAAGCGAGCTGAAGACGCGTCAGCTGCCAGAGCGCGAGGCAAAAATAATGACCTGCTTACGAAACTCAGTCCTTCTTGAATACTTCATACAGCACCTTTCCGAACAGGCCAAAGTCATCTAAGCTCTGCGAGACATCTGAATGTCAGAGTAGCAAGATTGGAGCAAATGGAAGAGTCGGAAAGGAGGCACTTACGACACCGCTATCGCCATGAGAAGTATCATAGCCGTCGTCGTTGCACCAGATTTTATTGGGCCCGTACATTCTAGCAGCGACACCTTCATTGCCGCTTTCATGACGACTCATTTCAAACATGTCAGCCTGAGCACGGCCTGTACTTGAGTATGTCGAACCGCGATAGCCGAAACACGTATACATTGGCTGTAAGGGTCGCATCGCTTCGCTTCCTGCGGATGCGGATTGAACTTCAGCTTCATTCATTGACTCTGTCATCTTTCCCTCGGTGAGAATGACCAAAAGTAAGAAGTATTATGAAAGCCCTCTGTCACGCTTCCGCTGTGGACGGCGGCTCCGCTAGCAGCTTCTGGCGATGCCCGCTGTCATTGCCAGGTATCCGAATCGTGCATAGTAGCCATCAGCGTTGAATGAACGCTGTCACGTCAATCACGTCACGAACTCGGAGTCACACCACTACTGATTGTCCGCGGCCGAGTGGAGACCAAGGAGTTCGCAGTCTCGCAGCCGGGAAATGAGATGGATGCTAAGTAGCGGCGCTACTAGTACATATGAGTAGCTTCATGAGCCAGCAGGATGGGATACATACGGATGGCCTTTCCAGCGCAACCTCAAGGTGTACGAGAAGCATATCGAGGGTGAGGGGTGCGTTACCCTTGCAGTGCCGCACGCTGAGTCTAGGGTGTGATGAGGCTCCTTGAGCGTCCAAAACACGGCATAACAGGGAGACAGACGTACCGCGCCAGGTCATCATGATATAGATGTCATACGCAGATAATTACCGGAGGGACGGGCATCAATGTGTATAATAGACGTTGTCACTCACCTGCCCAGATGCAAAAAGTCATTGAGTGTAAAGTTGTTGATTAGCGACATCGTCTTTGTACAAGTCACAGGCGAGTCTTGGGCGAGTCACAGGGGATAAGTTCTCAGCGGCGAGTGAGATACAGGTTCATTCTGTTCAGAGCATTGAGTACTGGTATGTAGCAGGAACAGTCAAAGGCTGGTTGAACTACTTTCGAGTAGTCAGTGCCAGACTCCAGCCTGAGTGGCGTTCGAACTTCGATTGGAGTCATGGACGTTGAACGTGGGCGGCAACGGATCACGTGCTGCACACATCGTCGCTACGCGTACTTTCAAGTTTTCAACGTTCCCTCAACTCAAACTTGACTCAAACTACATTCTCATTTATGAACGGTCTGCGGTGTTGTGTCCCAATCAAAAAATTAGATTTGCTCGATTTCGGGCTTGTGGACAACCATTCGGCGTTCCCACTGAGGTCACGATCAAGATCAACCTCCTCGGCGACTACTAACGACCATAGGACGCGACTCAAAGTCGGCTCGGTCCGCAAAATGACTAGATAGTACAACAAAAGCACGTTCCGATAGGCTGGGCCGTTGAGTCGCTGTGGAACTCCAAAATTCTAAACATAGCTATCCCAAGAGGCCTGCCACAAGCGTATCCAGGTCCTGGCGAACACTCCGCGTCTGTAGTAAGCCGTTACTTCAGGCATGTTTTCAGAACCGTGATTCAGGCTGGCTAACGCTCGGTCAAGATAGTAACATGGACGATCCAAGCTCAGGCGGGGAGATCCCTGTTCAATACCGCTGTCTAGCCAGCACCTGAGCCTTTCGAGATCTTTGCCCTCGACGGAACATCGTCCAGTCACCCCAGAAGCCAGGTAAGCCCGCTCTATCCAAGCGCGGTATCTTGTCATATGTTTTTACGTCTTAGCAGTTCATATCGCTCTCCGTACGTGGGGAATGTTCGGAAAACAGTCCCTGAAGAGAAATGATGCGCCACTCCCAGGGTTCCGTCTCCCCTTTACCCCTCTCAATCCGAGTTTCACGGATTCACCGTCTCGGGCAACGGTTGGGTGTCATTGTCTGTGTGCATTCCCTATTTACTAGCCTTGAATGCAAACAGCGCGATGACGGCAGCATATGTGGCCCCGCGCGCCCCTGCGTCCACAGTATGTAACAACGGCGTGAGAAGAATCGCGCCTTCGCCGAGCACGTTCACACGCGACAGGGAATGCTCAGGGATAGGTAAGTAGTCGGGGATGGTCCGAAAGAGCGACATTCACCCAACCGCATTCGATCTTCCTATTCTTGGTCCCATGGCGAGCACTGAATTGATCGCACCCAATGGGCGCGTCGATACGGGCTCTTCCCTCGTAGCTGCGGCGAAGTCTGGTCTATCCCTTTGACGTAAGGCCCCCTATTAGCTCGGTGAATCGCAATCTGAATAGAGCTTCTCCGTTGGTTACGCCACGCTTCCTTCATATATCTCCCGCTGCGAACTCAGGTCTCCATAACTCGTCACCCATCAAGTTCCATGTTCATGGAGCAGGACACGCAGATCCTTGCCACGCAGTATGTGTATCCGAAGACTTTCCTTGTCCAAATCGAGACTCAGTCTATCCTTATGCGCAGATCTGGGCCTGCGGTGGGGTTCAGTCGCCGGGAAGCTTGACTTGCTAAAGGCTAAACAAGGTTTAGTTACTAGGCTGTTTCATGGACTGGGCATTGCTGGGGGTGCTCAACGTTCAAGTTTGTGAGTTCGTTTCCCCAGCTTCTGTATGCCTATAGTAGCTCAAAGTAGCTCCTATTTCAAGACTTGTACCACGTCAACGTCTCTTGTGATCCACTGTTTCTCCAGATCCTTGGTGAGCCGTATTGCGGGCCCTTTCGATGTTTCCTAACTGACGCCGATTGTCAGTATACGTGGTCTTCATCCTCGAATGGCTTCAATCAATCAATCTGACATCGATGGCCTGGCAAGTCTTCGTCGTAGATTACGGCCAGGGCGACGCGCTCTCTACAATACACGTCGGCTGGATGCCGCTACCAATATTGTGCTCGGTGATTTCATTGATCACGCAATTGTTCTTTGCCTGGCGGATTTGTATGCTCTCGAAAAGCACCCGCATCGTCAGCGGCATCATACTGGTTTGGTGCTCATGATCTTTCAGAGAAACATGCACGCTGACCTTCTTGCGAGTGAAGCTCGCTTTGGTGCAGACGGTGTGCGGATTTCTCGTGGGAATCAAGGTCAGTGCATCCGTTCAACTGCCGTGTGGGACAGTCACGGAAGAGCACAGCTCAAGGACGGGTCGGCAAGTTCGCAATTCCTTTCGTCCAAGGCGACCCTCATCGTGACCTCTGTAAGCTTCGCGTTATTCCGACCGTCGTTATCTAACTCTGATATCTCGCGCGTACAGCTGTGGATGGCCGGTAGCGCCTTCGTTGACATTCTTATTGCCGTAGTCATGACAATATTGGTATGTGTTCATCACTAGTCAGGAGGTGAGACTCATCACCATCGTTCAGATGATCAAACGGAAAACAGGCATTGCTGCGACCGATAGAATAATCAACAAGATTATAAGACTCGTTGTCGAGACGGGCAGTCTTACGGGTACACCGACTGCATTCACCCTGCGAGTCTTGTATCGCTGACTATGCATACCAGCAAGCGTTGCGACCGTTGGTCTCATACTCGCCATTCTAGCCCCAGTACGTCTTGATTTCATGAGAATTCACCGCAACATCGCTTAGGCTCACCGAAGGAAGCGGCATATTACCAACCACCGTGAGCACAACTTGAACTTATTCGTCGCACACCCATTCCTCACGACGCCTCAGAATATACACCCTCACGAAGCTGTACGCAGTCCTATCAGCATGCACGGCTTACCCGCAATCGCTCACTGTACCCGATAGGTACTCGAACACTTTCCTCACCAACCTTACCAACCGCTTCTTCCTCGGACGTGATCACCTACCCAGAGGACAGCATCATCGCAGTGGCACAGACGTCACGAGCCTCGCGTTCACCTCGGTATTTCCCGATGTTGAAGATTTCCATCAACCAGAGAGGTCTGCCGCACAAGGTGAGGTGGCAACGTCAGCGGCTGAGCGCATTCAGCGAAGTCTGGGACTAGATCGGCAGACCACTGGCCCTACGCATTAGGTTGGTTTGTCCGGCACCTATGCGTCGAAGTGCTGCCTTGTCGTACTGATGCCGCTTCTGCGAATTGTAGAACCAGTATCTTTCCATCGCAACAAGCAACTTCGACCAACACAAGCATATCAACAATCTCAACAATAAATTATTCATCCATCTGTAAGTCTTGTGCATTCCATCGACGGCGACTCTATTCCTAACCATCTCGCGCAAAAGTCGCATTGCTACCTTTGTACATCTGGACCGTGACAGGTTGACATGACCGAGGTGACGAAAGAGCTTGCGACAGTGATCGTTGGAACCAATCCTCTTCGTCCACACGTCATCGCATGCAGCGACATTACCAGCCGTCCACCACGAGCCGCCGTTGCTGTCTGTACATCTCTCAAACCTTCATGATTTGCCTTCAGACCCATCTATGATTTCGCGATTTTGGCGCAAGGAACCAGACACATGACGCCTGGTACATTATCCGGCCAGGAAGCGGCAGCCACGCGTTCATTTCGCGGAAGGAGCACAACGAGAGAACTTCGGAGTCGACGCTCGTCTCGCGCGATCGCGGGGCGATCGTACCAAGATCGTACAAAGCGTGATTTGCCACTGCTCTAAGCTGTGCTATACATATCACGACATCCCGGTGAGCGCCTTCCACCATGTACACATGGTTTCGTACTTCTCATCTTCTGTACCTCCGTACTCGTAATAGGTACATAATCCCTGAAGTAGGTTGTCATGAGTTCAGAGCAAGAGTCGGCCACTGTTTTCCTACCAGCCGTACGACCACTGCTCGAAATCTCTCTTTCATTCCATCTGCTTACTTCGAAAGCACCTCGCCGCCACCGGAACCCTACAACTTAAGGTGCGAGTTCAGATCTGACTCAACCCAAGCGGTCAAGAAAGGAAATCATACTGACCGCACCACCGTAGCTATCAGTGTTTCTGCCAGTGCAGTTTCCTGCCCCTCCGCGGCCTGTACTCACACCCTGTCTGAAGCTGTTGACGTTATGCCCGCCTGGCATGGTGGTGGGATCTTGACCGGGCCAAGCTCTGAAATCCCCTCTCAGGCTGTTGTCCCCACAACCGAAGTTACTGCCATTGTCGTTGTCGAAGTCAACCATGACGGGAGTCTGATGAACAGTCAACGTGTATGGCGCTCGAGTTGTAAGCGTAAGTGTCTGCCATGGCGGCATATCTGATGGCAGACACCGGGTTTTGGCAAAGATGACGCACTACCTGTGCGCGCGGCGAAGGCGCGTGCGACGTTGATTGGAAAGGCATCGCCCACTGTACTTCAGTGGAGTCTCGCAATGGTGGATCTACTCGGTCGCCTGAAAGCGTGAGAGGTGGTGTAGAGAAAAACACGCCCCGAGACGGCGTCAGGCAATATTGAGACATTGAGAGCAGTAGGCCACTGGCACGAGAGTTATCATAGTACTTATGTAACATAGATTCAGACACACTCAGGCGAATGAACGACAGCTAAGTACTTATGACAACAATCAACCACCGCGCCTTTGCTGATGAAAATCGACGAAGTATTTGCTGAACCATCTCTTTGAGAAAACACTGCAGTACAGCATTGTGGGGAGCCGTACCGTCGGGCCTTGCCCCTGGTCCGCCACAAGTCCGCCATCACGCCGGCGGGATGCCGGCGTCTGAGTGGAGTGCGAGTCTCGACGCATCCAAAAAGGCAAGATGCTAGATTGACAGCAAGCTGAGCGATGCCCTCTCGCAAGCCCTGGCCTGCGTTGTTCGTAATGGACGGAACATGCGAGACGGTGGGAACAGGAACATACCAAGCCGCTGTATGCAGGCTAGAGACGCCGATATCGGCCCCGTGCCCGTGATCATTCGGCGCATCCGACGCTTTCACAACACATTGCAGCCCTCCGTTGTGTCACTCAGCACCGACGCCCACTCCGGTCCAACCAGCTCGACGAGGTATCAAAAACAGCCCCCGCCAGTTCAACGACCCCTCTCGGTGAGCCGCTGGCCCGCTCCCCGAAACATCATCACCAAGCCGTCTCTGACCTGCGAGCATGGGCAGTGATATGGCCATAGGCGTCATCAACCGCGACTGCTTCAACAATGCCGACCTCGACGCCCTCGTCACCCATATCGTGCTCTTCGGCGGTCCCGAGGACGAGGCCTCCGGCCCCTCCGCTGTCCTGCACTGGCGCATGCTCCTCCGCCTCGAGGGCGGCGGCTCCGTCACGCTCAACATGATCCCACAGGGCCGGCCCTCGCTCGACGGCGTGCTCTTCGTCCGGAGCAACAAATCCACTATTCCCCCAGACTCGATCGACGCGTGCGTCTACGAGACCGCCCGCCCGATCACCGTCGACGCCATCCTCGCGTTCATCCAGCGCAACAAGCTCCACCGGTACAGGTACGATGCGTGCGGCTCCGGCTGCAGGTGGTGGTGCTACTGCGTGCTCGACGACATGGCGAGCACCGGGATCGTGCCCAAGGGCTCCGGCCACAAGTACTGGGCGCACATCGGCATCCTGGCCGACCTCGATCCGATGCGATACCCGGATTGGCGGAGGGGCGAGTTTATGTGAGGACGCGCGGAAAGTAAGCCGTATATGACAGTCCTTCTTCGATGTTTTTCGTTGAGCTGCACGCCAGGTGCATGGACGACCACTACGCTGCGTCGTCGTCGAGCCGCCGGTCGCCGACCCGATTCGGATGACGATCGCGTCCAGCGCCAAACGACATACGCTACCGTGACAGGACAAGACCACTATGATCCCTGCTGTACTTCGTTGTACTGTGCTCAGGCCGGGTACGTTTCAGGCCGACCACAACTTCTCTTACAATTTACACTTTATTTATCCCCCTCCCTGTAACTCTCGGATACTTCTGGATCTCTCATACCTCATCTCTCACGCGTGCATAGCCTACTCCATATGCATACCAGCCTGTCAGCCCTCGCTACCACCCAGCTCAGTACTCGGTGCTATAATATGTTGTTTCCCGATACCGCTGTCACCGCTGTGCACCATGTTTCCGTAGACCCACGTATCATGCATATAGACGTTCTCAAGGCAGCGTGCGTGTTCGAGTTTGACGGTGAGAGATTGCGACACGATTGAGGTGTGGATTCCCGTAAGCGTCATAATACGCTGCCCACGGTCGTTTCTTCTCCATTCAGTCGTGTCGCCGGATCTTGCTCTTGATAATGGGATATCCGACGTCGGATCCGACGGAGAGTAACTGTTCAAGCAAGTGCGCTACATTTTGACAAGGCTTGACCGTCTACATGGCTGAGTCAGGCCGAGGGTCGGACGATAGGCTTGTCGCGATCGTTCCGCACCTCAGGATCAGCGAAGAAGTGTTAACCTTGCACCACGGGCGCCCAACGGCGCACCGTAAAGGGGAATGTAGAGCACGGAACACATCCACGACGGGCCACGGGGACCCGTGGACGAGGTATACACACCTTTGCTAACGTAACCGCCCGCTGAGGCACAATACCCATGACAAGTTCTGCCGTGGTCTGTTGTTCCTGCCTTTGCGCCGTGCCTTGAAGTTCGGCGTGCGTCAAGGATCGATGGCAAGAGATGCTTAGTGGATGTCGTGCGAGTGTTACTACATCATGTACATTGCGAGCGTGACCTCTGCATCCGGGAGGTCGGCAAAGCGTGCCACAGCTACTTTGAAGAATGAGTAGACGAACAGAAGCATGACGTAGTGTGCTTAGGCCATGTCCAAAGCGGGGTCCATCGCGCTTGCTACAGATCCAGGATAGAGTCTTGTCCAAGCCTGGGCGTGATTGACGAACAGCATCGGCCCTATCACGATTGCTGAGCTTTACAGTATTAGCTCTGACGCGAAAAGGCGACGTACCTTTTTAGTACATTACTACATGTGCCTCTTGGTCGGATGGACGAGTGACATTAAAACTCTCATAAGTAACGGGGTATTCCTTCCTGTGGCAGGATCCCTGCATCTGGATGTTCCAGACGCGTGTACATATGGACCTACGCATGCAAAGGCGTTGCCAATCCATGACAGGCAACGAGCTAGCCATGGCGCGTTGCTTCGAATCGACGTTCCCCGATCAGTCGAAGGTAGTAACCGATGGGCGGGATACCAATGCCATGAGGCCTATGTGAGTGGTGCAGATCAAGAGATCGGAACGGCCCAAGCACATTATCGAGGCTTGAATAAGTCGGAGAGCGCACGAAGCCGTGAGGTGTTCCAGTTGCTTTGGTCTCGTTTGACGAGCTTGACCTGGTCTGCGCTGTTTCAATGACGTTGCTGAAGAGATACTACCCAAACATAGCGAATACGACAACCTTGAGAACATATTCAATCGGCTCGCGACGTCCGAATACGTTTACTTATGTATGCGTTCAACTATGTAGTAAGCCTGAGAGTAACACATATTTGAAGTCAGTCATCACACCGGACAAAGACAGCACACCACACACCGTCACTACCTCTGTCATACGCTACGAACGTAGTGGAGTTGTGATAATAATCCGCACTAGCAAGCACCAATGGGTCACCAATATTAATGTGGGAGGGCTGGCGGAGGAGGAGAGGAATGAGTGAGCACGATGCTCACGTGGCGTGCTCTATGACATCAGCCCTGCGTCCGACGACCTCCGAAATCGTTCATAACCGCGAGCTCGTCGTTCCCAACGTCTTACGCATCCCTTTCCCCAACTACCACCATACACGAGCTGTTTTAACATCACATCCACGAACGCCATGTCCATGCTCGCTACCACCGTCCGCAACGTCGCCCGCACGCGCGTCCCGCGCGCCGCGCCGTCACTCGCGCTCTCCATGCAGGCGCGCTCGAAGCACACGCTCCCCGAGCTCCCGTACGCCTACGACGCGCTCGAGCCCCATATCTCGGGCCAGATCATGAAGCTGCACCACCAGAAGCACCACCAGACCTACGTGACCGGCCTCAACGCTGCTGAGGAGAGCTTCGCAAAGGCGAGCTCGCCGAAGCAGAAGATCCTCCTCCAGCCTGCGCTCAAGTTCAACGGTGGAGGTGCGTGTAGAACGTCTAACGCTATCTAGCGATTGCGCAAGACCAATTCTGACGTACTGGTGTGGGTGTGATGCAGGTCACATCAACCACTCGCTCTTCTGGAACAACCTTGCGCCTCAGGGCCAGGGCGGTGGTGAACTCAAGGCGGGTCCTCTCAAGGATGCTATTGACGCTGACTTTGGTGGCCTCGATGGTGAGTAGTGCTTCCTGTATCTACTTCACAGATGCCCCTCACATGCTGCTCGTCGCGCCTTGCGTCTTGCGCATTTCCTGTGATTTTTATTTGCCTGTCTACTGCCTACATAGCGCGCACATGCGTCATTTAACGTGCCGTACATTGTTATACGCGCCGTTTATCCATTTATATGCCCGGCGCGCGTTCGCAGTTGCTAAAGTTTTATGACGTCACAGGTCTGAAGAAGCAGCTGAACGCTGCAACGGCAGCCATCCAAGGCTCCGGCTGGGGCTGGCTCGGCTACAACCCGACCACGAAGAAGCTTGAGACTGTCACCACGGCTAACCAGGACCCCCTGCTTTGTGAGTTCTCTGCCCACCGCCGTTTCTCGAGAAGCGACTGACTGTTTTGCAGCGCATGTTCCGATCATCGGCATCGACATCTGGGAACATTCTTACTACCTCCAGTATTACAATGTGAAAGCGGACGTACGTATTACTCTTATGTCGGTATAGTCATGGCGGAGATGCTGATGGACGTTGGACAGTACCTCGGTGCGATTTGGAACGTCATCAACTTCGGCGAGGCGGAGGCACGTTATGTCGAGGCTGCTAAGCAGTAAGCAGTGGCAATGTTTCTGACGACGTGCGTACTGTGTAAAATAGACTTCTAATGCTTTGTCACTGTCTGCTTTGTGTGCACATTGTCCGGTCTTCCGCTCAACATTCAACGTTCAGCGCTCGCATCCAAGCATTCAACCGTTCACAGGTGTTGGGGAAGCGTGCGTCCCGCGATGCATCGCCCCCGCCGGCGCGTACTAAAGATATAAAAACTGAGTAGCGGGGTAAATGACTGCTGATCGACCTCCTCCCCAATCGACGGAGACTTTGTAGGCGAGGACGGTAGGTTTGCTTACCACTCTCTACTTACATCCATAGAAGCTTCTGACATATGTATCAGACACCATGCCTAACAAGACGCCTGTCCGCAAGACCGCCAGTGAGCAACCCCTGCCAGAAGGTGGGTGCAGCGACTAGATGGTTTGTTAAATTTGAAGTAATCTCATTGGGTGCAGAGGTTGGCTCTGCTCAGGTGCGCTCCCGCGGGAAGAAACGTGATCGCTCCCCGGAGAAGCAGGGCGAAGATGCGGGTCAAGCCCACTCAGACCGTGACGGGGAGGACAATCATAATTTGCTGAAATGCGTACGTCATTCTCATACAACTTCGGTTGAGCTAAATACAACTACTCTCTGTGCCCAGCCCCGGCTTAGTAGCTCGCCACCGCGCAAGGTCCTCGCGTACTTGCCAGTGCGCTCTCCAAGCTCCATTCGGCTGCCTCGCGAACCGCCCGCCGGCTCTACACCTCGCACGGGCATGGTGATGCCGGTGCTATCTTCTGCAAGAGTGCAAGCCGTGGAGGTCTCGTCGGTCGGACATGTGGGCTGGCACGGTGCGGCTCTGCCAGTGTCACCACTGCCTGAGCCTTCACCGTTAGTAGCTCCAGAGCGTATCAACTTGGAGCTAGAGGTACACCTTGATCACAAGCAATGTCTCCTCACTGGTCCTGTTGCAGATCTGCGACACGAGATAGCACGGTTGCGTATGGAGGTGGCGACGAAGACAGCTACCCTCGAGCGCACTCAGGTAGAGCTACGCGATACCAAGGCGGAGTTCATGAAGCTCACCGAGGAGCAGACTAGTCGACTCACCTCCGCAATGATGTCTATGGATGAGCTGCGGAGGAACCAGGAGGCATTCCGCGAGGCCATACTAGGTAGCTTGAAGAGTTTGCGAGATGTTCTCTGAACTCGACTCGGAACGCCTAGCTCAAAGTAAGTATCGTTCCTTCACAGCAACGAACAGGAAACTCGTGCGGGTGCTGACGACAAGCGCCAGATCGCCGCGCTGTTGTACAATTTACTACAAACATCTTGAAGAGCCTTACGGTACTAGGAAGTCCGAATCGGAGCACCGCAGGTTACGTTGATGTACATATCTCTATCTCCACTTTGAAATTGCCGATTCCCAGCGATGTGAACAAACCAGTTTGCGAAATTTATGTATCGTATCGTTTACTTATGTAACTTAAAGTTTCAAAGCTTCATATTGAGTGTCTGAGGAGGGTCCGACCTGGTCCGACTCGAGGAGGCGACCTGCGCTTGGGAATTGCGGCGCAGCGTTTGGCGGGCCGCGGAACAGAGCCGGCCGCCCTTGGATCTCGTCCTCCACCACCCCCACCGCCTGTGGGCATCGCACTGCCACAGTCTCATGCCATATCAATAGGAAAGGGCAAACCGGACGACCGAAATTCTCAACTGCGAACGACCGCTTGACGCCCTTCACGATATCCTGCTAGGCTGAACCCATTCCGACACAATTATGTTCAAGACAGCGGCGAAGAAGATCGCACACAATTCCACATTACCTGTACTCGGAGGGAACAAGGACCTCCGTGCGTTACAGGACCTGATCACAGCTGAGAAGGCTGTGCTCAACTCGTATGTCACCTGCAACGATTCCCGACGGTCGTTAATGTAGGGAAACGGGTCACAGAATGCAGAGGCTGAGCGCTGACTTTGCGAAGGCATCGGAGGCGTTGAAGACATGGGGGATGGGTGAGGGGGACGACCTAGGGGTGAGCTCGCTGTTCACTATCGCTTGCTTCGTACTAAGGGGCGCGAAGGACACGCTCTCCGCGTCGTGTGCGCTATACCTGCACTTCTCCGATGCGCTGCAAGCCTTCGCGAACCATCAAGTCAACGTGCGTGAGCAAATGAAGTCGGTGCGTACACGAGAGGAACGGCTGGACGCCCTCCGACGCCGGCGCAAGTCGCTCGCAGCGGACGCCGACTCTGCTGAGAAGAAGCTGAGCAAGATGGGTCCGGACAACAAGAACTTGCAGACGCAGATGGATCATCTTAACAAGCTGCGAGAAGAGATCCGGATCATGGACACCGACATCATGGCGGAGGAGGCCAGTCTCGGCGATTACAAGCGGTCTACATCGAAGGCGTGGATGGGATACAAGTTCGGAGGTCTCGTGGAATGCTGCGAGAAGGGTATCGTGCGTACTTCGACTCGTGGGGAGACGTAATGCTGACGGCCATAATATAGATAATTGGCGAGCACGGCAAGTTAGTCATCGCCGTACGTCCCGTCTTCTACCACGTGTATCACTAGCACCTCACCATCTTACAGGAAATTCCGCTCGATAGGACCGAGCCTGGTCTCCCTCGAGCATACTACAATGGGCACAGTAACACAGAAGACAACGTCACCGACGCACGTCGTGCGCTCTCGGCCGTTGGGCTCTTCACGGAGCCCCTCGTCGGTCCTGCGAATCCATACGGCAACTCCGATCTTGCATCTCTCCCACCCACTCAATATGGCTTCCAGCCTCCTGGCTCACAAATGGGCGACGTGAGCCGCCGCACCTCTATGGTGATGACCATGCCTGCGGGTGAGACCAACCTCTCGGACACGGCGTCGACCAACGGCCAGATGCCGCGCTCGCCTCTCGCAGGCGGCTACGGCGGCAGTGGGCTCCCGCTGGCGCCGTCGAGCCCGTTCATGGCCCCGAGCAGGCAGTCGCTCTCGTACGTCGACAACATCAACCCGGCGGACCCTGCGGCGGAGTTCGGGATCCTCGCGCAGGAGCCGCACTCGCCACGCGTAAGCTCGATGCGCTCGCCCGAGGAGCGCGATCGCCTCATGGGCCCCCGCGGATCGCGCTTTTCTACTCTCCCTGCGCTCGGTGGGCCCCGCGGCCCGCGCGACTCGCAGTTGTATGCGTCGCCGTCCCATGCGGAAGACCGTCCGCCGTCGCTCGATGTTGGGCGGCCGCAGGACGACTTCTCGACGAGTATTGCGCAGGCGCTCGGAGACAAGTTCAGCTTCGAGGAGGGCGCGAATGGCGGCGCCCGTTCGAAGGCTGACGAGAAAAGGGGCAGCCAGCAGAGCAGGGACAGGTCGCGCGCGTCGCCGCCCCCGGTTTACATGTCTGTCGAGGGGGCACATGACGGCGAGGACGACGTGCAGTTGGCATATGCGGCCCCGGAGGACGAAGCGAGGGTGCCCGAGCGACTGAGCAGAGAGGATAGGAAGGTTCAGTTTACTGGCTCGTCTGGTGGCTTCGGCGAGAATGCCCTCAGCTCCAGCCAGGTCGCTGAGCAGACGGCGCAGAATAACGGACGCCGGAGTTTCGAACAGTCCGAACACTCAGATACGTACCGGTCGTCTATCAATGAAGGTACGCAGATGCCATTCACTGCACGAGCAGACTCTGATGTGTCCGTAGTTCCCCCAGCGCCGCCCGCACATGAACCACCTCCTCACATCCCTTCCCCGCCGCCCGCGCCACAGTCAGAGTCGTCCGTGGACGACCGGAGCCTCGATGCAAAAGCCGCGCGGGAAGTCTCGCGCGAGATCGACGCGCTGATGTCTAGTCCTGCCCTGACCAGTCCGATTTCGGAGCCGAGCCAGCGCACACCGTCGCCGCTCGCCCCGCCCCAGGCACCTTTCGCGCGCCGTACGGTCTCCCCACGACCGCCGATGGATGCCTCCGTCCCCCCTCCCGGCAGCCCGTGGGTCAACACAGGTGGCGCACAATTTAGCGGATACATGCGTGAGCGGGACCGCTCCCTCGCGTCGCCGACGAGTTCGTTGGCGCAATCGTCGACGGACGATCGGGAGCCTGCGTCACCCGTGTCGTCGCGGTCCAGGATCAGCGGCGACGGGCCTCCTACGGCGGTACCTGCGATCGCTCTTCAGCGTCCATCGCCCTCGCCGTCTACATTCCCAAGTATCAACACGTCGTACAGGACGACGCCGCAGTCGGAGTACGCATCGCCGCTGTCCTCACCGCTCCCCACCCCCAGTGCTCCAGGCTCATCGTTCTACTCGCTACCCTCGGCGTCCGCGTCAGGCAAGATCTCTGCGGCCGCATTCAGACGACAGGCACGCAGCCCTAGTATACCCGTCGTGCCCAGCAGTGAACCTCTGAATGTAGACACAGGCCCGCTGATGGTGAAGAAACGGCCGCTGCCTGCGTCGCCGTCCGGAAACAATGTGCCCGGCGCGGTCAGGCAGTCTATCCCGCGCATGCCCTCGGCGCCCCTCTCTGGCCGAGGCTCGCTCGATGCTGGTGATGGCAGCGGACGCTACCGCTCTGCGTCGGCGGCCCAGGCGTTTGGCGATAGGTCGTCCCGCGCAGGTCAGGAAGGTGCTGGAAGCGACGAGGATTATGACTACATTTCGGCTTACACTGGACCGGAGGGACGTGATGCTCCTGGAGGGTACGAACATGGGAAGTTTGCGACTAATCTCGAACAAGAGGGGGCAATGGGTCTGCGGTAGTGTGGAAGAATGTTAAGTATATCAATGGCTTCGTCGCGGTATTCGTCATGGGCTTCCTCGACAAATGTGTAGCTGGTTCCCAACCGCACTGCAGCGCGTTAGTCGTACGTTATCTGTGGTTCTCTGTGGTTCACCTAAAGTACTGTACCTGCCTATCTATGTCTACAAATCAAGTCATTAAATTCAGTCTGCCGGCCGCGCATTGCCGTCACTCGTGAACTTGACGAATTGCCGCTGTGACCATGGTCATATCGGCTATAATGTATTGTTACAAGACATACGACTAAGTATTCAATAGGACATTACGACAGGAGCACAAACTCCGGACAGCAGCGAGCGACCTCAGCATACGACCAAAGCAGTTCTTGCACAAGCAGTGCCTGGCGCGAGATACTGTATGTGGCCTGTATAAAAGTCATGTCGTAGGCCATCGGTCCAGAGAACACACGCATGCACGGTCGAGGTCAACGTGCAGTCTTTCCCAAAGGGATACCTAGAGTTGCAATGAGTGGCTACCAAGGTGACTGCGCACACGAGGCACTGCGCACCATCTCCGATCGTCTCCATGTCCACTTGTAGCGTATCTCCGGCCAAGCTGACACGACGAATCGCATCGCTGGGGTTTGGTGTTGTGCGGTTTGTGGAACGGTTGAGGAGGTTGGTGATGAACGTGTTCGCGTATCTGTGCATTGCGTCAATCATACGTCCATACATGTGACTCGAGACGGAGGACTTACAACTTGCTCAAAATGTATATCCTGTACATGCCATGGTACCGGTGAGTAGACGGACGAATACCCTCTCTTAATGACTTACACAGGGTAGTAGTATAGCTTGCCCTGCGAAACTGTAAGTCGTGGTACTGACGGAGCCAATGACCACAGCTCACCGGACAACCCATGGCCAGGATCAGGCCAATGATCGCGACACTAGCTGGATGTGCATGAACACTGTCCAATGAACCATCACGAAGTCCACCTACCAGTCAGAGTACCGGTCTCAACGCCGAACTGGATGACCTTGTTGATCATCATATCCGTCTTGAGCATGCCGGTCTTCAATTTCAATAGCTGTGAATCACACAGTCAACCAGTGGCAAGATAAGAAACCTTGAATCAACCGACCAAGATGGTCATTGCCACGGCGATGATCAGATCAGCAAGGGCACTAACCCCAAGGAATACCTGCGGTTGGGAAGCTGTGAGCATACCAACGGCCGCGTTGGGATCCCCGCCGAACCTACGCAGTCAAACGCCAATGCAGTCTTCGAGAATCCAATTTCGCTGGTGGTAGACACGTCCTTGAGCTGACAGGCGGCATGGCCTCAGTATTTGTAGGCGACACACATGGAGCGTAAGCACAAACCTGGACACCTGTCGTAATGACGATGCCAAAAATCAATTGGACAAGAGAAAGCTAGTCCGCTGTCAGCCATCAAGCAATAAAACAGTGGGCACCTTCGGGAAGACATACAAAACAAATCGTGCCACAAAGAGCGATGGTCTTGAACAATCTCCAGATGCGCCAAGCGAAATACCATTGTACGGGCGTCGAGACTAAGCCACAGAGAACGGGAAGCGAGTACCACCCAGGGCGGTCCTTGCTCGTCAACGCGGCTGCGTCGCCGTAGTGATAGACAAATGATTGAAACGCATCGACGGTCAGAAGTATTGTCTGGATCCATTCAAGGGCTAGAATGGCATAAACTGAGCACCGCCGTTAGTCACCAGGGAAGTACGGTAGAGCTGATTTTGTCTCAGAAAACACCGACCTAGACATTGCAGGAGAACAGGATCCTTTCGGAACTTGACATAGTATAGATCTACCGAATATTCAGCAAACTCGCGCGAACGACCGTGGTTGCCAATGCATACTCACAGATTTGAACGTTGAGTACGCCGAGAAGAGCCCAACTGAAGAAATATCCAATCAGCTAGAGCCTGAGTCAGAACATGGTTCCAGTCTTCGGTCAAATGGCGACACTGTACCGGCGGTCCAGCGCTAGAAACCCGAGATGGTCAGTATAAGTGAATCCGTGAAGGTGGGTCAGAACGCACAGTCCGTCCAGAGAGTGAGCGGCGGGAACGCTGGAAGCCATCTGGGAGAACGACAAACGGGCTTGCGCACACAACGCCGCGAGCGAGGGTGGCTTGCGATTTATCAGTAACCACACTTCGCGCAACGCCATCAAGATATAATATCAAGGCATCCGAGAACCTGTGCAGTCCATTACTTGGTGTGGGATTTGTGCGCTCGTCGCAATAATTGGTCTGGCCCGGCGTAATCTGTCATAGATATCCCTCCGAGTCGTGATTAAGCTAGGCGAATCTGCAGAGGTAGACAAAGGGGAGTCGTGTGTTGAATCCCGACTCGGAGAGCTTTGGCGTACAATACTATGGTTTCTCTGGGCCTGATCTTTTTAAGTTATGTCTCGGAGAGAGTACAACAGCGCGCGTGCATGTACTTATGTCCCGATCAAGTCGCGATGATCGTCGCAACCTGGATGATTACAGTCCATACACACGATCTCGGTCCAGGTGCTGGACAAACTTGGGCAAAACGTACCATCGTACCATTGACGCGCGATCCATCCTTCGTGCCTGGCGATCTTGAGCACACTGCACACCGAGCGAATGCATCACTCTGTATACCCCGACGTTCAGCGTGGCGTCGAACTCTGAACAGCACTACGACTTACTGCAGTTCAGGCTCGGGCGAACCTCCGTACTCTGGAGTCGTGAGTACGTTCTACAATTTATGCAATGCCTGAAGGCACACCCAGCGGACCGCAATAGTAAGTTGTAGTATTCGTGCGCTGCCGGGAAAGATTGGATGTGTCCTCTTAGCAGCGCGCAAGGAGGGGGGATGAGGAGACGCCTATTTCAGCCCCACAGAGGGCGCACAGTGGCGGCGATGGCGATGGCGGCGATGGCGGTGGCGATCCCTGGCGATCCCCTGGAACGTCGACGTCAATTTGTGCGCCGTGTTCCCATGCGACCTGAGTTGGTAAGTTACCCGCGATTGCGAAACACGTCAAAGAAGCTAGCGTAGGACGATTGTTGCAGGCTACCGCCTGGTAAGCCGATGAACGAGACATGCCAGAGTCCTTTGAACCCAAGCCCGATGGACTCACTTCTAGTAGGAGACTAGCTGCATATAATTGTCATAGGTAAGCCCCAGCATTCTGGTCCATGCAATCGGAACCGAGCACAGGGCCGTTCAGTCGCCGGGGATCTGCAGTCCAGGGGCGCTGATGGGCCTAAGGTCGTTTGATAAGTGCTATAATGAAATGTCACGTAATTTCCAAGCGTACTAACGCCGTCATTATTCGAAGGCCGAGGCTTGCATGTATTGGCAAAGCGCAGTAACGTGTCGTCGTTCTGTTCGGCATTCGCCTCCTGAATGCATGAGATTGTTGTCAGCGAAGGAGTACCCGACGTGGATTCTTCGACTACTTACGTGCTCTTCCTTGCTTTGTGACAACTTTGATAGGTCATCTGGCCGTGCTATCACCGCAATGTGTAAACAGAATCAGGCCCTCACCTGGCGACATGGAAGAGTCAGCACAGACGCGGATAGCTCTGGTGAAATAGCGATACATAGCAAGAAGGGATGTACGGATATATCCAAGCTGCACACGGTCAGCACCCGTGCCAGTACATGTACAAGATATTATGAGTGTCACATGCAAATACAGAGTCGAGAGAGCATACACATTACTAACTGGTGCGGCCCAGCCGCTGGTTCATACGGTCAAGAATTTCTTGGCGGTCACGGTCTACAAAACACCGTCGCCCCTCGTCACCACGCACCACTATGCCAGCCCGGCGCAGCTATCTGGTCGAGGGCCACGCCACCCTTCACCCAGCGCCCACTGCGGCCCACGCCCATCGGGCCCGCACTCGCCGACACCCCAAGGCAGACCACGTCCCCCGCCCTCTCGCGCCTCGGAGACGCAGGCAGCTCCGTGTAGCTGTCCTTCGTCCTCGTTTTCGTGGGGTCGCCGATGCAGACGAGGTTCCAGCCGTCCTCCAGGCCATGCTCGTCGGGGCTGTCGATGACATAGATCGCGTGGCGAAACGAGCGACGCTCGCCGCCGGGGCGGGGCGACAGGACTGGCTGCGCGATAACCGGGGTCTGACGCTCATCGTGCGTTGAGCTCGCAGCTGTCGGCCGCCGCTCGGGGATGGTGGACAGCACGGTGCGCGAGAAGGGGAGCCTCCTGTCTGAGGCAGGTGTCTCGAGGAGTGGACTATCCTCCTCTGACTCCGAGTCGGCCTCTGGTCTGGCAGCGGAGGGGAAGACGAGCTCTGGCGGGATGCCATCCCCGAGTTTGCGCGTGAGCCGCTGCATCTTCGCGCGGCGATTTGCTGCCTCGGAGGGGATCGCGAAGGACGGGGCGGTCGGCGAGTCGGGGACGCTGGCCTCCGTGTCGCAGTCGCTGTAGGTGGACTTTCGCTCGCTGTGGCTGGACCTATGGCGCGGCCCGGGAGGCTGGAGCTTGAGGAGCGGCGGGCGGTGGAGTGGGTCGTACGGCGTCCGCCATGCCTGCTCACCCCGAGACGAAGACGATGAGGCATGGCTTGCGGTGGACGTCTGGGAATGCGCAGAGTTGGCGGTGCTTGGTCTAGAAGATGGGCGAATTGAGCTGCGTTCCCTAGCAGCACCGTTTGCGTGCGGCGAGGACTGGCTTCGCCTGTGCCCGAGCGGTGCAGATGGTGGATGTGGTTGATCATGCGATGCGCGCGACTGAGCATCGAGATGCGATGGTGCTATTGATCCGGTGTCAACAGAATGTGCATCGAACACACTGTACGACAGACTTACCTAGAGAGGTGGCCCAATCCAACACATGAGGGGTGCTCCCAAGCACCTGGCTCAATTTCTTGCTCGAGCGCATCAGCTGTGTCCGCTGCTTTGGCGTAAGATTGTTGGAGGTGGGTGGGGGCGGCGGGAAACGGACGATAGAATGAGACATTGCGATAAATTAGCTAGAGACGATAGAGTAACGTTAGACTAGGGCGTGAGCAGCGACCGTCTGCGGTGGCTGGAGAGTGGGAGGACCTCTCGGGTCTGTCGACCAGGTTAGCAACGCCGTCGCTATCATATACGCGGGCAGACCCCGGGACAAAAAGACGTATACGGAAGGTTGGATCCAGAGCGGTACAGTAGGAATCAGGTAGGAACTGCTTCCGTCGCGATCGACATACCGAACGTGGCACGGCGCGGCCCTTGAGGTGATAGGGTCACAAAAGCCTGGGAATGAGATGAACCTTAAGAATGGAGGTCTCTGTAGCGACGTGACGATAGGCCTTTTGTGTACGACGAGCGTCCGTGTTTGACGCCGCTTCCATGACAGCGAGACAATAAGTAAGCCACGGTCAAAGTGTAGTCAAAGTTGTGAAGGACTGTCTTAGCGGGAGCTCTGATCCGTTCAGCATAGCGAGGCTAGACAGCAAGCAGTAGGCTTGCACGTAAAACGTCTGCCACTATACTCATGAAATTCAGGGCAGTCTGTAATCAAATTCAGTACGAGTGACAAAGGGAGGCTTCGCCAACTCACAAACGCCCATTTCGCCAATGGGTATTTGTTCGCTGTGGTTCTTCTCTGTTGGCCTTCCTATCGAAGTCTGTCCGATGTCGATGATAGTGTCCGTTCGCATCCGAAGTTTGTGATACAGCCAACATCGTAACAGCTGCAGCGAGAATACCATTGCTGTGCGATGCCCATCGGCTGATATCAGAAGTAGAGCACATACGGCGCGAGACGAATGTCCCATGATATCTCCGTCATGGACCGCCGTCCTTGGTTTTCGTCTTTTTCCGCTTCCTCCCAGCACCGTCTTTGTCGACGTCTGCAGTATGCCCGGCGTTTTTGGAAGGGGCGGTGCTCTCGTCGCGCTGCCTCTTGCCGTTCACGTTCTTCGCAGTCATCTCCGTGCTTTGCTCCGGCATGTCAGTCACTGGTATGGGATCTGTCACCGCTACAGCTTGTACTGGGGGATCGACGGCCTGCGCAGGCTGTGGCGCTGGTGCGCTTGCACCCGGCTGTGTCGTTTGAGCATGAGGGAACACGACTTTCGGCTCGGAAAGAACCGCGCGGTACGTCCGACGAGTCTCTACTCGCTCCGTTAGAGCAGACAACTATCTGTCAGAGGAGACACGTACGTGCGCGTAGGATGAGCGACTGAGGTATCTTTGTCGCCGCATGGTGGGCTGCGTCCGGGGATAGTCCCAGCACAGTCATGCTGGTACCCATCAGCGACGCCCTCGATCCACCATCGACCAAACTCGACTCACAGGTTGGCAACATCTCTCGCACCACGCAGGTCCGCATCGTTCACGATGCCCCCGCTGACCAGGACGCCCTTGCCCTTCGTCACCCTGACCACCTCGCGCGCGTTCGCCCACCAGTTCCGCTTCGCGCCTGCCCCACCCTCACCCATGCCGCTGCTCGGGTCGGCGTCCGCACCAAGGGCACCGCCATAGGACAGTTCGAAGACCGCACCGTTCTTGAGCGCTGTGCGGATGAGCGTGTGTTTGAGCCGAAAAGGAAGACGTGGAGCAGCGAGAGGGAGGGCGATGATGTGAGTGGTGAGTGGGGAGGGGAGGGTGTGCGTGAGGCAGGCGAGGGAAAGGCTGTTTTGGGTCGTGGGTAGGAGGGAGAGGATGTCGTATGAAGCTACGAGGGGTGTATTTTGGGTCGTCTGGACGCGTAGATTGGTATTGCAAGTGTAGGCAGCATTGGTTGTTTGTACGCACCAGTCCAAAGCCCTTTTCGCTCCCCTCATCAAGCACGATAGTGAGCCGCTTTAGCAGCACCAGGCCTGATCGCTCCCTCAGCTGCGCGAGTAAAGGATCCAGAATGTTGACATGATTCTTCGGTTCGAGTTTCGTCTGTATTGTCTGGTTCAGAGCCAAGACGGTGTATCCTACTGCCCACGGCCCCGTTAGATACCCTCTCAAGGACAGATGCGCGAGACTGACAATGGACTAGTAGGTCGATGCGATTCTCAAGAGAAGATATCTGCCCGGGCGCGAAGGTCACCGTCGCTGGTGCTGCAGGTTGTTTTCCCTTGCCCTTCTTGGATTGCGACTGGCCCAATTGCGAGGAAGGTGTAGGGGCCGGTACATTCAGATCAATGAACATGAGAGCTGGGGTGTGCAATTTCGAGAATTGCAATTGTACGGCCAGAGACTACTGTCACGGTAAGTAGAAGAAGGCTATAAATTGTAATGCATAGCGCGGCGTTCTATTGAATTGAATATGGCCACTGTTTACGAAACATCACTAATTACTTACGTAATCGTATGTATAATATTGGTACTTAGTGATTGCAGCGATCACGTGCGGTGAACATACACGCTCACTCCGGCGCGGAGGCGTTCAACGTTCAACTGGCTACTCCTCCTCCTCCTCGTCTTGCGGGTTCTCCTCAGCGGTCACCACGACCTCCTCGAGCTTTCTGTTCGAAATTTGGGAACATTTGAAGACTACCTGCGATACATCGCAGTATGAACGGCATCGCAGGACCATCCACGCCTATGCGTGCCATTACTTCCACCCTTTCAGCACGTTCTGCCCCGCCAATACCTCCCGCAACGCAGCCTTATGAACCACTTGTGAAAGGCGTACTACGACACCGCTTGCTGTACACCATCCTCGCACCATCATTATTGTATTCTTGGGCACTCGCCAATGTCTGGTCAAAATGGAGCCAAGGCGGTTTCTCGCATCTAGGGCTCTGGGGGTCGCTGATTGACTGCATATCGCTGTTGACGCTACTTAACGCAGCTGCAATTTGGCTGCTAGGAGTGGTGCCAGCTTTAGTCGTTCGGAATAGGTTTCTTACAGGTGAGTCCGTTCCGCGTTTGTGGCTTGTGGCGGAAGAAGGATCCTAGCGTCCGAACCTAGGTTCGTGCTGGGCTGTGCACATACCATCCAACCCGGGTGCCACTTAGGCTTGAGTAAGCCGTTTGGTTTCTTCCATACCAGCCTTGCAAGTGGATGACACTTCGAGGGACCCTCTGTGGCACCATGCTTCTCGAGAACGACCTTGGGCAACGAATGCTGATAGTTCCCCTCAGCAACACCAACTCCGGCATCCTCGCCGTCCAAGATGTTCAGCGCTGCTCTGACGAAGAAGAGCACAACATACGCTCTAGCGACCTATCTCGCCTCCGGAGTATCATTGCTAGCCATGCACCTGGTTCTAGCCAACATCTACGAACCGAGCCCGAGTGGCAACCCGCGGTTCACCCTTTTCGTCAAGTCGAGGTATGTACGGTATAGCTGGATGAGGCACAATTGCTGATGCACACAGCTAGAAAACACCCATATTACTTGAATGGACGCGTCCTCTATATGTTGCTCTCACAAGTCGCATTGGCGTTTGCGTATCTTCTACGCACTGTGCTGCTGGATCGATTCGCAGTCCGCTGGACGCAGGTTCCTGCAGAGGTAGTGTTCATCCACAACCATGCCTTGTTGCTCAAGGCTGAAGGAGTTTACAGTCCGACGCACCAGAGAAGCATCCTTTCCGCCTCGCACGAGTGGTGACCACCCTCGTTACCGTCGGTCTCTTCGTTGGCTTCTCGGTCATCGGATATACCGCTCTCTTCGGGCTCGTGCGATCCGTAGTGCTGCCGTTCGTCTACGCTCTACCATACGTCTCCCAGTTCATTCGGCCCTTCACGGCGCACTTCCTGAGAGGCCCTTGGACGCTCACTTTGCTCTTCCGGAACTGGTCACTCGTGTGGCGGACGTTCTTCATCGGCGTGACCACTGCTGCCTGTTGGGAGCTCGCGGAGAGTCCGTTGGACGAGGTATGTCGTCCGTTGTTCTTGCCTCACGAAGCTCGCTAGACTTATACTGCCCTCTGGTAGACTGTCGCTGTCGCGCAAGCTACAGCCGACCCGGCACTCACACTCGTCTCGGGTATCACCTCGACGGACGGCTTCTTCAAGCAGTTTGCCTACGCGGAGCTGGAACGATTTGCCAGCGAGGACTCGCCGGCTGCGAGCGCACGTCGGACAGCGTTGTTTGCGGACCAGAAGTACAACCCGAACATGTGGGCTTGTCTCTGCCGCGAATCGCTGCTGACGCTCGGAAAGGACTACCAGCTCTTCCTGCGGAGAGGCGAGCCCGCGCCTGCAGGTACGACGACCCTCCTCCCGCTCATCTATGATACTCATTCGTTGCGTCTTCCAGCGGCCGCAGCACCTGCGCCCCCAAAGCCAGCAACACCGCTGCCCGCGAAGCCGACCCAGCTGATCCGCGCGCCCATCCTCAAGGGCGCGCCCGCCTCGCCCCTGCGCGCCGCGCTCGACACACTCGCGTCCGACGGCCCGCTCTCGACCGTGGTCGCAAGCACCGCGGACGACGCGGCGTCGCACATCCCCGAGCTCTTTCGCTCCGTCATGCACGCGAACCCGTCTGCGGAGCGCGCGGCCGAGGCCGTGCACAAGAGCGAGGAGCGCGTCGCGGGCCTTCTCGAGGAGACGCGGACGCGGTGGCACCAGGGCCTGGGCAGCGTCGTGCGCAGCCGCGCGCCCGAGCCTGTGCTGGCGGTCGCGAGCGAGGTGGGTCATTGGTGGACGAGGGAGCGGGTGAATCGCAGAGTGGAGATGAGCTTACCGAATAGGAGGCTGGATGCCCTCGTCATCGGCGGTGAGTACGCGTGCGGCCTCGACGGAGTGTGTACTGAGTCAATTTGCGGGTCTGCAGTGCTGTGTCACCTCGTGTGCGCGTCGTTGACCGAGGACCGGTACGGCGTCGTCCAGCGAGACATCCCGAAGATCCTCGAAGCACTCCTCGCTTTCCTTACTGCGATCGAGGAGTACCAAGCCGATGTCAACAAGCTGCATGTTCCCCTCACACAAGAGGACATCCAGGAGCTGCCCGTCAAGGAGCTCGCACAAAGGGAACGCGTTGCGATGGAGGTTGCGCGGGCGGGTGAAGTATTGGGCGAGGTTAGCGACGGTGAGCTGCAGTCATTCGCAGTGCACCGGAGGTTGGAATACTGATGACTGCGCGTAGCCGTCAAGAGTGGCGTTGGTCAGATCGCGAGGACGTTCGGCGACAAGCTGGCTGCGTTCAAGTTCCCGCCGCGGACCGCGCAGAAGTTGCAAGGTTTCTTGGACTACGCATGAGGACGGTGCGATATGGCCAGGAAGACTGGTATTCGGTCATGCTGTCTGGCTATGGCATGGACTCATGTATTCAGACTCTTGACAGGGAGAAATCCTCAGGGTACATACCCGCGGCCATCATGCGCGCTATAGCGCTATTGCAAGCGAAGCGACCTTAAGTACTTCGCCTTAAAGTGCGAACAAGTGCAAGATTAAAGCTTCGCAAACATTTCTCTGTCCTCCGAGTCCGCACCACAGTATGTACGAGACGCGCGCGTTCGCTGGCAGAAACCGGCTACGATAGTGGTGGAAAGCATCGCGAGTACCCGATGCGCGGTACATCTACACCAATCTAACGGAGCTCAGGCTTGCGCACATCTGAAACCACCTAACACCTTACCGCCCATTCTACCTTTTCTTACTACAATCCTCTACGTCAGACTTGGACGGGTACTTGTGCTTCAATGCATGTAGCCGTGCCGCCTGTGCGGCCTCCCGGACCAGGATCATCTCATGCTGGTTCGTTCCATACAGCATATCCGCTGAGGTCAAGGGTGAATCCTCGCATATAATCACAAGGCTAGATTGCAACGCACTGACATGGTAATAGGCAGATCGCATACACGAAGAAACAGCAACATCTGTGTAACACACAAAACTTGGGGAATTAAAAGCATGAGAACGACAAACATCTCTGAGTCGATGCACGACGCATGGTACATCGTGGGCATCCTCCTAGGCGTCTGAGTCCACCTCCATGCGTGAATGAAGCGCGGGTATCGTCATGCCTTCGATGTCAAACGTGACATCCGTCTCGTCCATCGAGAGCTCGTTGAGCTTTCTCTTCAGCACTCGGTCTACCCCGCGATCAAAGGCAGGCGCGACTGTCGTTGCCAGTTTCGAGGTAGGCTTGGCAGGAAGAGCACCACCCGAACCTTCGTGCGTCAACTTGCGCCTCTTCGGAGTCGACGTCGTGAAGACGCTTGTAGATCGACCGCTGAGCACGGTACGAGACCCAGTACGTCCGCGCGTGGTGTTGACGTTCGGATGAATGCTCCGCAGGGCTCTAGGCATCTTCTGGCTTTGCGTCCTCAGAATCTTCTGCTTCAGGGGGTTGGGCGAGCCGACAGTCATGACGTGGTCCGACTGGGAGCGCATAATCGCTCGGGCAGGAGGGCGTGCAGGGCTCACACGGAAGAACTCCTCGGGATCGAAGCGACGCTTCTTCGAGGGCGGCTCGACCGCAACGTTCTCATCGACCTCCTGGAGAGCAGCCAGCGCAGCGTTAGTCTTAGACGCGTCCGGCCGGCTCTTGTTAGCCAGCGGCGAGGTCGGGCTCTCCAGCCGTCCCCCAGCCCTGGCGTAGGCCGGCAGGGACTTGACAGGCTTCGGCGTCTCAGGCTCGTCGTCCGTGCAGATCCCGACGAGTCGCTCGATCTCGTTGCGGATGTCGACGTCCGGGCGCGACGGGCGGATGTCGATCTGGAGGATCAGGGGGAGCTTCGCGTTGAGCGTCAGCGCGACGCGGGCGAGCTGGAGGCGGTCCATGGTGAGCAGGTCCGCGTGGCAGCAGAAGGGGACGACGTCGAGAGCCGTTATGACGACCGCGTCCTCTTCGTGGTCCTCGTTCTGCAGGGCCACACAGGAGGGGCGCGGCAGAGGCAGGTCCTGCATCGGTGGGGCGGATGCCTCGTCGTAATCGCGTCGAGTGCGCTTGCGTAGAGCTTTAGAGAGCGGGTTGCGCATGTGGGCTCGGAGGAAGGGCGCGCACGACGTCATTGCGGAAGGCGAGGCTGAGCGGGACCGAGGTGTTCTGGGACAAGGTGATGCGGAATCCATAGGCTCGCCTACGGTCCAAGTTATGAACCAGACCAGGGATGCTAGCTGAAGTCAGCCTCGCCCGTGATGCGACTGACTGACCATCTATATGATTTTCTGTGGTGAATTCGCGTCCAGCTCACGCAGGACCAGTGTATCAGCGCGAATTTTGTCCTTGGCGGAATTGCCGTGTGTCCTATGCACTATGAACGGAACGTGCGGCTCTGCGGATCGATGTTGTTCCTTCATCCACCAGTTTTTCAGCCATCTACGGCCGTCATGATCCGTATATACTGTCAGCCTCACCGCCTGTAGGTCTCAGACTGCGCGGGCAGTCCTCGGAGTCGAGGAGCTCCGGGACGCGAACTGTCAGACATTGTGTTAGTCTCTCCCTAAGCCGCGCCTCCGTCAATTGTAGTCTTCGCACCTGCTATTCATTCATCACTTTCTTGGAGCCTTGGCCTATCGCTTAACGCTCGACCGACTCTGCCTCATGAAGAAGAGCACGCAAGGAAACATAACGACAAAGTGACTTCGCATTCAATCAATCGTGACATGCACATCAATAACCTCGCGGAAGTGTGAAGCGCGTCTGCCCCTGCGTAAGCAGCTGTCCTTAGAACCACTTGCCCCTCGGCTTTGGCGGATGCTTGAGGGTTGGAGGTACCGGGCAGTGGAAGGGAGCGACGCTGAAGTCGCGGGGGCCCTTCGGGCAAATGTTTGCTTGTGCGAATGCGTATCTGACGTGACCCTGAACACTCCTCTCGTCCTGCACACAGCCAAATTAACCCGTAGTCAGTCGTGCTTACCACACAAAACAGCCCAGATGAGGGATACTCACAGTACGCGTCGTCTGCGATGCGCACCCCCAGTCGATCAGGTGCGCTTGAGTGACGGAGTCGTCGAAAAGGATGTTGTCGATCGAGGGGTCCTGGTGGAGCCAATGCTTGCTCTGGTATGTTTGCATGATGTGCTTCGCCGCGACCCCCGCCGCGTGGTCGAGAAATTCGTTGCATTTCTTGGCGTCCGAATGTACGTGGCTGAACGCGCTCGTTTGGTCGAGCCGCTTGCCTGGTGAGGGGCGGATGATGACCCAAGACTGCTTGTAGTTGTCGAGCCCGTGCGTGAGGAGCGCTCCGACCTGCCAGTGGATGCATGGCGCGATGAGCATGTCAGTGGGATGTGTGTAAAGCGATAAAGCGATGCGGTAGCGGACGTACGGCTTCGGTCGCCCGAATCTCATGCTCGGACACAAGGGCTTTAGCGTATGCGCCCTTATACCTTCCGTCGACGACACGGTACACGGCGCCATGGGCGCCTTGCCTTTCGTTCGGACGCACAGGTATATTCTCTCTGCCCAGTTTGAGTATCGCCTCGTCTAACACGATGACAGCGGATACAGTACGTTTGTGATTAGCGGATTGTCATTAGCTGCATAAATGACCTGCATATAGTTTTCGGGATCAGAACTTACCTCCGGCGCGCACTTGCAGATTGCGGACAGGAAGCGAGACAGGGGAATACCCGTGTCGCTGATGGACAGAATCTCAGTAACTCAACGCTACGTTGTCGATCGGAGTGCTCACCGGGTCAAAGAGGACTACGATCGGGGCAGCCCATGCAAAGATAGTGCAGAAGAGCAACACGAAGGAAACTAGGTTGACTGTGAATTGTCGCATTGTGTCGATAGGTTCACGTAGCACAAGTCGTAGAAACGAAGAGAATACCCTGCCAGAGGGTCGGGAGCAGGTGCTGAAGCAGAAGCCTGAGAGGACCAGCCTTGTTTTCAGAGTGCACCAGAGTGCCGCGAAAGATCCACAGCGACTGGGGCCTGCACAAACGAGTTGTCGCCGTATATATAGTGCGCTTGGAAGACTACGGCCATCGTGACTGGGCTTACGGAACCTAGTCGGGATTGACCGCCCCTCGTTGGGCCGCATCAACGTTGAGTTGTGATCGGACGTAGCCCGCCCGTCCCGCGCCTTGATACGCTTGATGCCAGTGGGGGGTTCCGGTCAACAGTTACAGTCCGGCGCAAAGCTCGGACAGCGTCACATCAGTACGTTGAACCGGTATCCCGAGTTGTCAGTACAATGTCATTCAATACATATCATCTAACCCATTACTACGCAGTGGAGATACCTTGGATAATGAAGGAGGCCCGCCGATAATATACGATGCCGCCACGGGCAGGCTGTATGCTGCTTTCCGGTCATCGTGGATCTCAAACGTCGGGTGGCTACATGCGACTTCGAGTGATGGTCAGCGCTGCGGCACAACGACGTATCCTACAGATCAAAACAAGAGCGCCCACCTCTTCGCAGACCACCGCTTGCTTGAGTCTTGCACGCGCACTGGCAACCGTCGCCGCTACCGTCCTCAGGCTGTCAGTTATTCGCTTCGGGGCACACGGCTGACTTCTTGCATCTTCAATCTGTGGCGACTCGGACTAATAGCAGTGCCATATGGAAATGAGACTAGGTGCTTGGCGATAAGCAGTGAGCGCGAGCATAGCAGTGTTAGTTGAGTGTCGTCGTCGTCGCGCCTTGGTTTTGGTTGCGCCACAACGCCGAGTCCCCGCCACCAGGTGGCTGTAAGCTGAACTTACCGCTTTTGGCAGTAATGTGGCTCAACCGCATGAATTCGGAACGGAACTTGACAGAAGAACTTGACCGTGAAGGTCGAGCGCAAATATTTCATCACTGGTGTATGGTTTGTGTATCATCGTGAGGTGAAGTAGATCACTTCAATCTGTGGACGAAAATGTGTTTGAGTACTCCGGTTTCTAGTTGATACTCTGTTCACACGGCGAGACACAATTGGCAGTGACCGGTTCGCCGGAGACTCGGAGCTTAGATACAGCAAACTTGTAAGTATGCCAATGACGATGTTGCACAAACATTTCGCAGTTGAGTAGTACTCTGTGAGCCACCGTTTTCGTCGCTAGATGATAACGCAATTAGGGACATGCCATGCCGATTGTTCGGCGGGATCGAGTCCCGGTGAAGTCAGCCGCGGCTGTCGATCGTACGTGCCGTGACAGTCCGGACAGTAGGGCTGACACAGTTCGAGTTGGGGCTGACCAGAACCGCTTCCTCGCTGCCAGCCTCGCTCACTTGGCACCGTATAAATACCCCACCCAGCGGCCTCCAACCGCCAGTTCCCCTCTCTTCCTCTCCCCCATCTCCCCCTGGTAAAAGGGGTGCGGCGACGGGGTCTTGCATTTGTAAGTCTCCTTCACCTTCCTCTATCAATCCGTGCACTGACAGCCAGCACACCAGGTGCGTGGGCAGTGGGATGATCGCAGCGCCTAGGAAAATACCGTTGTGACGGGGCGTCGCTGAGTTTGCTGCTGTCCCGCAGGCTCGAACCCTCGCCAGCCCAAAACCATCCATGCTGGCCATTGTCTGCCGGCGCCGTCCCACCGCGTTCCATTCGCGAGGGAGGCGTCGGTAGACGGTGGCCAGTGTGGACTTGCAGCCCGGGCAGCGCTATCGCCTAGCGAAATACCGTTGTGACGGGGCGTCAGCGTTGCTGGGTTTGCGCGGTCTTGTTGGCTTCCTCGTTAGTGTACCCTGTAGTTGCCTGTAGGTAGTGTAGTTCTCTGGGGCGGGCGGTCATCCTGACGATGTCGGGCGAGGACCGTCCGGGCGCGCATCTCACCGTGATCCCAGGGTCTAGTACTTCCTTCGCTCATGGAGCAGGGGGGGAAGCTAAGACGCGCCAAAGACTGTTGTATATAGAATGTAGCGCACGTTGTATGTCTTATTTGGTTAGCCAGTTCAGTACAGTTATTATGATATGAGACGTACTATTCTTCAGACTGGATACCTCGCTGGTTGCTCTATCTGCCCGCTCCCTTCCCTCCATACCTCAACTTCTTCCTCATCCGCCGCAACCGCCGGAGACGTGATCCGAGTTATTATTGGCCCTCTCCGGCGTGATCGAGAGCCGGTGACGCCAAATGGGCAATGTGCGATCGCGAAGACCCTGCCGCGACGTTCCAGACAGCGAGGCTGACCTGGTTCGAGTTGTCCCCCGGAAGGCTGTGCCCTTCCCGCCGTCAGCCTCGCTCGCCAACCGTATAAACATCGCAGCTGGCCACGTCCTAGGGTCAGTCCCTCTTCCCCCCTCCACCACCATCTCCGCTACGGGTGCGGTACGGCGTCTGGGTTCGGTCGTTGTGAGTCTTGTATCTTCATACTTCGTATGTTCATGCACTGACGGTGTCCCTGCTCCGCAAGTTGACCCGGATCCTCGCTCGAGACCCTCCAGATAGCTTGGCTGGCGGAATCACTTCGGGTGGTAACGTGCGTCGCCCTTCAGAAGCGACGTGCGCGCCAGCTAGTACTCTGCGAGCTACCCGGGCAGTATCATCGCCTAGCGAAATACCGTCGTGACGGGGCGTCGGCATTGTTCGAGGTATATGGACTTGGGCAGCGCCGTTGGGCTTCTCGTAGTTGTCGTAGTCTCCAGGGCGGGCGGTCTGCCGGGCCAACGTACTGCTTGGTGCCGAGTCAGACCGTCCGGGCGCGCATCTCATCGTGATCCTGGAGTCCAGTACCTCCTCCGCCGAACAGGTAGAGGGGAGGGAAGCTAAGACGCGCCTAAGTTTGCAGCATATCAGTCGGATGTAGCGTACCTGAGGGCCGTTGTGCGGCGTATTGAATCGCAATGGCATAAATTCTGGACTATAATCTGGAGTATGAAAATAAGGGCAATTTGGTCGATGACATTGCCTGGCATGCCAGCTGGTGTGTCTGATCTTGCCTTTAATCGCGTAAGAAGTCAAGCTATCTAATACTTGAAGCATGTCATATTTCTACGCACCTATTACTGTGCTCAGAAAGTCGGGGTTGTACCAGTACTTGCAGATGCCTAGCGGCACTGCTATCATCGGCGTTGTGCCTGAAAGTACAAGCACGAAGCGCTCAACGTGATCAATGCTTAACTTCTCGGGCCAGTAAGAGGACTATTGTGACTCGACGTGTCTCACCGTGGCACGCGCACGCCTCAGGCTGAGCCGCTTTAGCAACTGGGAGTCAGCCAGCGATACTGTAGCGGTCACCACAACCCGGCGGGGGGTGTGACGTGTGACAAAAGTTTACGATCCGGCGCAGCGACGGGGGTGGGTGTGACGGATGACCACCGCCGCCCGGAGGGCGGATCCGTAGTTGTGCCCGCCGCAGGCGCCGCCCTCAGCACTGAAGCGCCCTACGACAGCATTGGCGCCGGCGGTGGGAACGGCTGTGACTTGTGACCCGATGGGTTTGGAGCGGCGGGCGGCGGGCCTGTGACATGTGACAACCGGGTTGTATTGACCGCTACAGTATGCGCTGATAGCGGCCAGCACATATTTCAAGAAGGACGCACCGAAAAGTACATGCGCAGGCGTTCAGCCCCCCCCCCCCCGATCGAGTCATGATAGGCAAGTCAAGATGATGTTGCCTCTAACTCAGGCTGGCAGTGGTCCTGATGTTGACAAAGACGCCATGAACTACCCGTTCCACCTATTCCCACGATATCATGATCAGGCAACCTGACCCTCTTCAACATTAAAACATTAAGAAGGAGGAAGAATTGACAATGAATCAGAGCCTGCTGAGATGCGGTGACCGTAAGGAGGAGGAGGAGTGACGGCTTGACAGAAGCAGAAGGGGCCTCAGAGGTGACGCCCACACCGAGCCCGAGACGCCATTGCATTAAGTCCGTACTAAGTCCACCCTCCCCGGGCTGTCACACTCTTTTCAGTGAAGAGTCTTTTCTACATGCTAGAGCCCTCGTTATTACCTTCCGAAGCTTTGGGACAACCTACCTCGTGAGTCGTAAATTGGAGGGTTTCCTCAGGAATGCCCGTGGCTACCCCACACTTGGGTATACGTGAGAATACTATACATTGCAGAGTCTGAGTCTACCGTCTAATCCTTTATATGAATTGTACATTGTTGATCTAAGCACCCTTTTATCACAAAGCAGCCAGAACGGCATCGGCGCCGGAGACGGAGACCCCTGATCCAGGCTCGACCTGAGGAAAATCGTCAGTCACCCGACTGGCATTGCATAGCACTCGAGCAGATACTCACCGCGACGTATTTCACCTTGAGGTCGTCGAGGATGATCGCGTAGCGGTCAGTCCGGGTGCCGAAGCCAATAGCCGAGAGGTCCTTGTCAAGGCCGATCGACTTGGACCACTTGGCCTCCGGGTCCGAAAGGGCAACGATCTACACCATGGAAGTCAACCGAGCCCGGAAGAAGCGAGATCGAGAGTGGGATGAGGTACCTTGTCCTTGAGACCGACCGCGCGCGCCCAGCCGCTCATGACGAACGCGTCGTTCGCCGCGATCACGGCGATGACATCGACGCCCTTCGCCTTGAACTCGTCGTACTTCTGGAGGTAGGGGGGGAGGTGGTTGACATGGCAGGTCGGCTGTGGTGGCTGTCAGTAAGATCCGCATCGTAGACGGGGACGCGACGCACGGTAAAGGCACCGGGGACGGAGAAGAGCACGACCTTCTTGCCCTTCCACTCGTCGGTCGAGAGCTTGGTGGCTGTGAGCGGGGAGACGGTTTAGCAGCGAAAGTCGCCACGACCTGACATTCAGTACTCACGGATACCGCAGGCAGAGGCGTCTTCCAGCTCTGGAGCGTACGCGATGTACGAGAACGTGCCCGAGGGGATCGAATCGCCAACCGTGATCGTGGGGGCCATCGCGGTGAGTTCAGAGGTGCGGTAGGAGGTGGATTGGCTGGCGAGGGATGAGAAAGATGTGATGCGACTTACCTCGGTCCTAAGGGGGCATTTTAAAGCGCTGTATATACGGTCATGTGATAGGCCCCGAAGGTTAGTAAAGGGCTGTCAAGGTTTGGGGAAGAAAGCAATCACGCAGCGGGGATGACTTCTGAACCTGCAAGAACATACGATGCACCATCTGGACCTGGCGTCCTGACAAGCTGGGCGGCGTGATAATCAATCCGCCCATGCTATCGCCCTGTGTCGCGTCCGCGTCGACGTCCGGGGCATCCACAAACCAGCGGCCGATATCGTGCTCTGATTGGGACCGTGGAAAGACCGTGACTGTCTCGTAATCAAGGAGGATCGCACCATCGTGCTTCGTTTCTTGGTTCGGGCGCGTCTTCAGGCTGTAGGACCGCTTCCGCCGACGGCTCGAACGCTGATGTGTTTCTGGCGACGCATGCGCAGGATAAGTCAGACCGCACGAGACGTGGGGGATCTCTGGTCGAGGACGCTGACACGGTCACGTGATGTCATTAACAACGGCGCGCTTGGCGGGCATCGGCGTCCAGGTCAAGGCGAGATGGCGACATCGTCGTCCGATGGACGCTCGTCATCGTGCTGAGCGACCCTTCGACCGTCCGAAACCCCGAGGACGGGCAGTGCGGAAGCTGCGCTGCATGAAGCTATTATCCATTGGACCCACAAAGAGGCAGAACCCGATGCCACTGCCAGTGGGCATGCGCAGACGACGTAATGGATCTCTCATACTGTGTTCCAACAGCGTATTTAATGTCCAATAGAATTGCGACCGCATAGCAATGGCGTAAAGAGCAGTATAGAATCAGTAGTCTAGATGTGCAGTGGTACCGTGACGAATCTATGTATGCCAGAAGAGAGAAAGAATGATGCTATGATACAAAGTCTATCATGCCACGAATGCATTACGTCTACGTAGGAATAGTCATGGAGAGTACCGTAGTGGATACAGATGTCCGAGTAGTTGGGTTCCGTGTACGAGGGCCATTCAGACCTCTTGCTTCTCCTTTCCAGCCGACGCGCGAGCCTCCGCTGCCAACTCCTCCGCAATGAGTAGATCCTGAGACATAGCGCCAAAACAGTCAGTCCACCGTGAAATGAAACGCAACGTGAATATGATACTCACAGGAGACGGAGAGAATTTGCTCTTAGACCTAATGAGGGCCCCGTATTTGTAGAACAGGAAAGGACTGGGCGCGAGGAGAAGTCCGAGCAGACCGATGAGCGTGCACGCCCAATTAATGCCAAGCTGCAAGCGCGGAGAAATCGCACGTCAACAAATCGGCGTCGGCGGCTCGGTATTTATAGGACTCACATTCTCAAACATCTGCGTGGTGAACAGCGGGAAGGCCGCGCCGACGGCGGAACGCATCATCGTGCTTGCGGCGAATGCCGATGCAGTGTAGCCCAAGTAGGTGTCCACCAGATACGTCTGTCATTCATGAACAGGTAAGACGTCGTCGGCAGCCATACCAGACATTGCAACCGGACTCACCAAAAAAGAGATGAACACCATGCTCACGCTCGCGCCGATGGGGATCGTTCCCAGCGCAGGGACGTACCACGGCACGCTGGGGTAGTTGCCCGTCCACCCGAGCCAGAAGCAGCCCAGCACGAGACTCGTCCCGCCGATCATGGCGCCGAACAGCCGCTGCTCCGGCGGCGGGAACCCGCGCCACTCCTTCATGAGGCGCGGGTAGTGTGCGGTCAGCGGGATGAAGGATGCGGCGCCGATCGTGGTGCCGATACCGACGCCGATGAAGATCAGCCCGCACTCGCCGACGGTGAAGTTGCGTGTGTGGACGAAGATGACGGGAAGGGCTTCAAAGACTGCAGGAGATAGTTTTAGGTGATGATGGCAGGGCGGTGAGAGAGAAGAGACATACGTGCGTAGAGGACACCATACACAAGTGAGAGGTAGATGGTGACCAGCAACAAGATGGGCTCGATTGCCAGCATAAGGAGAGGCCGGTAGAGCGTCCGGTGCATGATGCCCTTGACTGACCAGTCCGCGCGCTCATGTTCGGCGTAGAGGTCAGCATTCTTCACAGGATCCGCTTTCCTCAGGCGCTGAGCCTATAGAATCGACATTAACGAAGGCCGACGACCTCGACACGAGCAGTCATACCTTCTGCTGCAGAAGCACCGGCGCGTAAGTCTCCGGCACCCAGATCGCGGCGACGAAGGTACAGGCGCCAGCGAAGATCATCATGATCCAGAAAACCCATCTCCAACCGAGGTAACTCGTCGTCAAGCTGTACGGGTCCATGAGCTTGACGCACTGAACGGGAAAGTATAGGTAGACTTACAAGCCGCCGATTATAGGACCAAGAACGGGTCCAATGAAGACGCCCGCAACGAACAGAGCGGTGGCAATGCCTCGTCGGATTGGATCCCAGATATCGAACATGAGCCCACCGCAGTTCGTCAGCGGTGCGACGGCGAAGAATCCGCCGAGGAACCGGGTGGCAAGCAGCGTCTCGATGTTGGTTGCCAACGCCTGTCCGAGGTGAAGGATGGTGTAGGCACCGAGGGTGAGCAGGAACAGCGGCCTGCGACCCAGCAGCTCGGACCCAGGGCCCCAGAACAGAGGTCCGATAACGTAGCCGCAGAGGAAGACTGTGGTGACGAGGTAGCCATATTCAGCAGATTTGTCGAAGGTGGCTGCGATCGTAGGACCTGCGGACGACGGGGCAGAAGAGGCGAACGTACTGTCAAAAGTGTCGTTAGAAATCGGTACGTTGAGGGAAATCAACCAAAGGAGATACATACACATTGATCGTCATGACAAGGCCGAGGAAAGTGATGAACCACCTTCGTCCGGTCGACCAGTTCTGGGGATTTTCAGGGTCATCCGGGCCGTCCCAGTCAACTTGATTCGGGTCAATCTTCTCGTCAACAACTGAAGGCACATATGGGGCTGTCTTGGGTACAGGATCCTCGGGGACATCACCGCCATACTGCTCTGCGCGCCGTTCCTCCCGTCTAGCCTCTTCTTCCACCCGTGTGGGATGGAAGGCAGAAGGCTCGCAGAACGTGCTGGTCGAGGAAGCAGGCGTTAAGACTCCGGACATGGTCTTAATGCGGACCGCGCACTGGCGAGCACTGGCAGGAGCGGGGATGGAACAGCGGGGCGGCCCCGCATTTTCCGTCGCTCTTTTATATCCGCGCTATCGTGTTGAGAATGACAGTTGCGGCCGTCTCCAAGCCCTCCGCACACTCGATATTGCGAGCTAATCAGTGGCCCGGCATCGGGACGGAGGAGTGTAATCGTGGTCCAGGTCGTGGTAGCCGGCGCGGCACACCGGATCTTGCATGAAAATGCATGAAAAAAAGTCAAAAGTGTCCCCACATTTGTTCGTGTCCTTCGTGTCCTGCTTGTTGCGACACTTCTCGTCCACGAACGGCGCAATCGCCATGTCCTTGCCATCTATTCCTGCAACTGTGTCGTCAGCCAGTGTCCTGGAGGAGGAGGTGCTCCGGCCATAACAGTATGTGCCACATGAAAATCGTCGAACAGACCGGTCCACGTTTAACCGGTCCCTAAGTATGTCAGGTCAGTGTGTTATCATGATCGCCGAAGCAATCGCCGGGGTGTTGAGTAAAGGCACCATTGATACAATGACACAGGACACCGTACGTGTTCTGTGAGCCCGCAGAGATTCCACCTGAAATGAAGACTAAACCATTCCCTGCGCTCTCAGGCTCTTCGTCTGAAGATCTGCATGCAACGGAGAACGGAGAATTGGAATGTCGCCCAGCGGATGTTTGCGAAGCCTGCGGCGGCTTGCATCCGGGACCGCGCCACAGCCCGCCGATCTGGAGATCCGCCCGAGGGTTCTCCAGATTTGGAAATGTTAAATGAGCCCGACGCTGGCTTCTTTCTGGATGACAAATCACAACCGGCCGGAAGCCAGCCAATCAACGAGCATCGCCGGTCACCAGCCTGCGCAGGCCTTGCAAGTCCATATAAGTCCATTTGCCAAAGCCAAAACTGGTACGCGAAGAAAGACTCAGCGCCCAGTTTCTATAAGACAATGCTGAAAGGCCCCTACCAGCGGCGTTACGGATTACGAGTCGACATCGGGAGACTGCTTGCACAGCTAGAAGGTCGCAAAGCCATGAAGACGAACATCAGATGTTTTCTCTTCAGGTTTAACATGCTACCAACAATGTACACACTATTTCGCTACAATCGTTGCACTGAGGATACAAAAAAGCAGTGACACTCGACGGCCATCATCTATCAATGGCCATTCACGCAGAACGGCCGCCCAAGAACTTACACGAGGCTAGCATACATGCTATAGCCAGTCCCTCTAATCGTGATTCGTGTTCATCTTCCGGTAAGCTTTCACCCATCCTCAAGCGTAGCCGAACGATTCGACGTGAAGGATCACATCTGCTCCGCCCTTCAGTGTCTCGGAGGGGCCGGAGACGGGGAACCGCAGCGCAGCGCGACAAGCGCGGGCAATGGCCTGAGAACCGCAGACTACACGACACGAACAGTCAGCCCATAGCCCGGAAAAGGGAAATTGTAAGTCAACGCACCGGTTACGGACATACGACCCGTGGTAACCGAGACCTCGTCGCGGAGGATGCTGCGCAGATCCGGGCGACCAGTGTGCAACGAGACCGCGGTGAATTCGGACAGAGACGGCGTAGGCGTGTCCTTTTCCTGGCTACTGCCGGAGCCTTCGTGAACCGAGTCGTCGTCGTATGCCTTCTCGCTCGTCACGGGAGGCTCGCCGGCTGTGACATAGATCTGGATGGAGATCTTAAGGGTCGGCGGAGCGAGCTCCAGCGCCTGCTTCAGTGCCTTGGAGATCCACTCGACGTGGCCTGTGGAGGATGTTAGGCGCATCAAACGACAAAGACGATTGCAACGCACTCTGATCGCGGATAGCCCAGATGAAGACAATCTTGGTGCATCTACTCTTGCCGGCACGAACATCGCTGAAAGGACGTCAATGATGAGCAGCGCTTGAAGTAGTAGCTCGCATGGTATTTACTTCACAATACCCAAGAGAGTGGGCAGCGTAAATGTCACGCCCGAGCCACCTGTTCATCAGGCATCAGAACCGAGGCCCCCGCGACTATGCTGGGTTTGACTTACCAGAGACAAGTACGGCGGTATCGTCGCTCGTCAGATCCGGAGTGAAGCCATACGGGCCTTCGACGAGCACCTTCACCTTCTTGCCCGACTCAGCCACCTTCGCGAGGCGCTTCGTGAAGCCATCGCGAACGTTGATCAAGAACACGAGTTCGTTCCAGTACGGTGCGTGCTCGCCCAGCACGTGCGCAGTATCGTGGCCCTCGATGCTGGAAATCGTAAACGGGTGGGACTCGGTCGGCAGCAACGAAACCGTGGGCATGACCAGATACGCCGTCTGCGCGGGGCTCCAATGGAAGTGCGCCGGTCGTGCGATGCGCACACGGAGGAAGTGGGGAGAGAGGAGCTCGACGGTGGCGTCGAGGTGCGCCCGCTTGCCTGACCACGAGAAGTAGAGGTGGTTGGCCCAGATGACGCGCAGGACCCTGATAAAACGGTCGAGGGCCCAGACGAGGAAGGACGGCCAGACGTATGCCCCCAACTGCTCCACGTCTGCGTGGAAGTAACCGCCAATGAGGAATACGCTGGGTGAGACGTCAGCGAACGTGAGAAGAATGTGTGGCCAAGCGAAATACTCACCCGATCATGAGGAAGTGGGTGATGAAGAAGAACTCGTAGGCATTACTCCTTATGGGTCGAATGGACAGGATGCATAGGACGGTCAGAGAAATCACTGCCGCCAAGCCCGCGGGAATGAAGTAGGACGGCTGGCGAGCCCAGTTCAGACTGCGAATATGATAGGTCAGTACACGGGCTAACCAAATGACATGCATGTATGACACACTCGTAAAGCTGTGACCGCGCTATCAGACATGTGAATGAAGAGCAGTTCATAACGAGCTCACCTTGTTGCCCGAGTGCACCCATAGCAAGGCGCAGACGACACGGGCCGTCATGCGATGAACATAGTTCAGCTATGAACCCCGTGAGTGGCAAGATTATGACGCAGTGGTATCGTGCGTACCTTGTCATAGCCAATGCCCGTTATGACTGAGAAACCTTCAGTTAGGTACTCCTGCATGAAGACTTGCGGCAACTCACGAGACACCACATTGTTTTTCGTTCCCAGGGCAGTGACCAGAGGAAGCTGGGCAGCGGCGATAGCGCCTGCCCTGTTTCCCCAGTAGGCAATGTCATATTTCTCGCCTTCGAGGTCCGTAGCTGAGGCATCATGGTAAGCGCGATCATCGAGCGAGTTAGAGCGTGACTTACTATTGATGAACTCCCAGATGAAGAGTGCAATGAAGTAGGCGCACGACACGAACACCTCTGCCATGTTGAGCGTGTACGAGCTGCCAATCTCGAGCGTCCATCGGAAAAGGATGACCCTGTACGCGTTGACAAGGGCACGGGGAATGTTCCGCACGGTGAAACGACCGTTCGAGGTGTCAGTACCAGCCTCCGTGTCGGTGCGGGCCCTCCTCTTCGAGAGCTTGTTCACAGCCCAAGAGCCGAACTGGAAGATCGCCACCAAGAAAATGAAGCAAGCAACAAAGTACCAGACCTCCCTCGGATACCCCTTGGCTCTGGCGAGCCTCAGAGCCTTGTCGGGTGAGACCGCCTTCAACAGACTACTACTGCCGCCGGAGGAGGACCCACTCGTGCTCGTGGCGGCGGACCTTGCACCGAAAGCGGGAGAATGACTACCGTGATCCATCGCGTACAGCGGTCAGAAGACGAAGACCAGACCGGCGTTTAAGCTTCAAGGGTCGAAGGTCCTTCGAGGACGAGGGGCGGAAGCGGGGATCCCTGCGTAGTCTGAGTCTGTTGCGAGCGCCTTATATGTTTGGTGGAATGTGTTTCGCGGAAACGGAGAAGTCCCGGGGGACTGGTCCCGTCAGAGAAAGGCAGCGCACCGGAGCATCTGGTGCCAAGTCAAGCGATGCGGTCAAAATGCACGTTGCGAAGAACCTGGTTATGACGCGCAACAACTGGTGAGGAACGGCCTGGGTCAGCTAGAGCGGAAACCAATGAGAATGGAGAATCAGTTCTTCCCACCCCATCTCTCATTCTCGATCTCATACATATGAGTGTGGAATTCTCCGAAGCTTGTTCAACGCGATCATTGCCGGATTCATTCAGCGCCGTCCCACCCTTGTCCGCCGGGTCTCAGAGCTACTACCAAGTCGCATGCAGCATGAGAGGATCTCCCATACATGGGAAGGGGGGGCCTCAGTTGATTTCAGGACATGCGGGAGCGGCGTTAGATGATTCGCACCTCGCCCAGCATTTGGGTAGCTGATTCAGAAGGCACTATGGGAACACGTCGCTGGGGTCCTCGGTCGCGACTTCCCTTAGCCTTGGCTGATTGCATCTCGCGCGTTCGCAGGTGGTACGGATGCCTGTCCGAAGGACAAATGGTGCGTCGTCGGGATGTTTTACACTAGAAGATCTAATCAGCCTGCTTGGCGCAATCTTATCAGATAATGCGCTTGCCTTTTCTCCGCTTATCAGATAACGGCGCCACTCTAGATCAGGTCGCCCGCATGGACCATCCTTGATCCCCGCCGGCTGGCTCCCAACAGCTCCCAACTGGCTCCCATAAGTGGTTTTCGCGGACGCAGTCCTGCGCAATGTGAACGGCGGGCTCGTCGGATGACCGGGTTTGTCCATATAGCGGCCGACACGCGATGCGCAATTCGCGCAGCCGGTTGCCTCAAAGTACGAGACCCGGCGTCGTGGTGACTGTGAGAATATACTCCAGCTGCATGTGCAACTGAGGTGAGAATGAACTTGGAATGAACCGTGCTCTGTACCATATGAAAGCCGACTGTACCTGACGTTCCGACAGATTGGTTTCCATCATGTTGCGACTGCGTTCCATACGAGCGTGTGTGGGGCTCGATTCACGCGCGACGCGTGGGAGTATGCGAGGCAGGATCTCGGGCTTGTCTTGTCCAGGACCCCAGGTTTACCGGTTGCAGATTCGCTGCAACTTACATGGAGTATGTCCTGGACCGGCTGTCATTGTTGCTGTACATGTGAGATGAATGGCGTGCAAGATAGTTTGTCATCTGAGACGTCGGAATCGTCAGGACCATCCTGCAGAATCGTTGATGTCAGGGGATGAGCTGCGGCACAAAAACAGTTCGCAGCACACGAAGACAACCGCCACATACATATCGTCCGTCGAAGTGATAGGAACTGTATAACCTGAGGTACCTGGTGTGTATCCGGGACTCTTCATGAGAAGCCTGAAGGAGTATCTACGACGGCGTTGTCAGCTCGTTCCTAGTACAATCAACTGAATTACATGTCACCTCTACAGCTCACACAGAGCAGTGTCTGTTCGGTCAACAGATCTGTTCCACACTTACCTCCGGCCCATCTAGGTTGGGAGGCGACTGTGTTGCTGAGAGGCGGGATGCATCAGCAACCCATTATTTCTTCCTAAGCGGGTCACGTTCAGAATGGTAGTCAATGCATTTGTTCTCGATGCTCACCTCACTAAGCACCGAGCTTTGCAGTCCCGCCGGCTCATACTCGCCTTGATGCTCAGTTTCTTTCCCATATACATCTGAAAATCAAATTGTCCAGTCTATAATAGCAGTCGCTCTGAAGACGCATCCGAATGCGGAGTCAGTAGTGACAGCCGTGTAAGCCGCAGGCGACTCACGACGATGAGAACGGTGCCACCATGGACGGGGGGTCGGCGTCCCCGGGCTCGGAGACATCAGGCACCGCGTTGTTCGTGCGAGATTGAAGCGGCAGCGGGTAAGTACACTACCATTCTCCAATCACAAGCTCAGCCATGCGTGGTGGATTAGACTCTGCTCTCACACGCACCTGCGTTGCGGTCCCGATAGGCTTTTCTTCCAGTTTAGTCTGATCTAACCTGTGGGTGCTATCTTTGCATCCATCTTACACCACTGTGGGACAATCATCCATTATCCTGGCGCCGAATTCCGAGGCTGAAGCATGGAGGATCGGGGCCTAAGTTACGAGACCAGCAAACCCCCATAATCGAACGAGAGGACATGGATACCTTCAGTGACGTCCGCGCTACCACAACTCGTCGGAAACCATGCTTCCGGGATGATCGCAACTGGCAAGAAGCCCTTTACGACGGCTCTGGCTTCTAGCTCGCTGTTCCTTGACGTTGTGCCTGCGGATGCTCTACCGGGACCAGCCCCGTGTACTGGACGCTTTCAGGGTAATGCCTTCAGCACACAACGTTAACTCTGCACGATCGCCCTGGATATAAGCGACGTCTAACTGCATTCGTCAACACAATGGGCACTCCTGGCGGTCCTGGCGCGCATCTAGGGGGGTCAGGTACGCAACACTGCGTCATATCCTTCTTTCAGGGCTAGTTGCCCTTCCACGGCAACTGCGAGGAGAGTGCGTAACAGGGCTGTCAGGGGATCATCCTTAGCACAGTCCGCTCGGGACCGAAAGCTCGACCGCAGTCGCTGCCCTTGGCGCACTAGAGGCTGTCGGCGGCAGCGACTGCACGGCGAATGACGATGCGTCTATTCTGAGTGCCCAGCCGTTCGTGGCGGGATCGGAGAGGTTAGCGATGTCCAGGCGTGCGCCCCCCCCCCCCCCCCCCGAAGCAAATGGTGTGGCGCAGACCCGACCGACGTCAATGGGGGTCGAATGATGACGCCCTCATTCCCGACGCGCAGGAGTGCGCTATGAATATGGCGACGTACCGCTACCACTGCGTCGACCTAGCGCCAAGGGCGATGATGATCGCCTTTCATTCGCGTACCCCGAGCCTAGTCTATTCCTGTGAAGCGATCGATGGCGTAACGCTGCTTGACGCAGGGAACGCACTTTCATCAGTAGGTTGAAACCGACAGCAGGCCATTCGTTCACTCACCAGTCACTTGTGTAGAGACGTAAAGTGCCAAGTCTCTTGGGTAACCGAAGCCCGCTATACTCGGATAGAGCACAAGGTGTCGAAGTCTCAGCTGTCCAATGAATGTATTCATATTGTGTAGAGACCGACCTCGATTCTCGCAATGTCATTTGTGGCCAACAACCCTCCGTCATAGATAATGGGCATCTGTCGGAGGACAGCCCTTGTATCAGTCGACGCCGCACGCCAGTGCCAATGTTAAGGAGATCGCTAGCCATGAAGCATCGCGGTCCCGGAGGACGGTTATCCAATCGCAATAGGACGTATACGCCATCCACAGGAGCAGATACGAGAGGTTTTCAGAAGCAGTCTCGTCGCTATCGAGCGAGTCCATCTCCCTCCAGTGCATTAGCAATCGACTAACTCTGGCGGGTGCCGAACGGTAGGGCGACTGAAGACACTTCGGGTTATTGAGACGCTCTCAGCATCAACATCACCGCTCACCTGCTCATGTGTACACGATGCTCCGCTGCATTCAGCCTAGGAGCACGTGTACCACGGTTGTCTGTACTGAGTGGCGGAGAGCGAGATCCTCGGATGAAAGAACACCTAAATTCGATGAATCTCGCGCACCAGCAGCGACACGTGCGAGTAAATACCTCAGCGGCGTAGCAACATCTACGCATTAAGAAGATTTTCGTACTTATCCTCGCGATTACTCCGGCTACGGCTGAGGACTGCTGCTACGTGGGACCAATGACAGGCGTTGTATTGCGAATGAGTATATGCTATCGCGATAATTCACATCAGTGAGACAGCTTGATGCGACAACGACTGCATGTCCACTTACCAAGGAACCCAAAGAGACAATGAACCCTAAGAAACGAACATAACAGGCACAGCATAGACACGGGCATAGATGACGAGATAGCTACCCCTGGACCGTTGGCGTAGCAGGTTCGCCTCCGCCAGGTGTCCCATCCGGTGTGTGATCGCCGCCGTCGCCCAGAACCTCCTCGAGCTCTTCCTCTTCGTCACTATCATTGCTCTGGTCCCCATCCGGCGTATCCCCGCCCTCCCTGTCGACGCTCATCCGCTCGTGCGCCTGCCCATCGGGAGCCAGACCGCCGTGCGGAATCCACTCAATCTCCTCCGGCTCCTCCTGGTCAACCTCGACGCGCGCCTTCCAGTCGTACTTCTCACGGAGCATCGCGACTGCGCGCACCGCACGGTCGATCCGCTCGTCGTGCTCGACGCGGATCTGCTCGCACTCCCGCAGGACGTCGTCGTACTCTGTGCGCTTTGCATATGGCCCTGTGCCACGTCCGTTCTGTGTCATGACGCCAAGAGAACCTTTCGTCTCCATGTGCTCCGCGAGGTGGCGTACAATGTCGGTTTCTAGCTTGAGCACGTCTGTTGTCTGCTGGTTGCGCAGGAGGGGGATGAGCTCGTTGTCCATCTGGGAATCCGTCATAGGGATGCTAGAATGTAGCGCAAGTTTCTCGTAGACATTCCCGGGCGCGGACGAGCTACCAGATGCGGAGGAGTGAAGCGGGCCCAGCAGGGAGTGGGACAGGTTATGCGACTGAGACAGCAAGATGGTATACTTTGACAGGATCTCCGGCCACGCAGGCATGTATCCCCCCATGTCCAACGTACGCTGGAGTAGCTGGATGGATTCCACCATCTGGTTGGCCTTGAACCTGAGAGATTCAAGGTGTGCGATGGGCAACGAGGATGGGTCGAAACCCAGTTGCGGATTTGGTGTTGCCGCGCCAGCAACCTTATAATCTCGTATCAGAAACTCAGTATATCAAGCAACAACGCTCCTTACTTGAGATGGGTTTGCCATGGTGGCTGGAGGACAAAGGCAAAGCCGGGCCTGGACGCCACAGACGCGAGAGACGGGACATACCATTTGGGGAAAGTTTGATGGGGCTCTTGCACAACAAGCACAAGCAATGCCGTCCGTGTCAAGACTCAACGCGCCGTCGCTCAGTCGCGTCCCAGCACATCTCTTTCTCTGGCTCATACCTCTCGTCTTCGTCTCTGCTATGTTCTCTCAGCTGGCCCAGCGCATAGCCCACCGCACGATCCGCGCCACGGTCACGCGCCACGGTAGCGCAGGATCTATCTCCGTGACGCGCCTGCAGGTCCCGACGCGTTCGTTCATATCGTCCTCGTCTTCGCTCTTGGCCGCCGAGTCGTCCAAAAGTAAAGCGGAAGCTGTGAAACAAAGGAGAGAACCCAAGGCAGCCGCAAAGCCGTCAAAGCCGAAGAAAAGCGTGGGCCGCCCACCCAAGAGAGCTAAGCCACCCATTGGTGCGCTCCCACGTCTTTAACTCCATTCACCCTCCCATCATGACGTTTATGCAAACAGTCAAACGACTGACCAAGAAAGACATGCCGCCTAAACAGCCCGCCAACCCTTACCTCTTATTCTTTATAGAATATGGTCGGACCGAGCTGAAGACCCCCACTCTCGCTGCGCAGCGCCAGCTGGCCATAGCTGCCGCAAAGGCGTGGAAGGCTATGGACGATGCTGAACGTCAGGTCTGTGCATCTGTTCGAACCGCCATTGCATTATTGAGTATCGTGGTCGCAGGTGTACAAAGATCGCTATGCCGAGTTGTGGGTAGATTACAAGAAACGCCTTCAGGAGTACTTCGACAAGACCGACGGGGAGACCCTCAAAAGAGTGAAGCTTAAGCTGAAGGCCAGTCATCGTGCCGTTCCGAGGGACGCGAAGCGTCCACACCGGCCCGGAGCCTCTTGGACGATGTAGGGAATATCTGTTGATATGCCAACCGCTAGTTGCTCACGGTGTCCCTAGGTTCATCCAGGAGCAGACCAAGACTATTGGTCCCGCGCCCCCGGGCGTGAAGGGTGTCCTGCATAACACCAAGATATTGGCAGAGAGATGGCGTGCGCTGACTCCGGAGGAGCGAGCCGTATGTCATGTTCGTCAAGCCAAAGCCCGTAATGCTGACGTCCTCCTGTGCCATAGCCTTATGACGAGCGCTATAAGCAACTGTTGGAAGAATACTATTCAAAGTACAACAAATCGCCCCAGAAGCGACGGATCGCTTCCGAGTAACGAAGCGACTACTTCGCATTGCGAATGCGAGCGGAGTTTTGTATGTCAGGATAGTGGCACTTATGATCTTCCCTGCGGGATACAGGCTCTCCGTACAACTCGCGTGTTAATACGAGGTGCAACTTCACATGCTCTCTGCTTCTCCACTCCTTTATCTCCTCTTATCCCGCTGATGACAGACTACGCTCTGCCCATTCGTGCTTTGTGCCTTTGTACAATATATCAGTTATAGTTCGTACCTCCGACATTTGAGTCTTGATTTCATCAGCTCGGATTTGATTAGGAACGTCGGATTAACCAGATCCCGCAAGCATGCAGCCGCCGAACACGGGCATAAATCGAGGTATATGCATGGTTGTAAGAATGGCAAGTTCGGGCAACAAAATGAGCGACAGCGAGTTGATTGGGAATATCACCAAGGGTATACTGTATCATGGATGTCAAAGTAGTAGCACCAGAAGGTAAAACCGAATTAAGGATTAGAAATAGCGAAAGTCGTGTCCCATAATCCCAAGCTCCTACAACGTTCCCACAGTGCATGATAGTCGTGAACGTACATAACAACAGCTACAGGCGGTGGCCCGGCACAGCCCAGAATATCATGGTCAGGGCCACCGTGCAGGCCGCGACGAGCGTGGAGACCCACAGCGCCCGCCCGACCAAAAGCTTCTTCACGTACGGCTCGCGAATGCGGAGCGTGCGGAAAGGGGTGGACTCAGATTGTCCCAAGAAGACAAGGATGGGGTCCAATTCGTACTGGTGTGAAACGAGGAAGAGAATGGCGACGGCATATGGGAGGAAAAGCTGTCGATCTCTGTCAGCGCCAAGGACTCATCAGGCACGCTGAACACGGCACTCACGAAGAAACGCTTCGACTTGGGCTGCACGTCCAGGAATATGAGAGAAAAGCCGACGGCGAGTCCGACCCAGAGGACGATGAGCCCGACGATGAGCCGCACGAGCGCGGACACGGGCGTGAGGTTCCCGAACGCCTTCGCGCGCAGGAATCGCGGAAACGCGTCCTGCTCCATCGCGCGGAAACAGTATTCCTTTTGCGCGTGGAACATGTCGGGGATTTGCGCCATCAGGCTCATCTCGTTCGCCGTCTTCGGCTCGTGGTTGCTGTTGAGCGGGAAAGTGTGGACCCGCAGCGCGGGCGGCAGGTAGATCTCGTGGTTCTCCGTCGAGCCCACCGTCCCCGCGGGCGACAGGTAGCGGAAGTAGATCCGCTCTGCGGACGCGATGAGGTCGAGGCGCGTGATGGCGGCCGAGCGTGGGATGATCGTCGGTGCCCGCGACGCGCGGCGCATGTTGAACAGCGTCGGTGTCCGCCCCGAGAGCGAGAACGGCGTCGTCGAGCGCGGCGGCTCCGACGCGACCGCCGTGTGCGTCCCGGGCGAAGTCGACATGATGCGAGGGCTCGGGCTCCGTCCAGCCTTCTCGTTGTCCACCGTTGCTAGGTTCTGCCTGTCCTGGTCCGACATGAGGTCTTGGGTGCTCGCCGTGCTACGTTTGGTGCCCATGTGCGGGTTCATACCCACTACGGTGCCGTAGATCGAACCGCGCCTGCGAGCGTAGTCCCAGTACTCGGGCCAGTCCTCCTTGATCGTTCGCCCCGACTTGCGCACGTCCTTGAAATACGCGCGACACAAGTTCTCGTGCTGCTGCACGTCCAGCCAGAAGTCGAGGACGTCTTCTGCGCCTTCCCGCTGCAAGAATAAACTGCGGGGTGGGATATGAAGGCACAGCGAAGCCCATCGCGGCGAAGCACTCACTAAAACATGAAGAGGTCCACAGGCGGTCGCGTCCGTCGCGACAGCACCTCTGTGAAGGACGGCAGCCTATTTCTCCGACTCTCCACTCCATCATCCCGACGATGTTCGTCGTCCATCGCTGTCCCCTCGAGAGCCTTGCGGTTGCCTGGTGCGTCCGGTCTCCAACCAAATGCTCGGTCAAGATGGTGTCAGGGATCTGACTGCAGAATGTGGTCAAGACGCAAGATTGGGGGAATCCAGGGGCTTGCGCAGCATAGGACGGAGCAAAGACGCGTGGGGGTTGCGTGCAACCTCGAGTTCGCCGTGCCCAACGACGTGCGACCGGTGTGACCGAGTGTGACACCTGTGTTCAGCCTGAGGAGCGATGCAGTGTGACAGTAACGGCCTTCGTTACGTCACGTCGTCTGTCTTGAACCTATCATTGTTCAATTCTTTCTTATACTTACATATGGCCTACATGGGCTTATTAATGAGATCAACCGGAGACTGTATGTCCAGTGCGACAGCACAGGAGAGCCAGAGGACCGGTGAAGAACAGTTCACAAGACTCCCTTCAACTTTGTCTGTGACCCATGTGATCTCTGAAACTGTGACTTGTTTTGCCAGCGTCACGCTCATACTGCCATAACAGGTAAGTCGGCAACGATCACGCTGTCCGGGTCGTCCGAGTCGCTGCCAGTGCCAGGCCTCCAAGTCGAACTCAATCTGCCATGTCGTTCGCCAAAGCATTGTCGCCTGCACTGCGGGAAGTTCGTATTCTCTGCTGCCAGACAGGCGCAGGCTCAGCGGGGACAAGGTCAGTGACGGGACTGCTCGGATTCATTCTGCAATTCATCTCGTGGCAATAGGCAGTTTATTGCTTCAACATACCCGACTCTGAAACAACACAACCCTGACTTGCCTATCATGATTCGGGAAGCGAAGGGCACGCCTGCACGGGTGTTTGCGCGATTCGGTGCGTTCTGTGAACCCTGAGACCTCGCGCCACCAGCTGAATCTGACTCTGTAGAACGGGGTGTGGAGAAGCACGTCGAGGTGGACAACCTCTCGGAGAAGGACGTCGCATCGAGAATAGCGCAGCTCCTGAGCCTATCATGAACGGCCAGACCCCTCTAGACGTGGTCGCGCTTTCTGTATAACAGTCCCGGACACCGTGCCCTGTCACGTCGAATATGAACATCTGCACGGATGAGTCTCTCACTTGTGGGGGACAGGTGTGTGTCATATATACAAATCTGCGACCACTGCTACGCGTGTCAAGACGAACGTCAGCGGGCCAGGGATCCTTCGGACGCGTGCGGAATTAGCATCCACTGGCAGCCCCCAGACTCGACGGACGTTCAAGTCACACTGAAACCTCCTGTTCTGTATGCACGCAAAAGCACCCGACGTTGGATCACCCGTTCATGGTCTAGGAGCTTGCGGCGAGGTGCCCGAGCACTTCCGAAGCATAACTACAGCGAGAACCCCGCTAGACAAACAACTGCCATTCAATCTTGTCTGTCCAAAGACTTGTACGTCACAGCTGTAGGACTGACAGCTATACTAACAGAGGCGACTTGGGGAGTCGAGTGATGGTCTGAGTCTTACTTTTGGTTTGGTCGTAGACGGTGCGCACGACTAGGCGGGCAGTTACCTGTATACCTCTCGCTCCACATACCGGTTGCATCACTTCGCTTAATGGCCCGAAGGCGGCACAAGAGGTTTGCCTGCATAGCGACAAAGCGGTGCCATGATAGGAGAGAATTCGCGAGAACGGTGCGCCTACATTCAAATCCACCTACACCCACCAACTGAGGCTAGCATAGTATCTATCGAAGTGCTCACGACCCATATGCCATTGCATATCACATCAGTCAACGAGAAAACTACACGTCTAGTCACTTTAGCCTTCGGCGCGTCTTGGCTTCCCTCCCCTCTACCTGTTCGGTGGAGGAGGTACTGGACTCCAGGATCACGATGAGATGCGCGCCCGGACGGTCTGACTCGGCACCAAGCAGTACGTTGGCCCGGCAGACCGCCCGCCCTGGAGACTACGACAACTACGAGAAGCCTAACGGCGCTGCCCAAGTCCATATACCTCGAACAATGCCGGCGCCCCGTCACGACGGTATTTCGCTAGGCGATGACACTGCCCGGGTAGCTCGCAGAGTACTAGCTGGCGCGCACGTCGCTTCTGAAGGGCGATGCACGTTACCACCCGAAGTGATTCCGCCAGCCAAACTACCTGGAGGATCTCGAGCGTGGATCCGGCTCAACTTGCGGAGCAGGGTCATAGTCAGTGCATGGACGTACGAAGTATGAAGACAGATGACTCACAACGACCGAACCCAGACGCCGTACCGCACCCGTAGCGGAGATGGTGGTGGAGGGGGGAAGAGTGACTGACGGTGGGACGTGGCCAGATGCGATGTTTATACGATTGGCGAGTAAGGCTGACGGTGGGGAGAGCACAGCCTTCCGGGGGACAACTCGAACCATGTCAGCCTCGCTGTCTGGAACGTCGCTGCAGTCTTCGCGATCGAACATAGCCCATTTGGCGTCACCGGCTCTCGATCACGCCGGAAGTCGGCCAATAATAACCAGAACTTGGCCTCCGACGGCTGCGGCTGACGAGGAAGGAGTACTTGGAGGAGTGGATAGAAAGGAGCGGAGCAGATAGAGCAACCAACGAAGTATCCAGTCTGAAGAATAGTACGCCTCATAACATTTCCACTGAACTAGCTAACCACGTAAGGCATACAAGGTGCGCTATATTCTATATACAACAGTCTTTGGCGCGTCTTAGCTTCCTCCCCTGCTCCATGAGCGAAGGAAGTACTAGACCCTGGGATCACGGTGAGATGCGCGCCCGGACGGTCCTCGCCCGACATCGTCAGGATGACCGCCCGCCCCAGAGAACTACACTACCTACAGGCAACTACAGAGTACACTAACGAGGAAGCCAACAAGACCGCGCAAACCCAGCAACGCTGACGCCCCGTCACAACGGTATTTCGCTAGGCGATAGCGCTGCCTGGGTTGCAAGTCCACACTGGCCACCGTCTACCGACGCCTCCCTCGCGAATGGAACGCGGTGGGACGGCGCCGGCAGACGATGGTCAGCATGGATGGTCTTGGGTTGGCGAGGGTTCGAGCCTGCGGGACAGCAGCAAACTCAGCGACGCCCCGTCACAACGGTATTTTCCTAGGCGCTGCGATCATCCCACTGCCCACGCACCTAGTGTGATGACTGTCAGTGCACGGACTCATAGAGGAAGGTGAAGGAGACTTACAAAGACAAGACCCCGTCGCCGCACCCCTTTCACCAGGGGAAGATGGGGGAGAGGAAGAGAGGGGAACTGGCGGTAGGACGCCGCTGGGTGGGATATTTATATGGTGAGCGAGCGAGGCTGGCAGCGAGGAAGCGGTTCTGGTCAGCCCCAACTCGAACCGTGTCAGCCTCGCCGTCCGGCATGTACGATCGAACATAACCTGGCTCCACCGGCATTCAATCGCGCTGGACGAATGATTATTGCGATTCCAATCCGCGGGGGAAACGTCGCCTCACTCAGGCGTTCAGCAGCATGGCCATGCGTATGGGCGCAGTGGCCGTGCAACATCATGAGTTAGGAATGGCATGCTTACAAGTCTACAGTACTGCCGAAGAGCGGCGACGTACGTTGTTTCACGAAACATGACGAACGACACTGGAATACGTTGCCGGTTCGTTCACTATGACTCGCTATGTATACTACAGCAGCGTCGGTGTGGGTGGTTGCGCAAGTATTGTGACGTCGTGACCGCGGGGCCAGCCCTACAAGTTTGTTGCATTCTACAAGGGCTGACAGACCCTGCAGCGCAAGACTGAGTTACTCAGAAAATAATGATATTGCTGGTTCATGAATCCCTCCACCCTTGTATGCGAAACGTACAGCAGCAAGAGATACAGATAGAAAGTCGTTAGAAAACGTCGTGAAGACAAAACGTGTACTACGCCCACGGATTCTCGTCGTCGAGAATCTCCGGGCTGTAGATGACAGGTCTCGCATATGGCGGCGGCGTCTCAGCCTTCGCCACCGTCACCTCCTCGATAACTCGCTCCTCCGTGTTCAGCACACTATCCGCATCCTCGCCCACCTCGAAGATAGGGTCATCCGCCACTTCGACTTCGCCCTCTTCATGACCCTGATCGCTCTCTGCGATATATCCCCTCCGGTAGACTTTGTGAAGCGCCTTGCCACGCACGGCGGGCTCGCCCTTGCGCCGCTCGTGGCTCTTCTCTTCCTCTGCTGCGTGCGGGTCCTCCACGATGAGATCCACCGCGTCAGGCGGCAACACCGGCCGCTCAGTCTCCTTTCGGGGCGATGGCGGGGGCTGCTTCGCTGCAGGACTACCGCCAGACGATCTAGAAGACGTATGTTTCACGGCTGCAGGGCGCGCAGCGGCAGGGGACGTGCCCAGTCGAGGGGACTGCGAGGCCACGCGATCGTTGCTGTTCGTCCACCGCAGCCTGACCTCGCCCATGCCGGCCTCCGGCAATCGGTCGTGCTCCCTATCGATGACCACCTCCCTGCCCGCCCTCGTCTTGCCCTTGCCCCGCGACCCATCCGAAGCGTCCGACGCGACCCGCTCGCGTACCGCACTCCGCTGGAAGTTGCCCATGGCGCCGTAGTTCTGGCGCGCATGGCCGAGCACCCGCGCGGGCCCGAGCATGGGCGAGAAGTACGCGCCGCGCTCGTCGCGGAGGATCCGCTCCTCCTCGTCCCACATCGTCTTGCGCGCCGCCTCCGAGCTCACGTCCACGCACGGGTAGTGGTAGTCCCCGAACACGTACTTCTTGCTGTATACATAGAGCGCCTCGTCCGCGTCGTCGATCTCGCCGAACGGCAGCCCGATTTCTTCGTCCTGCAGCGGCCCGTGGTCGAAGAGCCCGAGCTCCGCCTGCCCGGTGGGTGAGCGGAGGTCGGGCGCGGTGTGGACGACGTCGCGCGCTTGGTCGGCGAGAAGAGGCGCGTAGACGTCCTCGCTCTGGTCCTCCCCCGCGACGCGCTGGACGGCTCGGTTCACCGTACGCTCGACACTGCCTGCGGGGCGCGTAGTCTGCGCAGGCTGGGGAAGCCAGTATTTCTTCTTTCCTCCCTGACTGTACCGCAGCCCCGCTCGGATTCGCCTATCCCGACCGGCGCCCTGATGGATGAACCCTTCGCTGGGCTCGAAGTCGCGGTAGTCCATGCCCTCTCCGCGGAGCGTCGCCTTGACGTCCTCCACGACGTCTTTCAGCCCAAATGCGTCACGCACGGCGTAGAACACGGGCATGCGTGCGACGAACGACATGCGCGGGTCGACAAAGTCCCGCGTCGAGAACGCGTACATGTGTGCGATAGCGAAGAGCGGCATCTCGAGGCAAATGAGCGTGTCCGTGAGCCCGAGCGAGATGTGCTCGCTGTCCGTATAGGGTCCGAGCTTCTTGATCGCGCCGGCAGCCACAAAGATGGAGATGAGGATGGACTGCCAGAAGGAGAAGAACAGGATGCCCTTCACGCACAGGAACTTCGGCATCGGTCTGGGGATGCGTCAGCACGGATGCGCCGGGGGACGGATACGGGACGGACCTGAATGGTTTGAGGTCTTCGTTGACGCACATCCAAAATATTGCCAAGCAATACAGCGCCAGGCATATGCTGCAGTTGTACACGACGCTCACGTAGAGGTACCCGGAGTTTGCGCGGAGGTTGCCCTCGTTGAACTTCCCCACGAGCTTGAGAATGATAGTGACGACCGCTAGTATCGGTTTGACTTGTACATATTCTGCAAGCTCGGGTCAGAGGGGCTCCTATTGCAGACGAGCGGCACACCCACGAATCACACCGCGTTTCAGGAACAGGAACGTGTAGGGATCACTGACGTCCACCTCTCGCCAGAACAGATTCCCAGGGAAGACCGGATATTTGGGAGGGCGGCCGTGCAGGAGGATGAGGAGAGATCGCTCTCCGCCGAGATAGGCAATAAGGAGATCGAAAAAACAATAAATTACGAATGCCTGTCACAGATTGAAGGTCAGCTATGGGAACAACATGCATTCGCAGGCAGCCAGAGGTCGAGTTTCTCAGGGTGATGTGATACACACGTTCACCATAGTTGAAATTGCAACGAGACTGACCGATTTGACGATGGCGCGTGCGAACGCGAACATCGCAAACAAGTCACGTCGTGCAGTATCAGTCAACATGAGAGCAGTCTGCGCTGCGAATCAAGTTCATTGCGTGATGAGTTGCATGAGGTATTCAATGGGCTAGATCATCTCGTAGGCAGCATGAGCAAAAGACTTAGAAAGTCTTGCCTTGATGAACGTAGACATGCGATGCCTACTGACTTGGATACTAGGTAGCGAGTGCGCGAGGAACTGGAATTCAGGCTCGTCCGTTTCTGTACTCGGGACGTCCTGAAAGCGAGGTCAGGCAGTCGTTGCGCGCTTCTGCAAACTTTCTGAAAGGAATTACACCGGTATCACTTCCGCCAACTCCGGTCTATATCCGACCTTCTTTGGAAGGAGTGCTGCAAACCAGCATGGTCGCCCTCACCATCGCTAGAGATGAAAATACACGATGGATCATAGCACACGGTGGTTTCCGTCAATGTGCGTCGCAACTACACAAGGAACCGCACAGTCCGGACCTCGGAGTCTCCTCACGCTGACCTCGCCCGTCCAACACACACACACGACCTCCAGGCAGGAAACAAATCAGCAATGCTCACCTCATAGATATCTCGAACAACATCAATGAAGAAAGCGGCTTGCAGAGAGAATAACGAGATGAACGATGCGATGGCGTATATCGGGACCATGAGCATGATTCGTATAACTTGTCTAAAGAGCTATTGAGTTCCGTGGACCATCTATTCCTGCTAAGTGAGCTGACCTTTGTAGTATTGGCTTGCGATAGTTCTTCAGATGCAGACATATTGATGTCGCGGATACCGCTGTTGCAGCCACAGTCGCAAGGCCAGCAAGTAGTAGGACAGCGAAAGGTAACGAGGAGCCCGAGCCAGACCCAAGGTCAGGAAGTTTGCCAAGTCTTCGAGCGTCCATGGCGAGGAGGCGAGCCTAGCGAGACACAACTGGTCTCTCGACCTTCCGAACGCCCTCGGCCTCGGCCGCGGATTGCTGCGTACTGCGGGCGCTGGTCCTGGTATTCTGGCGCGCAAAGTGCTTGCTGAACGGTCCCGCTATTAAAACAAAGTCTTTCTGAGCCGGGCAAGCGTAGAGAAAACACAATATGAAGGTAGAGAACAAGGTGGCCTTTCGCAGCCGCCCATGGGCGGGCGATGATAGAAGTGTGACAACATTGTGTGACATGACGAGCCCGTGATTGTGACCCCACAATCCCGTGTTTCTCGGACTGAACTGGACGCCACCCCATTGGCGGCAGCCCAAGCTCAAGACCAGCTAGTCAATAGTTCATACATCGCGCGTTCTCTTCTCCGTCCACAATACCACCTATCTCACGACGACATGTCCGCATCTCAAAAGCCCCGCATTGACGACGATGACCTGGACGATCTCGACGGTACGTTTTTCGCTGACAAGCCTCGGCGATTTATCGTTAACATGCTACAGATGTTCTCGAGCAGTTCCAGCCGAAGGGAGCAGCACCGAAGCAGGCTGCTGCAGCGTCATCTAGTAGCGCAACTCCAAATCTGACGGCCTCGTCGACGGCAGCGAACACCCAGGCAAGCTCCCTCGACTCACTCGGCATGGACGAGGACTTCATGCGCGAGCTGAGCCAAGGCATGGAGTCGCTCATGCGCGAAATCGTGAGCGGTGCGGATCCCAAAGCAGACGGGGCAGGTGCAGCGGGTGCGAGCGCCGAGAGTGACCAGGACACGGACGAGAAGCAGAGGCAAGAGGCTCTCCATTCTGCCTGGGAGAAGATGCTCGCCGAGAGCATGAACGGCGCCTTGAATATGGAGGGACAGCCGGAGGGAGTCGCTGGCGCAAGCGAATCCACGAAGAGCGGGGGTGCGACTGCAGCGCCGCAAGACTCGTTTGAGGCGAGCATACGGAAAGCGATGGAGAAACTGAAGGAAAGCGAGTCCAGCTTGAAGGTACGTCCTGACGAATCACGCCGAAGCTGAGATATCATAGAGGTATAACAACAATTCGTAGGATGGTGCTGGAGGTTCCGTGGACGATCTCATGGCCCAACTAGGGGAAGGACTCGACGACATGGACCCCGGGGAGGCAGATGAGTTGCAGAAGGTCCTCGAGAACATGATGACCGAGCTCATGAGCAAGGAAATCTTGTATGAGCCGCTGAAGGAGTTGCATGACAAGGTATGCACGTCCCCACGCCCTTCAGTCAGGGAGACATGTACTCATGGAACCGCCTGTCATGCAGTTCCCAGACTATCTGAAAGAGCATGATGCTACCCTCTCCTCCGACGACAAGAAGCGATACGATGTCCAGTACTCAATCGTCAGCAAGCTCATCACGATCTTCGATGATCCCACGTACTCGGACTCGGATCCGGCGAAAGCCACGCAAGTCGTAACGCTCATGACAGAGGTGCGCATGCCATTCACGCGCTGTGTGAGGTTTCTGACGGCCATATGGTCCTGGCAGATGCAAAGCCACGGCTCGCCGCCTGCTGAGATCATGGCACCCTTGCCACCAGGCCTGGACATGGGCGCTGACGGGATGCCAAAGATGCCTGACGGGTGTATCATTGCATGAACGACATCGGCTAGGCCAGACTTCTTCGCTCGCTCTCGTTGTACCACCTTCTTTCCATGTAGCTTTAGTTGTGAGTTGGTGAAGGCATCGAAACACGTATACCATGTACATTGTATAATACCAACTGCAAATTGCAACCACGAAGACGTGGCTTTTGGAGTCCAGCGAGTGTTCAGAATCAAGTTCTCCGCATGTACCAGAAGACCTTCGCAATACCTCTACCTATCCACCCACGTCGTTTGCGGATCATTATGTTTCGAGTTCGAACATTGGTGCGCGACAGTCGTGACTCGTACCATGCGTACGCATACGGCGTGGGATGGAATGGACGTTATCATCTATCCAAGGCTAGAGAACAAGGTAGTACAACACATGGTGAGCCGTGGCACCTAGAATTACGGTCACAGTGGGATACGGTGGGGACCGCAAGAAACAACACACTAATCGTACACTTACACGGACGTTCTAGGGCAATGAGAGTGACATGAGAGAATGAATGCAGAGATGGTGGTGTGTAAGCGTGTCCGTACTACGCAGCCCAGCTGGCAGCATAAAGTGCGGAGTGATATGGATCAAGAAGGGGAAGTGAAGGACAAGGTGGGGACGCATGCCTTGACCAGGATGGCTGCGATGAATTACCAGCCAAAGATCCTATCGAGCAAATGCCATTAGCACACGGACACCGAACGCAGCAGCTACACTCACTCCTCGTGCAGCTCAACGCCATTGACAGCCCGGCGCCGCTCGCCATCCAATCGCCGGACGACCTGACCGGCCTGTTCTCCCAGCGCGACGGGGCCGCACACGCCCACGACGACACCCGTGAGAAGGTCCTGCACGCCGCCCGACGCGACGGTACGGTCTACCACGCCCTCGAGGACCTTCTGGAGGCGCGGGCGGCCGGGTGAGAGGGTCACGCCCTGCGGGAGCCGCTCGAACGCCTTCATCGCCTCGTCGGACGTGATCGCCCGCGTGTAGTGCACGGAGATGCGAAGGGTCGTGTGTGTCCCCTGCGCCTCCGCGAGCATGTTGCCGAATATCGGGAGGAAGGGGAACAACGCGGCTGTGCCAACGGGTCTGAGTTGCGAGGGTGGGGGAGATAGAGCGGACGTTACTCACCCGGGTCGGTGATAGACCAGACGAGCTCGACGACGCGCGTGCGACTTGCGCTCTCCGCGCCCTTCGTTACAAGCTCTTGTGCCGTCGACAGCGCGTAGGTGATCCCGCTACCGCCAGCGACGAGCATGGCGCCCGAGAAGCTGGTCACAATCGCGTGGCCAGGTCCGCCTATAGAACGCAGTCAGCGACAAATAATAATGAAAGATGGTAGGAAAGCATTCTCATGCAACACATACCGTATGGGCCATTCAGCATGACCTTGATGCTCCGGGTTGGGCCGCGCACTTCGCGGTACTCCGTACGCTGGGCAACATCGTACAGCTTGGTGGTCCAATCTCCCGCCTTCTTGACCATTACAACGAGGCCATCTTCGTTGGGGTGCTGCATACACGAGGTGGAAAACGGTGCGATAAGCTCGGGATCGTGATGACAACGGCGGAGATGGACTGCGCACCTTGCTCACGCTCGCGATAGTGAAAGGGTGGCTCTCTGTCCAGCCCAGAAGGCCCATGCCAGTGGACAGGACGCGGAGACGGACATGCTGGCCCGCGCGCCACCCTGCGTTGACGGAAGGGACTTCGATGCGGGTCATCCCGAGCTCCGGGATCGGCCGGAGCTGCGCGGTAACAATACGTGTTTGAACCAGTCGCAGGACGCGGTCGACTCCGTAGAAGGCCGCTACGATCGCAACGTAGGGAATGTCGAAATCCTCGTGGTAATACAGCTGTGAGACACGTTGTTAGGGCCCGTCGAGTGCGTCTCAAACCGTAGCAATACTCACAGCAACGAGTAAGACAATGGCCGCGATGATATGCGTGGTGTAAAACAGGTTGTAGTACATCTGACGCACGCCGCTCAATGAGAAGAGGAAGAGGATATCCATGCAGCCCAGAGCGACGCAGCCCCATACGTGGTTCGTCTCCATATGCGCCGCAACACCGCCTTCGTTGGCCCATTTTGCGACTGAGTAGTGACGAAGTCAACAATGTTCCATACTTCATCGGACGTCTTACAGAACGAGTACTTACAGTATGCCATTGCATGCAGATTGACCACTAGGACCACGACACGCCCGACGTAGCGGTGCACCCAGTTCAGCTACAATGTGCAAGGCTTGAGCGGAGCGCTTCCTCGGAAAATAGACAAACTCACCTTCTCATATCCTTGTCCAATGAGCGTGCCAAAGACGTTGTTCTTGGTAGCCATTATATAAATGACGGGAAGCTGGCTGGTCGCGACGAACCCAAGCCGCGCCGGGCTCGTGAACAGGTTCACGTCGATCAAAGCCGCGTACATCATTGCAGCCATATACCCGATCATGAGGAGGACCTTCCAGAGGGAGTAACCGGGCCTGATCTTCGTCTCGAGGATGTTGTTAACGTATGGAAAGATGCAGGACCAAGCAGCGATGTACGTCGGCGGGTTCTTCGGCGACTCGATGCCGGTGAACGGCGTGAGGTCGATGTTGGAGTAGACAGAGACCGACCGGACTTCAGCATTCTCGTCGACGGGTTTCTCATTGTAGGACGAGCCATTGCTGCCCGCCCTGCGGGGTCGAGAAGCAGAGCGCTCAAGCGTGACCGAACGGAAGAAACACCCCGCGAACCATTGGGACAGGTGCTTGAAGCGGGCGATCGCTCTGGGCAAAGCAAGAAGAATGAAGAAGCCAGCGACGCCGATGAGAATAATGTCTATTTCGCGGAAGAAGGGAATGGGGTCCAATTCGGCAGGTTCTGCTGTAGTAGTCTTGCCCGCCGTCGCAGTGGACGAGGCATGTGCTGCAGATGCTGAAGCGGTGGCCGAAGGCATAGCGAATGAGTGGGCAGGGCGACGGAAAGCGAGATAGATAGAACGAAGACAACTGGGGTTCACGCCCGGCGAGAACAGAAGAAAGAAGACTGAACACCTGCAAGGTTTTCAGCGTTGCCCAAGAGCCGGTATGAGGACGATGACGAGCCTTATATACTGCTGCCCGGCCTACGCGACCACTCAGATTCGGAGTTTTAGCGTCGAATCACATTGGCTCCCCTGCAGCTTCGCAACGGTATCAAATCACTACCTCCTCTAAGACTGCCGTTAGCTGCCAATAATTCCTGTGTGAACTTGTTCAGCCCCGCGCGTATTATTAGAACAAGCGCCCACGTACGATGGCCAGCAACAGATCCATTCGACAACGGCGTCCACAGACGAAGGGGCTTGTAAGCACGCGTGCCAGGAACGGAGATGGTTGGTCTGGAAGTCGATGTCTTCGTGCAGGTCGGCTTGGTATTCCCACCAGTAATCTCCACTGACCACGTTGTTGCCTAAAGCGGTCGAAGTCTCTCTGTAGTAGCACTCCTCGTGCTGTCCGCACTTCACCTGAAACTTCCTTCCGTTGAGAGGGAGACATGCGTACCTGAGTACTGCTCCGCGGACTGGCGATGGAGTCACGGTCCTCGCTACCCACCGGATGCGCGCAGAGCTATGTGGCGGATCCGGAGGTGCCACAAATGACGGGATGCTGTGGCAGATCATACCCGGGCTGACACTCCGAGGACGTCGCGCATCGACCGTAGACACATGATTGACGGTATCGCGATGTAGCTGTTCAATGATCTTCTCCCGTCAATGGTGTGCGCGGCTGCGTCCGCATGCACAAGGGACCTTTCGGGAAGTACGAGAGCTTTGTGGCTGCGCGTCAGGCAAAATCAGCTCGTGTTCGGACGGAGATCTCTAGAGCAAGGCTGCTGCGGTGGCGTGAGTTAACGCGCCCGGCGAATATGCCAGAAAGACGTGCCAAGTGAACGACATGTATCCAACAAGACAAGAAGGTCAATCCGCAGTGCATCGACATTCATACCATACTCCGAATGGCGTGTCCCCGTGGTGATGAGGTTCAAGGTATGCCACAGGTCCTTCAAACAGTCAGTACTGCGATCCTCAACATGATGTGGCAAAACGTTACGTACCAGAACAGACAGAGGTCGGATATTCCGCGTGAGCTGCCGTTCACGCGGCTGTCGCTGCCTGATCTGCAGCCTCTCTGAGCTCTTGCGAAACTAACAGAGTGTGAACGCAATGCCGGATTCTACGTGCCCCAGTCCGATCATGGGTAAAGGATGTGAGAAGGCATATGAACGTCGCGGAACGAACATCACAATAAAGCCACATTGACCACGCTAAACATGCTATGGACGTGGCGCGACGAGCGTCGAGTTCATGTGGCACCGCGATGCACACGCACCATAGTCGCTGGATATGCTTTACAACGAGTTACTACCAGTGTACGCCGATAAGTAGGGATTACTCACGTTTAGCAAGCACGCGTACATCTGTAGTCGCAATGGTTCGTAGGGTACGTTGTTACTCGGCGGCCGTCAGCGCAACGGCACTGTGGGTTAATTGCAGCGACACATGTACCGCATGTTACCGAACGACTTGTGTTCGACTTGTGTTCACGAAAGGCCTACGAGGCCTACACAGGCATAATGCTAGTATCAGGCTGCATTGAATGTGTCGGACGCGAAGTAGCACTGCCAGCAGGCCCTAGCTAAGTGAACAATGAGATGAAGCATTGACCAAGCCTTGAGTCGTCTGAGAAATCCGAGTGGCGTGTGACGGTGTGGCGACCGACGTTCGGGAGGCGATACAAACTGTTATGATGCTGAATGATCGACGCATACAATATCTAAGTCGGAGCTGCTCCCATTCAACGTTCAACGTTCAACGTCGCGCCACCAGGACTGCCAGCTTGATACTGTCAATGACAACACTACTCATATTATCTACTAGCCTTCCTATGCGGCCAGCACCACACTGATCGCAGTACGAAAGATGGTGTGTTTCTGATTTCGCAAGTAGATACTGTGATTATTCGGCATAATAGCAGGAACGTGGGGCGTTATAGTAACAGTGCTACTTGCATAAGTTGCCAAAGGGGTCCGAATACTCGCCCTACCCAGGAAAATCTCAGTGTGCAAGCACTATTACTAACGAGCCGAGAATGCATACCGTACACTCTCATAGATCACTTCGCAGCGGGTCATCCAAGGGTCATCGGTCTATGGCACCACCGTCCATGCCGCCGCCTCCGGTTGCACGCCCATTCGCTCCAAATCCCACAGCCGTAGCATGCCATCGTCAGACGACGAAACGATGCGTTTTCCATCCGGCGAGAACTTCAAGTGAGTGATCTTGTCCTCATGACCGACCAAAGTGGTGAGCTGCTGCCCTGATGTCGTACTCCAGACACGTATGGAGTTGTCCTCTGCGCTGGCACAGACGCGGCTGCCATCGGATGAGAAGACCACCGCGTTGACCAGCATATCTCCGGTTTCCAAGGACAGGAGAAGCTCGCCGCCGAAGGAATCGCAGATTTTCACCGTCCCGTCGCTGGCCCCACTGAGCACTTTCTTCCCGTCAGCTGAGAACACCGCGGCCCACACGGGACCTGTATGTTCGCGCAGAGTGATGAGTTCCTCTCCGGTATCTGCGTTCCAGATGCGGGCCGTCCCATCCTCTGCGGCGGTCACGATGCGACGGTTGTCTGGTGCAAACGCGAGCGAGTAAACGACTCCCGTGTGCCCAGTCAGCTTGGAGATCTCTTGTCCATTACGCACATGCCATACGCATGCTGTGAAGTCTGCGCTTGCGGAGGCAAGTAGCCGTCCGTCGGGAGAGAAGGAAACCAGCATGACGAGTGCGTTGTGTCCATGAAGCACTGATATTGGCTGACCATTGCGTGAGTTCCACAGTCTGACCGTGCAGTCAACCGATGAAGTCGCAATGAGACTACCGTCCGGCGAGTACGCAACGAAGTAGATGTCGTTTGCATGTTCAACCAGCTCGAACCGCTTCTCGCCCGTGGATGTCGACCATACTATTGCCATCCCGTCGTCTGACCCCGAGACCAAGTCTCTACTGTCAGGCGAGAAGGCAAGGGATGAGATTGGTTGCGTGTGTCCTTCACAAGCGTGGACTCTCTGTCGATTGTTGACATTCCAGATCTCGACGAGAGAGTCGTCCGACCCGCTGGCAAGAAGACGGCTGTCTTTGGAGTATGCAAGGGCTGTTATGCCACCTGCTTGATGATCAAGCACGGCAGTCGCATCCTGCTTTCGTGACTCTGGATCTTCCGGTTGACCCATGAAATCGTCTTCTCCCGGCGCGGGTTGGTTGTTATCGTCAATATCAGGGTGTGTGGGCTCAGTAACCGTACGCTCTTTTGCCTCTTCCATAACGGGTGGATCAATCGAGTCCACAGGGTCATCCTCGAAATACAGCATTCCGACTATCAGTCTATCTCAGTATGCGCTTGTCCAAACGGGAAGCAGGACCTACGTCCGTCTTCGTTGACATCAATGACCGGGCGAACTTCGTCTAGGAACGCAATGATGTCATTTGGTATGTCGCAGCTGTGTTTCTTCCATCCATAACCCGATGTCAGTCGATAGGTGATATCTTGAAGAAATACACCTACCCTGCAAAGCCTGACGATATCGAAGTCGGTGGCGACTGCCATTGCGGCTTCCGATGCCTACAATGGCAAGTAACACAGCGTCAATGCCATGACACTCCTACCGCGTACTTCGAAAATGTACCTTCAAGATGTAGTCAAGAATGTCGTCAGCCGGATCATACGCCTTCATTCCTGCGTCAGCACAGGTGTGATACAACGACATACGATTCCGCATACCTTACGCCCAGGCAACCGTTCAACAGACTCGTCGTCCGTCATGAACGGATCCTCTTGGCTTCCCCCTTGCCCTCCCGTGGACGGATCGTCCGGCCCACGCGGAAGTTCATCGTATCCCGCCGCTCCTCTCATGACAGTCGGCCAGACCCCTAACTTGTATTTCATCTTGTAGTACTGCAAGAAGACACACTGATCCGCGTCCCAGGCCTGCGTCGGCGCGCTCGGTCCTAAATCGGGTGAGACATTGGCTGCCTCTGGATGCGCAGTTGAGCTTACCGGGATCGGGTTCGTTTCGTCTGCCACCACCACGTCCTCTCCTCCTGGGTACTGGATTGAGACTGGGCTGCAGCATATTCGACAGACGTTCCGAGGGGCCCCAGCTATACACAGGTGCTCTCGAGTTTCCGACCGTCGCGAATGCGGAGGCACTTGCATGGGCGGGTCCGTATCCACCCGTGAACGAAAATTTCGCAGATCTCCCACCCTCAACATACGATGCTACTGCCCATTGTGTAGTCTTGACGAATCCAAAGACAAACACGATGTCTTCCTTCTGCAAAGGCAAGTCGAGGTCGTCTGATGTGGCGAATGCGTACCATTCCCTGATGTTCTGCTTTAGATAGTTCATCATTCTCCGGCTGGGCAGCTGTTCGCGGTGCGCCGAGTCTTTCAGAACCAATACCGCCCCCTGCTCATCAGTACACTCAAAGGCGACGGATGCTCCAGAGTGCATGCTGTTAAGGTACGACAAAAACTTGACCAAATGCTCGCCGACCAGAAGTATAACACTCACACTTGTGCATCGATCTGCCCGCCCAGCTGCCGAATAGTCTTGCTACAGAGTGTACCTGCCACGATCGCGTCCGGCGTGTTCACCACAGAAGATCTGTCTCCTCTGATGAATGGTTGATAATTGCTAGGAACGCCATGCCCAGCGTTCAGGTCATCGTCTTGGTTCGCCATTGCGTTGAATATACGAATGAAGGCACCGTTGTCGATGTACCCGACATCGCCAATCTGCACACCCTTTGCGCAATTGGCAGGCCGAGGATCCCAGAGAGGATATCCGTGACCCAGTATCAGGAGTTGCTTCGCGTAGACATCCCAAGCAGTCAGTTCACTGCCGTGCGGTGGCATCCTACCAGTGGACCGATGAAGCGTCCCTCCGGGTCTGAGTCAAAATCTTGTCGAGTGGAAGTGGTCGAGATGGGGCGATCTATACAAAGGATGTGAGGGCGATACATGCCCCGATAAATAGGCTTCCGCAACACACGTGTAGGCAGTGTCGCCCTGTAAGTTACATCGCTTTGTAGTGCATCGCCAACGTCCACCGTGAGCGTCAGAACAAGCACCTGACCAATGGAAACTCGTGTATGTTACTGTACATATGTGGACCAGTGTCCCACGCAGCTTTCCGCGATGGGCTGTGGCCTGTGTTACTGTGTAATCATGGCTGAATCACCACACAAACTTGTCTAGTTTCATAAGACGATTGTCTCGACAAAAACCAACCAACGCGCGGGGAGGATGAAACTGTTATGTTCATAGTTCCAGGTGAAGGCACGATGGGGCCCTCTTTCACAGATGTACTGTGATTATAGCCGACATACGGTATGTATGTCACTCACCAGCTAAGTCGGATAGGTGGCGAACGCATGCATTCAAGTGGACGGCGCATCTTCAAATGTGCACATATTACACGACCTACGAAGCGAGTAGGTGTTTTGGAAAGCCAGGTGTGTAGTCTTACAGAATGTCGTGGGTAAAGCCATCATCTCAACTTGACACACGTCCTCAGTAGAACACGAGCATCCTCAGCTCGATGGATTCCCTGAATGGCGCATCCTTCGGCGTGCTCGGGTCATTGAACGCAGTATGCGGGGTGAACAGCGCAGTCTTCCCGTCGTCCTGAGAGTCAAAACTTCACGCATGATACGCGTCGCATCAGCCCTGCTTGCGGAGCACACAACACAAAACACCCACCACTTGATCAAGACGAACTCGTCCGGCCGCATGGCTCGCAGATAGTTCCACTTCTGCTTGGGTGAATAGCGCACGCCGTACGTCTGACCCTCTCGGTCCGGATAGCGCAGCGCGACGGGCACCACATCCTTCGCGCGGTCGATGCTCCGGCAGTCGCAGAGCGCGAGCGGCCAGTCCAAGGCAGGGTGCTCCAGCGGGCGCCACAAGTTCAGAATCTGGAAGCGTTTCTGGAGGAGAGCAGGAACGTCTGCGGCTGGGAGATGTCGGTGCACGCGCTCGACGGCAGATTGCGGGGTCTGGTCGACGTGCACTTGCGGGACGGGTTGGCGCTTAGTCGGTGCATCATCGCGCTCTCCAGGACGACGACGACGTATGGCTACGCAGTCAAGTCAGTACGAGCGATGAAGCGAGCTAGGGGAAGACGAACTGTGGTCGAAGGGTACGACATGACTGGCACCAGTCAAGAGCTTGATGAGCGCCACGCTCTCCGTGTAGTACTGCTCCCTGATTTCCCGCTCGTCCGTGAACGATGTGTGATCGGGCGCACCCGTGTAGAACTGGAAGCCCGCAGTATCGAGCTTCATCGCATGCTCGCGCCCTCTGATGTCCTCAATCTCGACTTGGTGCTCCTGGGGTACCCAGTTGCCCATCCGCCCAGCCGCGTCCATGTTCACTAGCGTGTATGGGGCGGACCCGTCCGGCGGCGGAGAGTAGAACATCAGGCCGGCCTTGACCGTCCTCGGGGATAACGGAGGTTTTGCTGTCGATGCGGCATCGCGCAAGGGTCTTGATGTGTGTAGGGGTCGGTACGTCGGAACCTGAAGTCCCACCCACAACGGCTACTCTACGGGTTCGTCACTCAGGCTCCAGAGGCTATGAACAGGATAATTTACCTTGATTGCAGGTAGGCTAGCGCTTGGCCAGGCGTGAATGCAGTTAGTCGCCAGCCTGAGTGGTCTCGCGAGGTACATGGCGCGTAAGTGGGGGATGCAGCTGCTAAGCTCGAGCAATAAGAGGTTGAACAAGGATAAGTAGATCGCTTGGGTACTCACCCGTCCTTCACGTTGTCGAGACGTTAGCAATGACGTCGACCAGAGGCGCAAGTATCCACCCTAGTCAGCACGAAGCTATTGTGCTTTGTCAGATTGCAGGGTGTTCTCGGCAACATACGCTGGAGTAGAGGGCTCCGTCACGGAGCACGCGCACCATAGACATCATTGAGACAGGTGGCCAGAGAGCTGCAAGGTCGCAGCGCGGCAGAAGGTCATTATTATACATGACACCCGCAAACTGCAGACTCGCACAGCAGTATAGTACTGGCGTGATTGGTCGTGAGCATGTACAGTGCATGACTGCAAGAGCAAGGTTTGGTAGTAAGTAGGTGCAATAGTAACTCGTCTAAAGCAGATATCAGTTCCAGTGAGTTCATTTGCATCTGTTTGGTCTGGCGCCTCACGGTGACTTCCTCCTCCTCCTCCTCCTATCATTAGTAGTGCTACTTATCGAACTTGTTGATTCCCTGCCGCCCCGCTCGTTGAATTCGGAGTTCTTCCACCGTGACGCCGACACTCCAACAAATGTACCCCTCATCTCCGCCAGCAAAGTGACACGGCCATTCAATTTCACTCAGCAGAAGGCGTCTGAGGAACCATCCTTCAGGGTGAGGTGTCACTAGTACTGAGCGCTGCCACGTATGGCATTGTACGGCCTCGCCGCCTCGCCGCGTCCCGCTTACCCTGTTTTCGTCCCCAGTTTGCTCCCAGCCGAAGGGAATCGCACCCTCCACCGCACTCGGGAGCAGCTTACACCTCAGAACGGGACGTCTTTAGGCGCGATTAACTATAGAGGGCTGGGAGGACATTGTACTATTCCTTCTGTGAGTCTGTGATCCTGTTACATCGCTATGCATCGCCGATGGTCCTACCCCCGTTCTGATGCTCACGCTACAGCCCATCGTCAGGGGTTGTACGCGCCGATATGATCACCGCGACCGAAAACGACATCGTATACTGGTCATCTCGTGATAAATCACGGAGGCACTCGATCTCCTTCGTACCGCATGAAACGGCGACGCTATCGGGCTCATTGGCGCGGACGCTGTCGGATCGCATCCCTCTCGAGGTTGTCGAGAGGATCATTGACCGCATGGAGTGGGCCACGCTACTCACTGCGGTGAGGGTCTCTCGGGCATGGTATCCCCGCGCCATGTACGATCTCTATCTTGCTATTGAGATCCGATCACGCACAAGCTTCAAGCTGCTGGAGAGACTGCTGCGCACATCGCCTCCCATTAAGCGATGGCTCGCATCCACGTACTCCCTTACTATCGGTTACGACAGGCCCCCTTACATCAATGTCGCCCCCATCGTCCTCGCCCGTGCAATGCCAGATCTACGCGAGATGGTCTTTCTCTGGGTTTCATTGGACCATCCCATACACCCGGTGTTCTACTCCGCTCTCTCGCATTTCCGTCACCTCACGGCATTACGTCTGCTTCAGGTTCGTCTAAGGAACAGCAATCAGTTGCAACAAATTCTTGGTGCCTTTCCGCGCCTGACGGAGCTCGTCTTCAATGGCGTGAGTTTCCACAGACAGGACACGGCCACCCCACACTTCTCCCGTAACTTAAATACCGAGATGGCCCTGGAATCCCTTCACGTCACAATCCGTGGGATACGTTCTCATGTCGCCTTTGAGTACATCGTTGATGCGCTCATGTGGTCGACGCTTTGCACCTCTCTTCGCAATCTGGAAGTACGCATCGTCTCTGAGGGCGATGGGCTCTGTGACGTGGAACTCGGTTGTGACGATGTCAACCGACTCCTCGGAGCAAGTGGGCCATCACTACAATCCTTTGACGCTATTTTCCTTAATCTTGGTAAGTTGAGTCGTAGTCTCCATTCGTGCTATGCTCACGAATGCATAGAATCGGCGGCGGGTGCAATCAATTTCACGAAGAATACCTCATTGCGCGACATGGAGATCACATCGAGAGTGAGGGCCAGCACACCAAGAGAATCTTGGGTACTTGACGCGGCTGTTAGCCTGCGTTCCAGCGGCCTCTCCACGGTCCGAAGCTACCACCTCAAGCATGTCAAGCTTCGGCCCATCCTCTCCTTCAATGATGACGATAGTCTTGGGCTGTATAGCCCATTCCGCGAGAGAGTCGACTCAGAGGTGCGAAGCCTGCACAACGACATGGCTCTACCGTACTATGACCTGCTGGAGAGCGCGGAAGTCGAAGTGATCATTCACTTCGAAGCCAAGAATGGTGGCAATCATGCGACAGAAGACGTCGCCATCGCCCAAGCAGTTGTTGCACAATACCGCCGCCTCTTCGAACCATGGGATGATCGCGGTATAGTCAACATATCGTGCAAGACCGTGACGCATTGGAATGACAATCCATATGAACCTGACGAGCCCGGTGCTCGCACATCATCGGAAGAACCGGTACGTTGCTCACTCACTGCCTGTCTGCACGCCGATACTCGACTCACGATGCGCATCGAGGTTGCCGACACAGCGCAAATCCATCGTACGAACTCCGAGCCAGACTTCCCGCCGCCGCTGAGGCTGGCACCACGGCGGGGCATCATTGCGAAGCGACCGGCCGACGGCAGCAATACAGCTAATCCCATATTCCCAGGCCCCTCCGCGAAAAGTGTGGACAGGCTGAGTACGTGGGACTCGGTACCACGAACGCGTTCTCATTAGCATGCTACCAGAATTGGTAGCGTCGAGAGCGAGCCAGATCGACCGGCAAATACAAGTCAACGCCGAACTGCCTGAGTAGGTTTGTTTGACGAGGGTTCTAACAACATGGAATTAGCTGTAAATGGAGCGTACTGCTGGCTCTGGCTTTCTGGCGGACCTACTAGTGTATGCTTTGCTATGTTGCCAGTGTGTGCCTGCTGTCGATCGCGTCAACGCGTACCATCCCCTGCGAGACCAATCCCGTCTGGTCAACGTCTGACGATGAGTGTACTCCAATGTGATCTTGAGTTCTTATGCTATTCCCCGCCGCGTCGCTCGCATTGCACAACAGACTTTCTCTCGAAACTTACACTGCTATGCGGATCGATGAACACAACCGGCGGTAGTGCGTGCTCTGGCCCCAATCTCCCAATCGTCAACGACCAAGAACTTCGCACAGGAAATTACTGGCTTATACAGCCATCGGGAGAAGCTGAACATCTGCTCCGTTTGCTTCTGTTTGCTTGCGCAATTGACTGACGTACGCTACAAATGTACTTTAATTCTAGTTATCAGCCACCATGCATCACCGCGCTAGTCTCATACCAAGACCCTCCACACGGCACACGTGAGGGGTTTGTGTCGAACCTATCACCCTCTATCACCGCGCTGGATATGCATACGCCTTGTCACCTATTCCGCTGCGTGAGGCTTCAGCTTCAGTTACGGTGGGTTCCCAAGTAAGTTGCAGGCAAATACTACAGGCGCACTGCATGACCGACGTGACCGTGATCTTCCATGCGCGCGCATCAAATACATTCGACTCATTAATCGACAGGGCACTGACGGGAAATGCCAGCCTGAACATCTTTCACGTTGATGCGGCCTCCTCTCCTTCGACAGTTATTTGACAGCTGTTTGACAGCTGCACGACAGCTTCACGCGCCTTGGCCATGCGTGGCCATGCACTGGGCGTCGCAGACGGTCGGCTGGTGCGCGTAGGAGGCGCTGGGGATGAGGAATAAAAGGGCCCCTTCGCTGCTCTGTTTTCCCAGCTCACTTCTCTTTCTCGGGCTCTACTACACAAGCGGGTACTGGCTGGTGAGTATTCACCAATCATCGTGTTTCTCACCTCGTTCATTGACCGCTTCGCTCTGCAGCCTTGCTTATTTCATTTCACGACTCTTCAACCTCATTTTTTACGCTCCGCGCCGTCCATCACTGCAGATAATAACCTTACATCATGCGCTTCGGAACAGCCATCTCTTTGCTTTGCGCTGTTGCGTCGGTGACGCCGCTCGCGTTCGCCGCGCCAGTCGCTTCCGACTCGTACGTGCCTTTCCGTAGGATCCTCGCACACCACCGAGCTCACTTCGTTTCGTAGGACTGACAGCTTCGAGGCTCGTGGCTTCGACGTTGAGGTCGCTGACCTCGTCGCTCGCTCCGACTTCGACGAGGCGACGAGCCTTCTCGCCCGGGCGGTCGCGGACGTGCTCAGTGCGCGGACCGACCCGCCCCCCTACGACAGGCACGACCCGATCCACGGCGCGAAGCCCAAGTACTCGAAGATTGACCCCAACCCCCCGCCCAAGTACAGCAAGAAGGATCCGCTCAAGCCTAAGAACCATTTCTTCAAGCCCAAGCCGGGCCCCTCGCGTCCGCGCGACCTGGCGGAGGTAGACGACATGTGGGCGCGGGAGGACGACGGGCTCTGGGCTCGCGAGTTCGACGACGAGCTCTGGGCGCGCGAGGACCTTGAGGAGATGTGGGCGCGCGAGGTCGCGGACGTGCTCAGTGCGCGGACCGACCCACCCCCCTACGACAGGCACGATCCGATCCACGGCGCGAAGCCCAAGTACTCGAAGATTGACCCCAACCCCCCGCCCAAGTACAGCAAGAAGGATCCGCTCAAGCCTAAGAACCATTTCTTTAAGCCCAAGCCGGGCCCTTCGCGCCCGCGCGAGCTGGTCGACACCTGGTGGTGAGCGGTCCGATGGAGGGATGGTCAAAGACTGTATGGTGCCCATTGTATCCTTGACGTGGACTCCCAGTAATGAAACTTTGTAAGTCGTGAACTCCATTTCATGTGAGCTTTGAAACACTTTTGGTGCTTGAAGGTATCATAGTAAGTACTCTTAGTCTGCGATTCTTGTGGTTCCGCAGGGGTACAGTACGTCGCTTCGCGTTCACAACACTACGTTGCGTTTCCTCCACGTTCTGTCAGTCTGCAACTGTATGCGAGCGTCGATTACCTTGCCAGTAGTGCTTGTAATACTTGACGCGCATGTGTCGCGCGATCTTCGCTACGATTAATGTCATGGTGCGCCCCCCGGCGTTCAGTAGCACTCAGCTGAGTAGTTCCGACCCCCGGTATTGCAAGTCGCTACTTCAAGTAAAATGTCTATACGATGGCCAACACGCTACAACAGGCTAGATACCCTCCCAATGTCCCATTCCACAAATACCGGCTACAACTGCGAAGGATACACAAGATGTCTTCAGAAAATCCGAAGAATAGTCCATATTATGGCCGGGCGTACACCGTGACCCAATCATGATACAGAGAGGGGCACCAATTCAGGATCACAAAGCATTGTGAGAGGCTACACCGCTGCCTACACGTTGTCAGGTTACGCCGAACGCCTATGCATAAGTGTCACGTACCGTGTGCGACGGCAGACACGCTCTCCGCGACGTATTGTCTATGCGACCACTTTCCTACGAGTCGATTGGCTACACTTGAACTTGTCGATGACGTTACCTCCGTCGCCGGCGCGTTGCTGCGGTTGGCATCCGCTTGTTTCCCAGCATTTGAGCACACTGACGTGGAGAAGACCGTTCTCAGTCGAATCAAGGCTGAAGCCGTGCAATGATCAACTCACGGTCGCGTGCTCCAACCCGCAAGGGCGCCAGAGATCCACGTAGAGGTATACCGGCTGGAGCGTTTACTGACGCCTGCCGCGAATCCGTTGAATGTCAACAAGACGCATTTCTAACGGCGACGCAAGGCTTACCTCATACGCAACTACTACATGATAATGAGCGGATGGAAGGGAAGCACCCGAGCGGACTGACCTATCAGACTTGACCTGCACCTCGAAGCATGGCGTCCGTGGGGCCAACCCGGGTCATCATCAATAGGTATATGTTCCTGGTACCTGATGGTCAGCATGGACGAAATCATATTGCACATGAACGGGGCATACGGTACGTGTCACGTCGATGTCACGTTCCAGACACGGATCCGAGGTATACACCGGTCTATGTACTTCCGCCTTGCATGTGCTACAGTCGTCGCCATTCGCAGGCGGCGGTCGGTGTGGGCCAGCTGCTGCTACTATGCGCATGGGTATCAAGAGACGACGCCTGGCAGAACAGTAGTTCACAAAGACACACTGATTTGCTGTGTATGTTCAGGACAAACCGTTATTCATCATCTTAGTTGACTCACCAGGTGGCGGGTCTGTCGGAGTCTTAGGACCATAGTGGAAGTGTGGGACTCCCTCGCCTCCTATCCGCTCCCAGGGGTCTGTCCCTGAGGGACAGTCAATGCTCTGGTAGCGGAACTTGACTGCTTCTTCGCCCGCTTGACAGAGTGCAATGGCGTACTGCGGCGCCTTGATATATCCCGTGACGAGGCGTATGTCCGACAACCGCAAATCCAAGTCCAGGGAGAGTACGAATTCGTGCCAGGTGTTGACGTAGTTCCGTACGTAGGTCGTTACGCGACGATCCGTCCGTGTCGTGTGGCGCAGTGCCCCTTGCTCAAGGACTAAGACTGCGCCCGGGCCCCGCTTCCCTGCGCACTCGAAGGTTTTATAGTTGTCGCCTCTGAAACGTATATTACTGTTAGTGATACTGGATACGACCCATGTGTGACGTCTCCCGACTCACGCATCAATTTGCTTCACCGACCCGGTGTGAAATACGCGCTTTGGTTCTATGTAATTTCTGTAACTCAACGCGGGGATGCTCCCTACGAACAGTGGGACGAATTCATCTGGGACACCACACTTCTGATTCCTCAGATCGGTCGCCGGTCTGAAAGCATTGAAAATATAGTGGAAGCTACCGTCATGGATGTAGCCAACATCGCCCAGCTCAACTTCGAGCTCATCTACCGGCCCCGACGGCTGCCACAGTGGATATCCGAGGCCGAGAGGGGAAAGCTCTGCGGCGTATGTTGCATCCAGAGAATTATACATAGACGTCGACAGCCCTGAGAGGTCGAAAGCAAAGGCTGGCATGGGCGCCAGGGACTCGAGGACTTGAGCCTCCTCGGATTCGAGAGGACCCCAGCCACCCAAGGACAGCCCGGCTCCCGCGCCGGGTCACGATGACCGGTAGCAAGTACTGTCATGATCACTGATCAGTACTTACTGTAAGCTTGTTCTGAACTTGGTTCTACAGACAGCGCCGCTCTACGCCGCGGCGCCTGGCATACACAATCGCGAACACCGACGAGGAGGGGCAGGAGGAAGGGGAAGATGTATTCATTTAGCCCCGCAACACGCGCGTACCACGCGGTGCATGCATGCCATGTCGCCGAAGTCCTTGGCTCTTGCCCTTAGTATGATATCTCGAGCTTGACTACAGCCCGTCACCGCAGTAGAGGCATTGTTCTCCAACTCGACTGCCATCTAGTAACCTGATCAGCTTGGCTGTCTCTGGCACACATCGCTATGGCCTCGGGCTCCCACAATGAGAGGAACAGTCAAGGGGCTTCCAGGACTCTAGCGCCCGATATCGACCCCCCCGGGGATAACCCCGGTCAGGTTCTCGGGGTCCCGATATTACAGGGGAACGAGCTTTTCTGGTCACTTTTCCTCGAAGTCCATTGCAATGGACGTTCTACACTGTCAAAGGTTGTGTAGTAGCATCAGAGTATGTATTAGATTGCCCACAACAAAAACCCTGGCTGCCGGAGTCCTCTACGTGGAGAAACAGCTAGCACGACCGTATATGGTAGTGGGTCTGCGTATGTAATAAACGCGTATGTCATAGCAATTCGTAAGACGCGTCGACGCGACTGTACCAATCTCAGGCACGCGCGTCTGTCGCGATGTCCGCTGTGCACCTCCCAGTCTGCAACATATGCAACATGCTCGCGACTACCCTTCTGATGACCTATACCCGCCATGGAGCCCCGTCCAACCTAGTGACCGTCTCCGAATCCTTGCGCGCCAAGTTGGCATGCGGTACGACAGTGTCGAGCCACATAGCGATGACAGTTCAAATTCTGGAAGTGACGGTGGCTTTGCGGCGGAGACGTTGAGTAACTGTGAGTTCTCCGTTGACTTCAGTTCACTGCCCGGGCTGCTGCCTGCTGCCGAGTTCATGGAATGGGATGGTTCAACTGCTGCGGCCGAGCTGAGTCCGAGTCGTTCAAATGACGATGTCGGGGAGCTGCTCAGCATGACCACTGTGGAAAATGGTGACTGTCCAGTTCATCTAGACGGGAACTCACCCAGAAGTCACGCCAGGTTCATCCAGAGTACCCTTGTGGCTTCTGCAGGCGGACGGGATGTGACGTCGGCCTCTCGAAAACAACCTCCTCTTATCAGCCGGTCTCGAATTGCCCACATGCCCACAAATTCTCTCTCGCATCGGCCAAGAAGCACTCTGCGCGCATGCCGTCAACAAATGTTCCGTTGCAGTGCGACCTGTGCGACGTGAATCCTGCGACGAAACTCAAACCAGTCCTGTGGAAGTACAACATTTTCCGACACATCCAAGACGTGCATCCACAACACTGGAATGCTGACGCTCGCCGCTCACAACACCTCAGTGAAGGGTTCGTCGCATCGATCAATGTCGATCCGCATGAAGTCCCAGCCATCGCTCCGAACGCCCCGCGCACCTATCCCATTCCCGACGCAGAAGCCGAGACACCTTGTCAAGAAAGTTCGGCAACAAGCAAGCGTCCCGGAGAGCCTCACGCCGGAACGCGTTCGAGCAAGCGTGTCAAGTTTTCCTGACTCGTTCGATCACAGTGCTGGCACTGGCTCGTTCAACTCCGTTTTCGTGTATATTATTATTATGTATTGTTAGACGTATCATACACCAGCTACAGTTTGTCTAATAGAGCACCGACAGGCTACCACCGTGTTGACATGAAGTCCCATTCCGAACCGTTAGTTCTGTGTGTCTGTCTGGCGACTCGTCACTGTCAGCCTGGTCCTGCCGTCTACTGGGCGCTTGCACTCCTTCGGGCGCTAAGAGTAGGTAGGTTGTGGTCAGGTTTTCGGGGTCATGGCACGCACTTTATGGGGGGTCGATATTCTGAAATCCGACTGATGGAAGCCCCTTGGGAACAGTGATGCCACGCTTCAAAGCGTCAAAGGTTACGCAGCAGCTGATTCGGCGGACGCTGTATTGGGCCAGGTATGCTCGTTGGCCAGTCAAAGTGATTCAACATAGTCTCATACGAATTTTACGACAGGGTCCTGTCACAGAATCAAGTCCGTCCTTCGCGCTCACAGAAGACGAGAAGAACACATGGGAGAAATACTCACATCTCGTGTTGAATCACGAGAAAGATGTTGTCAAGGAATGGAGGGACGAAATAGACACTTTACTGGTGTTTGTAAGTCGCTCCGCTCATCTGCGTCCGGTTTTGACCACCGTCCCGTCTGTATCACTTACTAAACTGTCGTGATCCCAGGCAGGTCTTTTCTCCGCGGTGCTGACTGCATTCAATGTCCAATATTACACTCAGTTACAGCCAAGCCCGACCACTCACATAACCGTCACATCGGGGACTATGAACGTATCTTTTCTAGCCGACGCTGGCACAAGCTCCGCACAAGCGCCTGCGACTACGGTGGCCATCAATATTTTATGGTTCCTCTCCCTAGTGTTCAGTCTCGCCGCTGCATCTATTGGCATCAGCGCGAAACAATGGCTCTCCCACTACGTTGTCCCGGAAACTGTAATCGCCATCCAACGACTTCGTATCTGGCACCTGCGCTATCAACGTTTCCGTGAATGGCATGTGCCTCAAATCATCGAGGCACTGCCGTTTCTTCTCCAGCTATCACTCGCGCTATTCCTTGTGGGTGTTGCCGTATTATTGTGGAGTCTGCACCTTCTCGTCGGAATTATAGTGACCATCCCGACCGGCGTCTTACTGTTGTTCACATTGGGGACATGGATCACACCGGCTTGGGTCCCCGGATGTCCGTACAAATCACCACAAGCAAGATGGGTCTACCGTCTTTTCCGCCGTCTATCGTGGAATGACGGCATCATCCATCGTGAAGACACAGAAGGCCGCTTGAGCTACCTTTCGAGGATCACACAAGCCGCACCGCCGGTGAGAGACTGGCTAGCTCGCGAGGAGGATTGGATCCATAGCGTATCGGTACCGTTCGCGGTGGCAAGCACCGACGTCGCAGTCGCCGTGGACCGTGTGCTTCAAAAGGACGACTTCCTCCAGGAGGCGATCCTGCCCGCCGTTGCGCGGGTGGACGCAGTCACCGCATGCAACGTCGTAAATGACGTTGTGTGCTCTAGAGCACACATCGCGTCTCTCGCCCAGCTGTACGATACATCGGCCAATGGTGCGGTAGCGTGGTTCTACGACGCGGTCAATATCAAGACCATCATGGTCCTGGGCGACCTCGCCATGAACACCTTGCCTGCTGTGAGCAAGCACAGCTATGATCCGCCCGCGTTGGCGTTGGCGTACCGGCCGAACGGTCAAACACGGGTCCAAGGACTGCTTGCTTTGCTGAACCACGTTCTTCGAGCCATTCCCGTTGGAGAACGTCAGACGCACTGTCATCGACTCGCCGAGTGGTTTGTCCGAAATGAGATACACCTCTTGGACCGACGCACCTTTCCGCAAACTCATGAAATCGCGTTATGGTTGATTTCCGTGCACTGGATGGACTTTACGCACGCATGTCCCCATGAGCTCAGAGGTGAGCAGTATGTGAGCTTACTGCACCCTTCATGGACACGCTGACAACGGCGTCACTAGCGAAGTTCCTCGACCTCGTCGTGGAAATGTTAGATTCGTGGATGCAAGGCTATCGTCGCGTCGATAAATCCGCGCGCTTGGAAGCCCGCGATCTTGCTAGAGAGCAAAAAATCTGGGATCTATATGGACTCATGTGAGCGCATTCGATCCTACGAGAGCATGAGGGACTAACGAGATCCATTGATGGTGGCACGGCTTCGAAAAGTCGTCCTCGTCAAGCGGCCAAACTACCAGATGGGGAAAACCTGGTTCAAGCGAATGCTACTATGAAAACTTCGGTGGGAAACAGTACAATCGATCTGGAGGCAGGGATCAAGAAGAGCGAAGCGGGTTCGTCCAGCGAGCACGTCCGAGTAACAATTCGGGGCGCGGCATCTTCCTCCGGCGGGCGTTCTATTCATCATGCCCTACCAGCACAAAGATGGCACGAAGACGGTATGTTTATGTGCTACTACTCACGTCACTGACATGTGCTAATCAACCTTCCATCGAAGTCCTAGACGAGACTATGATGTTTCCAAAGCTCTGAGGCATCAAGTTACAACCAGGGGCGCCGTCAACGACTACCCAAACGGACGCGCAATGGATATATTCTGGCAGTGGTCAAGGCGTTGATCCCCGTATGGAATACATACCACACAAGGACGCGATTCTTGCACAATGGGATATCTTCCTCCCTGTTGGTTTTATAGTCGACGCTGACTCTGAGCCTGCCGCCGGCGATGGTACCACGTGGTCATACGCGTCGGTGGCATCACTGTCGCGATTCAATCAAACCAAGTATGTAAGTACCAGTCTGTTTGTCGGCGTCGTTGTTCAGTTCCGATACTCAATGTATGGGTGGGCAACGGTACTGATCGGTTCCGGTGCTGCGTCGGGGCCGACCAAACAAGTCTCTCGCGCGTCGCGCGCATTCGACAGTCATCACGCAAACGACTGCAACGTACATATGTCAGCCGGAGCCCTGTGCTAGCTATCTACACCACATCGAGGTGTCTGTGTAGCCCGAGCGTAAGCCGCCCTCCACTCTCAGTACATATGTATTTAATTGTTATCAGACTTGCTTCAGACCACTACGCATTGGCAGCAACCATGGCGGTGGTACCGCAATTATGAGCGGTCCGGATCATCCGACCACGCGGATGCATCCCCTGCTAACGACATTCCGCATGGCACTGGTAGGGCGGGTTTGTCAAGGCATCAAACAACAAAATTGAGCCTTCCTGTACCCGAGTTTGACCCGAGTACTAATGTTGAGTTGTCCACGGTTCACTGCTTCTGAGTAGCTTTCATACCCATCGCGACAGATATACAAGAATGTTGAGAACTGTCGTTTCTGTCATGATGCTATGTACAGTGACCGATGAACATCGGCACAGCGCACCAGTATGTAGGTGGTCCACGTTGCGCCTCGCTGTCGCTGTCAAGAGTTCTAACTTGTTGTATTGCTTGGCCGCGATGTCTGACAACATCGACACGGGACAGCCGATGAGACAACGATGAGATGCCCAATCGAATCCCAAACATCGGGCTAGTGCTCCCTTTGCGTCTCAATGGAAATTTTCCAATCTACGAAGTGTTAGGCAGGTGTGTCAAACCCTTTAGCAACGATCACACTTGCGAAACTCATCCGCTTTTTGGCAGAAGTATGGTAGTACGATCATTCTCAAGCATCGCTACCCATCAACTTGAACGCTGAACGATCACGCCCGAGTCGTGTTCACGCCGACATATAAAAAGGTGGCCGTGGTTGAAGTCGGCGTTCAATTTGACACGCTTTCCGGCCTCTGCTCTCTCGCGCTCTCTCAGGCCGAAGTCCAGCACGACCGCGTCTTCCGTTCCACAGACCGCTCAGAAGCACTCCTAGACGCTTTCAGACGCCTCAAAGACCGCAATTGAGCAGGAACATGAAGTTCACTAGCAGTGTCGTTTCACTGTCGCTCGTTTGCGCGGGCTCACTCGTGGAAGCCGCGGACATGTTAAACATGCAGCATCTCAATCGAGCTCCGATCCATGGCAACCGCAGCGATCTTTCTGCGAGGTCGACCGTGGGCAGCTCCTTCTCTAGCGGCATCAAGAAAGGTCTGTCGTTCAATGACGCGTCGCTAACCCATCACTTCACTTCCTCGTGAGTCATGAAGTTGTGGCCGCGGATCATGCATTGACCTTCTTGCAGAGAGGTCAGCTGGGCGTACAACTGGGGACAGACGTACTCAGGCAGCCTGCCGGCCAACGTCATGTACATTCCTATGCTATGGAGTGACGCCAGCGCATCCACTAGCACATGGCACACTAACGCTCAGGCCGCCATCAACAAGGGAGCGGAGTACATACTGGGGTGCGTTCAGCGCGCTGTTTGAGTACGCTTGCATAATGCTGATGATGTCCCGGAAACAGCTTCAACGAACCTGACCTGAACGCACAGGCCAACATGACGCCCGAGCAGGCAGCCTCGGCTTGGATGACCTACATGCAGCCTTTCGCGGGCAAGGCCAAGCTCGTTGGTCCTGCGATCACGAACGGCGCCGCGCCGATGGGAGAGGCCTGGCTAGACGAGTTCATCAGTCTTTGCACGAAGTGCACGATTGATGTGTACGCCATGCACATCTACGACGCCGCGACGAACGAGGCGTACTACAAGCAGTATATCTCCAGCTTCGCCAGCAAGTACAAGAAGCCGGTATGGGTTACTGAGGTGAGTCTCGCACCTGCTTTGACGCGCACTGGGGCGTGGCGCTGATGGAGCGGTACAGTTCGGCGCGACCGGAAGTGCCTCCCAGGTGAACACGTTCCTCGGCAGCATGGTCAGCTACCTCGACGGGCTCGAGGGCGTCGGCGCGTACGCCTGGTTTATGGACGAGGCCGGCAACCTGGTCAACAGCGACGGCACCCTCACCTCGCTCGGCAAGACCTACGCTGCCTAAGCCTCCTTGGCCGGCTCGCCCGTCTCCGTTTTTTCGCCTCAGCACAGCCTGCCCGTCCCACCACTGTCCCATCCTCCTCCCTGCTTCCTGGTTCTGTTTTGTTCCCGTTGCGCTAAAGATGTTTTGTGCTAGTGACATCCGATTGTAGTAACATGCAACTCAAATCAGAGTGTAGCACCGCTTTTTGTATTCTATTATTGTCCACACATCTTCAGGGCACCTTGTCTGCTCACAAAATGTCTCTGAACATGCACGTCATTGACTTTTCATCCGGGTTTTTTATTGGCCCGGCGATGTACTATGGCTACAACCGCGGGTTTTCACACAACGTAGCGGTTCAAATAGTGCGTAAAGGAGATGATAGATCCCTCATGCTTCGATCTACATACCCTGATCTTCGTGAGTTCATTGATGTAGCGTACCAGGTATAGTTTTCCGTTCGAGCAAGCTTAAGACGGGCGCACATACTTAGCCTGGTACGTACTAGTTAGTAAGTTGCGAGTCGCGACGCCACCGACGCGCGAGATCACGTGGTATGTACTATAGCAGAGGGTGGCTGAATCGGACACCTCCTCTCCTCTTCCTCTTCCTAGAAGACTATCGCTTGCCTTCGCTTCTCTGACGAAAGCACTACTGTATCTTCACAGCATATACGAAACTCTTGCGCCAATCCGGACGCTTCCCGGACCATGGGCGACAGGAAGACATCGTCTACAGCAAACAAAGGCAAGGAGCGAGCGGTCGAGGTGCTGGAAGTCGAGGACGAGGAGCAAAGACAGGCACGCATGCGTATGTGTTCAGATGCTACTTGTCGAGCACAGAAATGATAGTCATCCCAGACGATGTTTTCGCGAGGCTGGACACTTCATCTTCCAGAGCCTCTCCATCTGCGGGACTACAACTACCGAATCTGAGTGGCCAGTCGTCCCTCCCACTAGAACCGAATACAGAATGTTGGTGTCCGCATATATCCTTTTTTAATCGCGGGTGAACCGCTCTTTGCTAGTGCTGTCGCGTGTGCAAGCGTTCCTCCCGCAGCTAGCAGAATCCAACGCCGACCTTGCTCGCCGCGCGCAGAGCGACCCAAGAAGCGTAGACATCGAGAATATCGACGCTAGCCAAGCGTACATTGAGATGGAAAGTCGAGATTCTTCGCATACTAAGATCGCTGGCTTATGGTGTCCTCTCTTCCCCCAGAACCTCGGACTTGGCGTCTTAGAGCAACGTCGAAACACTGCTCCTGGATCTCGGTCAGAAGTGGATCAAGATGCGGGTTCTGATGCGGACTCTGACTCAGAGTCTTCTTCGGATGATTCGAGCTCGATGTCGAGCTCTGAATCCGACAGTATAGGCTCAGATTCCAGCACAGATGATTGTGACTCGGACGTAACCGAGTCATTGTCTTCTGGGAGACCTACCAAGCCGCTTCCGAGACGGAAACCGAAGGTCACTGTCGTAGGAGAAAGAAGTAACGAGAATGCATCTTGACCATTGCAAGAGAGGCTGAGTTATAGCCCTGTTGATGTTCTGAGAACCTGTGTCATTAGTAAGTCAAATCCGACTTTGTTCGTCATTCCCAATGCGCCGCGCGGACTTTGGGTCAGCTAGCACTGTGGTCAGAGGTGCCCGTGTCGCAGTCTGTCCGCTGGATATCTGCAATACTCATGATGGTTAGGAACTGACGAGAGCTCTCGTCGAGTGCTCGCAGCGGAGCTCGGCTATGTATGCTTATAGACCACTGCCTTTCAGGCCCTTTCTTAGTCTGCCAATGCAACAGCTATGGTGCCGCATTTGTGGGCGGTCGTCCGCGTTATTCCAAGCTGTCGGCACTGGCAGGGATGGTTTTGTCAGAGCCTCATTACACCCGAGTAACGGTCAGTTGTCCGCTTCTACTTCGCACCCATCGCAGCAGGTACACTGAGCGTCGCTGCCTGTCTCATATGATTCTGCCTGCAGGGACCGAAGAACGTCAGGCACAATGCACCTGCATGCGGGCGGTCGATGTTGCGACCAGGTTGCGACTCGCTGTCAAGGCCCGGGTTTGGTCCAAAGCCTGGCCTAATACCTATGTGACGGCGTGTTGACATAGCCAAGGAGATTCTGATGAGACACCTAAAAAAAGCCTTGACGGTCAGACTGATACTCGATGCGCACCCAGTCCTCGGTTTGCCACGTAGTGAAGCCTCTTCACTGTCTGTGAAGCGAACAACAGGTGTGTTAAAGCCCCCAGCAAATGTCCTGTCCGCTTGCACTCATTCTCTTTCTGGCAGAACTGCCGCGATTCTACGGAGGCCTAGACCAGGGCGGGCGTCTCACGTTATGTCATACGCAGCATCACCGCAGCAGATGGGAATGTTCTGCGACACACACAGGTCACACAGGGAGGTCCGCGCTCGATGTGAGTCTTATTATGGCGACTCGTATTGCAGACATGCAGGTGACTCCGAAGACGCGTCTTCGTGTTCTTCGCAGGTTGTTACGAGGTGCATCACCTCGCGGAATGCGCGTGGATGACACGATCTCAAAATTTGTTGCGGGAAACCATATGGACTTCACTCAGGCGCTCCACGCGGGATGTGTATAGCTTCTCCATATGGTAAGAGAGTTTTATGCACAGGCACCGTCGCGTCCCCCAACAACGCCCGGACTCCGGAGCGATCGACCCCGAATCGCGTTCACCTAGACGCCAACACATAAAAGGGTGGTCATGGTTGAAGTCGGCGTCCCCTCTTGCTCGCTTTCCGGTCTCTCTGCTCTCTCTCGCTCTCTCAGGCCGACGTCCATTCCGGCCGCGTCTTTCATTCCGCACACCTCATTCCTTTGCTCCGAGGCTCCCCAAGACGCGTCCAAACTCCTAGAAGACCACAGCTCACCCAAACATGAAGTTCACTAGCACGATCGTTTCACTCTCGCTCTTTTGTGCCGGTTCACTCGTGGAAGCCGCGCACATCTCCAACATACACCGTCTCAAGCAGGCCCAAGTCCATGGTCGTCGCAGTGGTCCCTCTGCGACGTACACCTCTATAACGGCGTCTGCCACCGCCTCCGGGACGCCCACGTCCAGCTCATCCAGCTCGGCTGCGTCGGCGACGTCGACAGGGACCTCCTCCGGTTGCTCCTTCTCGAGCGGCATCAAGCGAGGACTCTCGTTCAACGACGCGTCGCTGACCGAACAGTTCACTTCCTCGTGAGTCGTGTTGTCCTGAGGGTGGAAAGCAGGCGCTGATATCCTTGCAGGCAGATCAGCTGGGCGTACAATTGGGGACAGACGTACTCGGGCAACCTCCCGGACAACGTTACATTCATTCCCATGCTCTGGAGTGACTCCGACACGTACACTAGCACATGGCAAACCAACGCCCAGGCTGCCATCGACAACGGGACGGAATACCTGATGTCGTGAGTTCCGCGCGCTGTTCGAACATGTTTGCGTGATGCTGATGATGACCCGGATACAGTTATAACGAGCCTGACCTGAACACGCAGGCCAACATGACGCCCAAGCAGGCCGCCTCGTCGTGGATGACTTACATGGAGCCGTTTGCGGGCAAGGCCAAGCTCGTTGGTCCTGCCATCACGAACGGTGGCTCGCCCATGGGAGAGGCCTGGCTAGACGCGTTCATCGGTAATTGCACGCAGTGCACGATCGACGTGTACGCGATGCACATCTACGACTCCGCGACGAACGAGGCGTACTACCAGCAGTACATCTCCGACTTCGCCAGCAAGTACAACAAGACGGTGTGGGTGACCGAGGTGAGTCGTCTCGCGCTTGCGCTGACGCGCGCTGGGGTGTGGTGCTGATCGAGCGGTGCAGTTTGGCGCGACCGGTAGCGACTCCCAGGTGCAGACGTTCCTCGGCGACATGGTCGGCTTCCTCGACGGACTTGATGGCGTCGGAGCATACGCCTGGTTCATGGACGAGGTCGGCAACCTGGTCAACAACGACGGCAGCCTCACCTCGCTCGCCGAAACCTACGTCGCCTAAGCCCCTTCGGCCCGTCTCCGTCTCCGTCTCCTCGCCTCCGCACTGCCTCCCTGTACCTCCACTGTCTTGTCTCCTCTCTTCCTGGTTCCTCTTTGTTCCCGTTGAGCGGTGCCTGCTAGAAGTGGGCGCCGCTGTGCTTGCGCTTATCGCGGCTGGCTGAGGTCCAGTCCCATTCGCGAGGGTGTCCCCGGTCCCGGGTGGCCGAGGCTGGTACCCGTAAACTATCACATCAGGTATCAGTATCCGCATCACTGTAGACATGTAGAGTTGCATGTGCCCTAGACGGGTTGTCTTCGAATACAACGAATTGCATGTTTTAAATGGTGACGGGTAGTGACGCCCTGCAGGACCCTGCGTACGTGCGTGCTGCCCGGAGTTTGAGTGGCGCCGGAGTAAGTAGTAGCATAGCGAGAAGTGGAGATCCCATACTTCGGCATCTCTTCATTTGCCATGACATTGAGAAGTCATATTCAACGCGGCACGGAAGTGCGCGAGAACCTGCCTTCACGACAATACAGTATGCAGTGCGTTGGCGACTTCTATGCGGATTACCCTCAGGAAGCCGCGCGGAGAACTTTCAAATGAGATTCTGCCAGTTTGCGCAAGGCCCGTTCAACGTTCAACGTTGAAACGTTGAGGGTTTCCAAATTCGAGGAAGATGCTCTCGTATACATGGGTTCATGTTCTTATTTGCCCTGTTGGAGCAGCAAGCTAGACGCGACTCGGACACTTACAGCCATACGAGAACCTTAGTACCATATCCTTGAGCCATCGCAAGAGGCAAGTATCGAAGATGCCATGCATAGGTATGACCAGCAGAATCAGTCTACGAGGAGCAGTGCACAGGGCTTCATATAGGGAATGTCATCAGTCGTCGACACGACGCAAGTTGCCGGCACCGGTGGAAAGCTTGATGAGGCATACGCTCTCTGGATAGTAGCGCTTTCTGGCGTCCTGCTCGTCTTCGAACGACCTATGGTCCGGGGCGGGGCCTGTGTAGGATGGGCAACACTCGGCGGAGTCGAGCCTCATCATGATGCGCTACCTGCCTCGAACGTCCTCAGCAAGCTCGACTTCGCGTTCCTTGGGCACCCAGGTCACTCAGACTAACGTCAAGGCTACCCTTCCCGACTCGCCACGAGCGGTCAGGTTATGCAGCGGAGAACCGTCTGGCGGGGGGGGGGGGAGTAGGACATCAAGGTGGTCTTCGGACCCCAACCTCGATACAGATGGTTTGGCTGTGGCCCCTACGTCCTTCAACGAGTGTGATGTCGATGCGATGATAGCTTCGTCAGCCGAGACTGGTAGCGCGTATTATCTCTGCAGCACGCGAAGAGCATAGTAGAGGACGTCCCTTACATACTGTAGTACTAGTAGCGTTGCGCTTCATTTGGGTAATGCGTGGAACTTGCACTGGCAGTGAAGAGACATGGAAGAGACTCATCGGAAGCACCGAATTGATGGCGATATCGACGTAGTGAAAACGGCAGTTTCATTAGCAACGTCGTGCCCTCTGCGTATCCCGCTGCAACATCGCTAGTATATGTACTATTAGCACTGGCCTCAAGACCCTCAACTTCGACAGCAGCGGTGTACGTCCCTCCCTTATGCTACTTCTTTCGCAAGGCTATCTGACAGTGATGCTCTTGTTCGTGATGCCAGTTTCTAACAAGCTTTTCATGACCCGATATACGATCGCAATACAGGCACTCTATTAGTATCGGCACTCTCTACCCAATACTATGCCACCAACTGCACTCATTGAGTGAGTCAACAACACGGCGATTCGGCCTGTCATTACAAGGATTACATGAGATATCGTGGACTACAAAGAACAGCATACCGATCTGCACCCTGATCGTGACCTTGTCACCTCGAGGTGATCAGCACACGAGCTACTAATCATGATAAGCATACCCCGAATGCACGCGTGAAATTTGACAAGAGGTGCAGGCATATTAACTAAGGTGTATATAGATCAAACAATACCTAAGCTGGAGGTCAACATCGGTTTTGGTGAGGTTTAGTCGGTGAACAAGTGGTCTAAGAGGGTCTAAGCATGCGAGCGACAGTTTGACCATGTTTTGGGTGGCGCGCTGCTGACTAAGCGATCATCGGCGGCAGAGGCGTTGCCCCTCCCTCCGAGACATCGGGTAGTTTGAGGTCGTCTCAAATCTGGCTCAAATCCACTTACTTGAGATGGGTTTGACATAATGGCTGAAGGACAAGCCGGGCCTGGACGCCACAGACGCGAGGTGGCTTGAGACGGGACATACCATTTGGGGAAAGATTGATGGGGCTCTTGCACAACAAGCACAAGCAATGCCGTGCGTGTCAAGACTCAACGCGCCGTCGCTCAGTCGCGTCCCAGCACATCTCTTTCTCTGGCTCATACTTCTCTGGGTCATACTTCTCTGGGTCATACTTCTCTGGGTCATACTTCTCTGGGTCATACTTCTCGTCTTCGTCTCTACTATGTTCTCTCAGCTGGCCCAACGCACGATCCGGCTGCAGGTCCCGACGCGTTCGTTCATATCATCCTCGCCTTCGCTCTTGGCCGCCGAGTCGTCCGAGAGTAAAGCGGAACCTGTGAAACAAAGGAGCGAACCCAAGGCAGTCGCAAAGCCGTCAAAGCCGAAGAATAGCATGGACCGCCCACCCAAGACAGCCAAGCCACCCATCGGTGCGCTCCCACGTCTTCAACTCCATTCACCCTCCCATCATGCCGTTTATGCAAACAGTCAAACGACTGACCAAGGAAGACATGCCGCCTGAACAGCCTTTCAAGCCTTACATCTTATTCTATATAGAACATTATCGGACCGAGCCGAAGGCCTCCACTTTTGCTGCGATGGCCATAGTTGCCGCAAAGGCGTGGAAGGCTATGGACGATGCTGGACGTCAGGTGTGTGCATCTGTGCGAACTGTCATTGCATGGTTGAGTATCATTGTCGCAGGTGTACCATGATCGCTATGCCGAGCTGCGGGTAGATTACAGCAAACGCCTTCAGGAGTACTTCGACAAGACCGACAGGGAGACCCTCAAAAGAGTGAAGCTTAAGCTGAAGGCCAGTCATCGTTCCGTTCCGAGGGACGCGAAGCGTCCATTGCTGCCCGGATCCCCTTGGACGGTGTAGGGAATATCTGTTGATATGCCAACCGCTAGTTGCTCACGGTGTCCCTAGGTTCCTCCAGGAGCAGACCAAGACTATTGGTCCCGCGCCCCCGGGCGTGAGGGGTGTCCTACATAACACCAAGATATTGGCAGAGAGATGGCGTGCGCTGACTCCGGAGGAGCGAGCCGTATGTCATGTTCGTCAAGCCAAAGCCCGTAATGCTGACGTCCTCCTGTGCCATAGCCTTATCACGAGCGCTATAAGCAACTGTTGGAAGAATACTATTCAAAGACCAACAGGTCGCCCCCGATCAGAGCGGCAACCCGGATCGCTTCCGAGTAAAGGTGACGACCGTTACTAGTTGGCTTATCACCGGGTGCGTACATTGCTCTTCCCAGTACTCGAAACTTGAACTGACCTCTCCTCGGTCTACAGGGCGTCCCGTGGCCTCGGTTTCGAGCTCGTCCGCCAGCTTACCTCCATGCCCAACAACCTCGTGATCGCCTCCTGCCGGAATCCGTCCTCCGCGTTGCACACCGTGAAGCTCGACGTACAGCGAGGAGAGCATGCGTGCGGGCAGGTCGAGGCCTCGACTATTTGTACAATGATGTTAGGATCGCCAGGTCTTTCTTTTGTATCCATCCCGGAGCGTTGACAGACTGGTCGGCGAATGTGTCCTGTGGCAATGCCCGCGCGACGAGGCGTCGGACTTCCCCTTCAGCCGATCCCTGTCGCTGCTCCAGACGCGCCTGCGATGATGGGACAGCTCTACGCGCCGCTCCTCGCAAAGGGCACCAAGGGGACGATCGTCAACATTCGCTCGGGTACTGCGAACATCGGGAAGGACGACGGGACTGCGATGGCGAAGTACAGCGTGAGTAAGACGGTCAACATGCTGGTGCGTACCTCCAGCCGATCACCTCAGAGTGACACTGACGCACGCGCAGACGTACAAGCAGGGCAAGGCGCGCCCGGACTTCACCGTCATTTAGCTGAACCCCGGATGGGTGAAGACGGACATGGGCGGCTCCAGCGCGGCGTTGCAGCCCATGGAGAACGCCGCCGGACAGCTGAAGGTGGAAGTTGGGGCTTAAGAAGGTTCTTGGTGTATGACGGGCAAGAGCTGCCTTGGTAAATGCGTACTAGTGAGCGCTAGGTGAGACATGTGTGTATTGTGTCGATGATGAGTGCGGAATGCGCATACAGCGCGGTGCTTCCATCAAGTCAGTCCCCCTTCGTCAACGTTAGCGTCAGCTGAGGCGTCGGCGTAGACGTGCTGACCATCTCATCCTGTCAAATGGCATAGCACAGCCCGCGGGGACAGGGTGTTGTGGTGACTATGCGAGATATTCTGGCTTGTGAGTGCCCTACGCCGATCGGGTGATACATGCTACGTGTAGCTGGTTGATGACGCGCCCTGCATGTAGCATCTGTATATGTATCCGTGGCCAATCTCGCCGTCGTCGCTGGCGGCTTTCCCCGCGTCTTCTCACCTTCTAAGCGGCGCCCGAACTCGACCCTGTAGAAACTGGACTACTGGCCCACTCTTCAGGTTGAACGTTGAACACGTTACGGTGTACGTCAGACATATGCAAGATCAAGAGAGTGCTGAGTGTATCATGCGATAATGTCGCATTCAGGCAGGTACGCGACGATGATTGGCCTCCGTTTCGATACCATCAACTCAAATTTGGAGACCGCGTACATGGTGAGTGCGATGACCAGCTGAGGTTCAAGAATGGTCTGCTCGATGATAAGTTACAGGTTATTGACGTTTGTCATGAAGCGCGTGGACAGGGGAGCTTTCAAAAATTGAATGCTTCTTGTACACTCTTTCATTGCAGTGACCTGACCGAATTCGGGCGCCACCCACACAGCGGGACTCGGAGCTTGTTGGATGTCGGGCGAGAAACGCGTCGCGATCATGTGATCGCGTCTGGTACGGAACGGAAGGAGGCGCACCTGGACGCACCTAATCTGTTGCGGCCACTGCTCGCGTGCCTCCAGCCGCCACGATGACTCGGAGATGCTCACCGCATTCGCCATGTCTTCCATTTCTAGGATTGAGGTCGTCACGATGCCGTTGACGCTATCCCGCCGGATTGCCCATCCTTCATGAAGCAGGAATAATTGGTACTACATCGGGGCCCCGCATGGACAACACGCTCCCAACGGTACCATGAGCGCCGCTCGACATCGTCCCCCGCCACTTGCGACATCGGCTGCATCCACGCACAACGGCCGAGCTCGCGAGCTTGCGGGCAGCACGACGTACTCTCACGAACGTCAGTCAGAACGCCTCGATGGTACGCAAGTACTTACTTGCTGTCGACATGTCGTCTCTCTACAGTTCCCATGTCTGATGCATCTCTCCATCCCTGACTCTTGGCAGTGTACGAGATGGGCCACAATTCGCCGCGCAAATGGGCCGCCCTGGGCATCCTTGGTGAACAATGCTCCTTTGTTGCGGGGTGTGCCGTATCTATCCGTGGACCCAGGACCACCCAGTTGCCGGCGGGGGAAAGCAATCAGAGGGACGGCTGACGTCCATTCTCGAGGATACCTCGCGCTCTAGTTTCACACTCGCCCACATGAGTGCACAGTGATTCTCGCCGCGGATTTTGGTCATTACTCAACGAGGGCATCGCATACTACCACCATGCGTACGCCTTCCACACGCCCTGACAGGCCGGAATGAAGCAATTGGGCGACTTGCATTCCTCATTATTCGTCGTACGTCGATGCCATACCGCAAGCAGGTCTTCGTGGCCAACGCACTATTGTTCCGAACACTGCGTCCATGTGTAGTGCCGTCCGCATCTTGTGCACTCATGCCTATTCTTGCCCGTCTAGGCTTCGATCAGATTGCGCCTGCCATAGTAGCTCCTCAAACGAGTATCGGCTGTGCAGCAGGTTCGATGTTACTCCTTGTACGTGTATGACCACTGTTGTTTGGCAACATATATAACGCCCTCTTGCTCTCTCATCAAAGCAGCCTTCGCCGCCTCTCGTCGACCACTACTAACCGACCTGCCATCCGCCCTCCTCGCTCCTTCGCAAGAGACAGCAGTGACACGCTATGGCACTCGGTTCCTCCCTCCTGACCACCGTCCTCCTCGCGCTTGTCGTCGCCGCGAGCCCGGTACAGGTTAACAAGCCCCTCGTTTCCCTGCCCTTGGTGCGCCGTACGAACAGCACAGGCCTCTCCAACTTGCTCGCGCACGACCAGGCGAGGGCCCGTAACCTCAAGGAGCGCGCCCGGGCCAAGCTTGAGGGCCGCGCTGCAAGCGTGGAGGCGACCAACGCCGTTGACACCTACGTCGTCAGCGTAAGTATCACGCACACTCTGCCTGCAGTAACAGATCTCATCGTCTGTGGCTCTCGCAGGTCGGTGTCGGTTCCCCTGCTACTCAGTGTACGTGTCTGCCTTCTACGATACTCTGCTGCACTGGAGACTGAGTTCTTCCTCCCATAGACTCCCTCCTGGTCGACACCGGCTCCTCCAACACTTGGCTCGGTGCTGGCACGTCGTACACCAAGACCTCTACTAGCACAGACACCGGCGAGTCGGTCGTAAGCATCCCCTCTCAAGAGACCTTGATCGCATCTCACGCAGGCTGGACAGTCCGTTTCCTACGGCTCGGGCAGCTTCTCCGGCGAAGAGTACACGGACACTGTTACGCTCGGTGACGGGCTGACCATCACCGATCAGTCCATTGGCGTCGCCAGCTCGACCGACGGCTTCTCCGGCGTCGATGGTATCCTTGGGTGAGAAAACTGCTGCAGCGTTCCGTCAGGTGTGGCGCTGAACTGCATGGTTGCTTAGTGTTGGGCCCGTCGACCTGACTGAAGGTACTCTCGGGGACTCTTACGCCACTATCCCCACTGGTGAGTTCAGGCCGTTCCTCCGGCAGCGACCATGACGTTGATTCACCTGTCTTCCCTGACCTTAGTCACGGACAACTTGTACTCGCAGGGCACCATCTCCACGGAGGTCCTCGCGGTCTCCTTCGCGCCGGCTACCTCTGAGAGCGACGCCAACGGCGAACTCACCTTCGGTGGCACCGACTCCTCCAAGTACACCGGCTCGATCAACTACGTGTGCGTCCTCCCTGGGCCATCCCTCACTATCACGCGTGTCGTCGCTGATAAACGGTGCTGCATCGCAGTCCGCTCACGTCTACCTCCCCCGCAAGCGAGTACTGGGGCATCGACCAGTCCATCAGCTATGGATCCAAGTCGATCCTGAGCAGCACCGCCGGCATCGTCGACACCGGCACCACCCTCGTCCTGATCGCTAGCGGTAAGCGGCTCTTCACTGAACGTGAGCGGTGCGACCCTGACGAATGCGCACCGCAGACGCGTACAGCAAGTACAAGTCTGCCGTGGGTGGGAAAGAGGACGAGAGCACCGGTCTCCTCCGCATCTCGAGCTCGCAGTACAGCAAGCTCTCCACGCTCAACTTCAACATCGGCGGCGTACGTATACGTCTCGCGCTCTCTCCCCCTACTACTAGCCGTCCCACCGTGCACTGACATCGGCCGACAGACGACGTATGGCCTGACGGCGAACGCGCAGATCTGGCCGCGCTCGCTGAACTCCGCGATCGGCGGCAGCTCGGGCGACATCTACCTCGTCGTGGGCGACATCGGGAGCGATTCTGGCGAGGGCCTCGACTTCATCAACGGCTACGCGTTCCTCGAGCGCTTCTACTCTGTCTTCGACACCACCAACGCGCAGGTCGGCTTCGCGGAGACGCAGTATACGAGCGCGACCAGCAACTGAGTCTGCTCGACGGACTCGGAGTGGACCGTTGGGTGGAGGCGAGCGGAGGGGGAGTGTGTTAACGTTGGTGCTGTCGGATGAACTGGGGGATATTGAAGTCTGTAATGCTCTGTACGTTCTTGGGCGAACTGGGGAACAATGGTCATCGTGTTGGGTTGACGTACCTATGAGGAGCGTTAGTTGCCTGAGTGACACGACTGTATCTCCGCGCTGTGGTTTTGTAGGCCTGCTGACTCCCAGCTGAGCGACAAACATGCGATGGTTTGACTGGGTGATATTATCGATGAGGCGCACCAGGACTTCCGGGCTCGTCCTGTCAGGGAATCTCCGCCTGCAACATAACAACAACTTCAGCTACAGGATTAGCTACACCCCGAGGAGCACTGTACACGGAGCGTACACGCTGACGCGCTGACGGATCTTATGAACTTCATTTTCCCGTTCTTGGCACGCACCATGGCAGTATGGTGCATGGGTGGCTCCGATTGGTGAAGCCATTCGTTCTTCGGTCTCCACATCATTGCAGCAATACGCCATCGGCTTATTATTGTGCAGGCCTGAAGCTTCAGTATCAGTACTACTCGCCGTGACGGCGTTGTAGTGTGAGCCAGCCTGCTATGAGATGTTACTAAGCCGTGGGAGATAAGATAAGATCACACAGTACGTACATTAGTCCTCGTCCGCAACTTCGAGTCTTCCACGACCATCGTCTTCTGCTAGACATGCAGCTTGCAGGATCAGAAGATCTTGCAGCCGTCAATGTCACGAAAGAGCAGGCGCAACAAATCATAGATCGCCACCGGCGAGGCTCAGCGTCCGTATCATCTATAGTGTTACATTCAAGTAGCGGCTTCAGGTCAAGATATTCTCACTTACCTCTCCATTGCCACACACTAAATCCGAACTCGTAGTGGCTTCACACCCACCAAAACCTACCACATCACGCTCGCCGACGGGACAGCCTACACGCTCCGTGTCTCTCCGCCTCCACCCCCAGCGGGCGACAGCTACGCTCCGAACACGCTCGCGCACGAACACGCGTTGCTGCAGCGCCTCTCATCCAATACATCCCTCCCACTGCCAACGGCCTACGCGCTCGACACCTCTTTCGATATCCTCCAGTTCCCATACCTGCTCCTTTCGCGCCCATCCGGCGTTCCGCTCTCCCGCGCGCGCGCGCAAGGTCTTCTCAGCGAGCGGCAGGTCCTCCTGCTCGACCTCCGCCTCGGAGCGCTCTTGCATGAGCAGCACGACGTGCAGAACGACTGGTTCGGAACGCCCGCACAGGAGCACGATGGTCTGTACAGCTGGCAGGAGGCGTTTACATTCCTCCTCGAGACCCTCATCGAGGATGCGAATGCACTCGGTGTAGCACTGGCGCACGAGAAGCTGAGGAAGCCGCTGGGGCGCGCGATAGGGAGCTTCCTGTTTGACGATTGCGAAGTGCCATCGCTCGTCTCGTTTGCCGGCGACGAGGACGCGATCGTCGTGGATGTCAGTCAGGACTCGGAGGCGTCGAGGGGCGCGGACGAAGTCCCCGTTACGAGCTTCCTGACAGTGAGCCACGCGCTATGGGGCGATCCGCTCTTGGAAACATTGTTCATGGACCCGAGCAAGGCGTTGGAGGAGGGGTATGGCGGCTCGTTGATCGTGTTTCGCAGGCAGAAGACGAAGAGACTGTGGTATACAGTCTTTCTTGCCCTCATGGTCTTGGTCCAGGCCAAGCGCGAGGAACAGACCGGAGTGCGACGGACGGACAGTGGGAAGGTGGCTTGGGCAAGAAAAAGGATCGATGAATGTATAGAAGAACTGCAGACTGCGCCGACTTACTGAGGTAGTTGTCGTCCAGTGGCTCGCCACTCGCCACACCGCTGCCATGTACACACAATCCGAACAGTTCGACCATCATCCATGCGAAGACTGCCATTATCCGCTCCATAAGGTATCGCCTACCTTGCTCTAGCGTCATCAATATTCTATCGAACACCCTGTGATCACCGCTTTGACCCTGCTCATATGAACCCATTGTTCTGTACTGGGGCGGTGAACACGTTGCCAGCCAGACGCCTGCGGAAGAATTATGTTGTAGCACTGCCTTGCGTTATAGCAGCTATCCAAGTACAAGTATGATAGTAGGTTCTGAACTTCTATGTACGATGCGATATTCGCTTAGATCTTGACTGACCCAAGGCCATTCGCGATTTCTGTGAAGGATGGGATCAGACGAGTCGTCGAGGCCGCAGTAATCTAGGGGACATACCCTTTACGTCGTCATTCGGGCCTTCTTTCTTGCTGCTCAAGGGGGACACATCACCAATGGGGTACTGTGGTTGTGGCGCACCGATGGGGGGAGGAAGCGGGCTGTTTCCGCTATCGACGCTCTCGATGCGGCCGTCGTGCCACTTGACGGTGACGCTCCCGTCCTGGTTCCCGAAGTACGCCGCCTTCGCCATGTGGCAGAATAGGCCGACCTCGACGACGCCCGTGAGCATCTTGATGCGTGTGAGCAGAGTGTACGGGTCGCGCATCATCTCCTCGGGGAAGGGCGCGTCGATGACGAAGTTGCCGTTGTCCGTCACGACCGGGCCCGCCTTCGACTTGGCCATGCGGAGCGTCGCGCCCGGCGAGCCGACGAGGTGTACGTTCTGAAGCACCTTGGCGTACGCGAACTGCGCGACCTCAATCGGCACGCCTTGTTTGAACTGCCACGGCCGGTGAGAGAGTAGGACGGGATGTGAGAAGGGGTAAACGCACGTTCTTCCCAAGCACGTCGGAGTTCTTGCGGTAGTCGGCCACGACGATGAAGGTATCCGCCGCCTCCGCGAGCACCTTCTCGCGCAGATGGCACGCCCCGCCGCCCTTGATGCAGTTCAGCGTCTCGTCGACCCTGTGTACGGCGGTCAGCTCTCTCTCGCCGGCGGGACGCCCGACGGTCTAAACGCACTCATCCGCACCGTCGATCGTGACGTCAATGACGGGGTACTGGTCGACGTCGCCGAGCAGCAGCTGCGCGCTCACGATGAGCTCCTTGGACTGGAAGCTCGTCGGGATGAAGACGCGGTCCTTGTTGCGCGCCAAGCCTTGCGAGACTATCCGCTCGACCACGTACGGCACTGTCGACCCTGAGCCAATGCCAATGACCTGCACACATCAGGACCGGAGGTGGTGCAGACGAGCGGGACGCACCTTGTACTCCGGCAACACATGTCTGTCCACAGCCGTCCATGCCGCCAGGCGCTTAGACGCCTCAATCACCGTTGTCGGCGGGGGGACTACGTCGGGGTGAATCTTCCCCATCTCTCGGAATCGGGCAGAGGAAGAGAGGCGCACCCTTTGGGTGTGGTGGGATGAGCGCAGGCGGGCTGCCCGTCTTTAAGAGCGAGACCGACTGGCCGAGCGTCTGGCGGAGCGGGCTCGGGTAGACAGACTCGCTCGGGGTCCTTAGCGACGAAGGATGCGTTTAAGCGACAGAAGATGAGGGTAGGAAGCGTGTTGGTGGGGTGTGAGAGGTACGATGAGTGTGATGTGTAGGCTGGAGGTACGCAGGACTCACTGGAGGTCGGGCGTCAAGATGGCAGGTGGAATTGGCATCTTGCTGGGCTGTACAGACTCGCGCGGGCTCCTGACCCGTGTGCAGCGTTTATATAGGTGTAGACGACGAGTAGAACAGAGGGGACGGTGGGCAAAACGCGGGAGTAGGAACATAGAAATAGAGATTCCCAGCTTCACTCAGCAACCGTCGGTCCGGAACGTGACTTTCTTCTCGACGCCCATCTCGTCTGTCGGCCGCTCTGCTGCCCTCCGCGTGTCGCCGACTGACATCGGTCGCTCGATAGGTACTTACTATCACGGTTCAGGAAGGACACCGCAGGACGCTGAGGAACCAAAATGAAGGCCATAAAAGGTGCGTGGCCAGCCGTATGGCTGTGTCGAAGTCGGAAGCCTCACGGACGCGTCTAGGCGTCCTGCTCACCTGGTTCGTATCTCCATGGACTGGCTGATATCCCATGGACCACCTTATCGTATCTGACGTCGGCCCTTGAAACGCTCTCATCAACTGGCGTGGATCGGACAGCGACTCGGCCGTGAAGCAGATTCTGTTGACCATGAACGAGAAGGAGAGCTTCATCATCGAGGACCTCGATGATTATCACGTTGTCATCAAAGCCGACGAGGAGTGGCGGGTTCGGCGGGAACTGGAGGCTGAGGTGTGTATCTGAGTGTCTCAGAGGGTGGTTGTGTTCTGAGTGTCGATGTCTCATAGCTCGAGAAGAACACTTACAGTTTGGAGTGAAGTCTCCCTCGCCATCGCAATAGATGCTGTGTGCTGTAGTGGCAATGGAAATCGGTGTACTTGTATCATATTATGTTAGGTGATTCATTCATCTTTTGAGCCGCTCACTTTTTGCGGAAGAAGCATAAGACATCCCGGCGAGCTGTACGTTCCGCGAGGCGGCACCAGAAGTCTGAAACCAATACCCTCGACAATATCTGGCGGTGATCAATCTGATGCACGAGGGAGACTGCTCCCAGTGTGGCTCTCCCTGCGCCCTCTTGACTCGATCCGTATGACCCAAACAGTTCACATTGTCCTCCCAAATCGCCGTAACACGAGTTGTCGATGGCGCTGCGAACGCACAGCCACTTAGAATTCTCTTTGTGTTGCAAAGTGAGCTGTACTTCTAAGAGTATTTCCAGGCGGGCAGGAGCCAAGCAACGAGTCACGTCCTACATCAATAGGGCTATATCCTTTTGACGACCCAAATAGTCTACTCACTGTACTATAGCTTCTGTCGGTCACCAACGAGCAGTACATATTGTCTCATCAACCCTAGAGAGTAGAATCAATCCAGACGTGTTTGTATGACTCGGGTTACAAGAAATACATGGAGCGTCGAAGTGCGAGCGTGCATACATTGGCAGTACATGCCGGCTTCATCGGTCCGGAGGCTCCGGGCGTCGGGCGCTGTAGACACGGGCGCGCCCAAGGCCCGCCTTGTTCTCAGTTCGTCTGCACCGTCTGTGCAGCTCTGCGGGGCTCGCTGAGTCCCTCCCTCTACGTCAATATCTATCGCATTCCTGTCATGAACAGTCACATATCACAGTTTCGCAGAAAAGTCCGCATCTGGTAGGAGGCGGAGGCCCATCACTGTGCATCAGGGGGTCACCGCCCTCGATGGCGACCGCTATGACCACCGACTTAGACTCTAGTGTGGCCCGCCCAGCCATATACGAGGACACGTGGTATTTGTTTCACCACAGAACTTCGGCGGCGGGTGCCCACGCAAGAATGGAGCTACCGCAAGTGGGTTCTAAATGCATAGCTCGTGTGTCCGTGGTTACTAACCTGCGAGCAGGCCTCCTAACGTCTGGTAGTGGTTACCTTCCCTATCGGTACAATGCCACTAGCTAGCATTCCTGCGTTGCGGCCACCACAATGTCGGTTGCTATGGTGGCTCAGGCACTAGCGACCTTGGCCCAACGGCGAACTCGAGGATTGTCCGCCCGCATGTGCCGCAAACCCCTATTCGGTTGGTAAGGAAGGTCGTCGCCCACTGCTGATGATATGCAAGGCTCATTTGCGATGCTACAGAATATTCTCGGACGGAAAACAGTGTTCAGACTCCCTGCACGCCGCCACGCGGACCGTGCGAAATAGCAGGATGCGCGGTGTTTGTGCGGGACAAACAGGTGAGCCACTACGCCTGCCTCGAGGCTCGCGAGAATCACGGCGCGACTTTCCTGACAAGGCAGTTGTTTGATCCAGCCAAATACTGCACAACAGGTGCAAAGCGCGCGCTGCGTCGATCACAGCCGTATATGGTATGTGAGCCACTCCGACCTTCTCGGCGTTGAAAGTGCGCCACTCGGGAATTTCCTGTTAAGGCAGTTGTTTGACGCGATCTTCGATATGTTTGGCCGTGGCGCAGCAGCCTTCGCCCGCCTGTGTGGTAGTATTTGGCCGCGCCCATAACAGGCAGGAATCAATCAAGGCACAAGGTGCACTGTCCAAGAAGTCCGCTCGAGCGTTTCTTGCCCATGGCCAGCAGCTATAAAGAGGGGGCGGTTTCGCCCTCTTTCCCCCATCACCCAGCCTCCCGAGCTCGGCGTTCCCTCCCCAGGAACCCTCCTCCCTTGTGCCGACCTCTGCTCCCAGTGCCACACTGCACACCATGCCCCGTGCACGGAAGGCTGCCATCACCCCATCCGCGAGGGCCACCACCCCCTACACGCGGAAACTCGAAGATAAACCTGTTGACTCTGAGAAATGGGTAAGTTGTGCTATGGTTCAGTACCTTCGCGCCTGAACTCATAGCAATATCTTAGCCCTGTCTCGTATGTTCGCGGGAGCTGAGTAGGTGCGCGGACGTCCCTCGTCACGTCAACGGGCATGTCAACAGTTTGTGAGTCATCCATGCATAAGCGTTCCCACTGGTAGTGACATCGATCTGTCCATAGAATGTATGACTGTCCGTGGCCCGAGTGCGCAAAACTAGACGCACAATTTACGAACATGATGACCCATTTCGATGCACAGTACGTGACTATGCACCAGATGGTCATTCATCCTTCGTCTGACGCATTCCTTCCAGTGCAAAGATTAAAAGGCGCAGCTGCAAAGAATGTGGTCGTTACGCCACAGACCCCGCGACAGTGTCCCGCTGCTCCCACAAAGGAAAGAAGCGGAGAAAGGCGCGTAGCACTCCCGAGTCGGAGCCCTCTTCGACAACCTCCGTGGCGTCCGCCAGCTCCTCGCGGGCCGATGTTTACGACGACCTCCATGAAGATCCCGTCGCAGGTCCCAGTAACCAACAGCCATCCCACGGCCCCGAACCCTTCCTTCATAGCTTCGACGGCTTCGAATACGCCTTCGCCGAAGAAGCTGAGCCGCAGTTCTTCGACGCTGGCGATCAGAACGGGTTTTGGGCCGCGCCCGAGGCACCTTCCGCTCGCCACGACATCCCCGCCACCTATGCGGCAGCGCCACAGCCCGCCGCACAGCCCGACTGGGTCCCCGACGTGCAGCCTCACCTCCCTCTCGCGTTCCCGCCCCTGGAGGAGGACTTCGAACGTGAAGACGTCTTCGTCGACCTCAATGAGGTCCATGCACCAGCGCCACTGCCGGCCGGACCTTACGTTCAGGACCCTCTGCCCCCGTTCCCGCAATTCGAGGCCGATGTTGAGCGGGCCAATGCATATGTCGACCTCAACGAGGTCCATGTGCCGCCCCCGCCGCCCGCCTACGCGGACGTCGACCCTGCCCTGCAGCCGCCGGCCGACAACATGGTCTTCTTCCCGGAGTTACATGGCCACCTCTACGAGCCGATGATCAACAACTTTTATGATGTCACACGGCACGTGGCCGTGTACATGGACCCGCGCGAGGGCATCCCCAGGATGGAGCCCGAGTTCGACTTCTACTACGCGTACATGCCCAACGGCGAGGGCTTCCTCCTCGACTTCGTGCCGAGCACGTCGCCGAACTTCATTCACGCGGCGGAGGTCGCGCAGTGGCTCGATGCTTCGTACGCGTGAGCTTCGGACCCGTCACCCCCCTATGCATCTCTCATTTCTCGACACCCTGCATCAGTCTCTTCGCGCCCGGCATACATGTACATTTCTCACTTGGACACTTCCCGCATGGGATTGGATTGGATCGGATTGGATCGGATTCTGCATTGGCTTCACTCATCTGCGTTTATTTCTATTTAATCTAGCATGCGCACCTGCATTGTAGTGGAAGGATAGCCCCCACTCCCATATACCCCGAGTATACCCCTCTGGCACCGAGGTCCTCTGTTTTCTTTAGACTAGCCTTGGTCTGTTGCTTCATTAGTTCGTAGCCATAGCTGTTACGTACCTCTCTGCCAGAATATACCCCTCGGTTTTCCCCGGACACGTTCTGCGCGCTGTGTGAAGTGAGATCTCGCCTCGACATGCCGCTGCTATGTCCATGCGTGCAGCGAGGGCGGTGGCGCGTTGGCCCGATCGGAAGGCCATGGTGGACAACGGAGGCCCCTATACTTCATTCAAAGTCGCGGACCCTCCGCTGACGACCAGGTCCCCGTCCTGTGCGTGATAGGGGCACTCACCTCGTCGCCAGCCGTTTACAGCCACAACCACACACCGACGCAACGGCAACCAAGAAGTGGTCAATCGCACAGGGGAAAGCCCAGTCTATCGCTACGGAAGAGGTGCACAGACAGACGTCAAGAATCACAAAGAGTAGATCCTGGAGGTTGCCGCGGTGAGCAGATCTCGAGATGCCGGACAAGGCGGATGACTCACTCCTCCAGCAGCTCTATTCCCCCGACTGCCCTCTGCACGTCCGGCTCAATCTCATCTATAGCCTTCCGCACGTCCTCGCCGAGCGCCAAGGGGCCGCAGACACCGACTGACACGCCTCTCAGCTTGTCACCGGCACCCGGGAGAGGCCCCGCTTCCTGTGTACGGCTGAGGACGTCCCGGAGGCGAATCGCAATGCTCGGACGACCGGAGAGAAGAGTGAGGCCGGCCGGTAGCTCGTATGTGCCACATGTTCGCTCGGAGATCGACACTCTGGTGTGGAAGACGGTTACTTGGAAGGCCACCCCAGCCGACCGACTCTGCGCAAGCAGGAATGTAAAGTGAGGGATCATCGGTGTCAGGCAGTCTGAAGATGGCAGGTGAGTAGAGGGTCTGTCGCACTGGCTGTAGACTTACCGGAGTAGGGGACACACCAGACTAGGTCAAGGACAGTGACGCTGCTAGTCCCATCTGCTGCTTTCCGGATGAGCTCTTCCGCTGCTGCGAGGCCGTATGAGATCCCGCTACCGCCAACGACGAGCAAGGCTCCTGAGAAGCTCGACAGCATGGTGTCGCCGGGCCCTCCTACGTGACTTCCCCGTAAGCCTAATCGCTTGCGGCACCAGACGGTAACTCACCATATGGCCCTTCAACCATGACGGTGATGGTCACGTTCGAGCCGTCCAGTTGTTCTCGCCGCGACAAGGCTTGCAGCCGCCTCGTCCACCTCCCCGTGTTCTTGCAGAGAAGGACAAGCCCTTGCTGCGCGACACCCCTGCTGGCGCTGGCGATTGTAAACGGGTGCGTCTCCGTCCATCCTACCCACCCCATGCTCCTCGAGAGGACGCGGAGCCGGACGTGTTGGCCTGCGCGCCAGCCCGAAGTCAGGGAGGGGATCTCGACCCAGGTGGCGCAGAGCTCGGGGAAGCACTGGATACGTGCGGTGCAGACGCGGGTCTTGATGCAGCGCAGGACGATGTCGGCGACGTAGATGCCTGCGCTGGCTATGACCCAGGGTATGGCAGGGCGCATGTGGAGACAGACCTATCCAGAGCTAAGTAATCTTGCAGATGATTCGGAACTGATGGACGTACCGTGACCAAGAACCCGATGAACGAGGCGATGTGCGAGAGATAGAAGATACTGTATGCCCGCGCACGCCAGATCGCCAGGGAGAAGAAGAACAAAATGTCTATGCATACGATCGCAACCACGCCCCAGACAAAGCGCGGCTCGGAGATATGCCTGACAAAGCTTCCCGCCATGGTCCATTTGTACACTTCCAGACCGCTCAGCTGAGTGCCAGATTGATTGCGACGAGGTACATACCATATCCAATGACGTGAATGTTCGCGGCAATGGTGAGCAGTCGACCAGCGAACCGATGGATGTAGTTAAGCTGAAGAGTCCTTGAGTGCGATGCGCTGCCAAGATGGATCACGGCCGACTCACATGGTCCCATCCGATTCCGAGCAACAAGCTGATGATGTTGTTCTTCGATGCGAGAATGACGACCCAAGGGATCTGGGACACCGCTACATAGCCCGGCCTCAGAGGGTTCGTGAAGATGCTTGTGTGGTAGAGCCCGGAGAAGAGCAATACCCCGAAGTAGAACGCGCAGAATAGGGTTCCACCTAAGTTAATCCCCTCGATGAATGGCGTCCGAAGGAAAGGGATGACGGGCCTGACAAGCGTATCCCAAGCAGGTATGTGCATGGGAGGTGAGGCCGATGAAGAGTGATCGGCCTTCTCGTTCGGGGCTGAGGTGTGCATCAAATCCTGCTCTGAATGGTCTACCGCGATAGTCGATGAACTTGGAGGGGATGGAGGTAAGGCGGTATCGGAACGAACTAGATGGTTTGGACATCAGCGTTACATCAAGCGACATTCGCATGGTTATGGGCTACGCACGTAAGAAATGGCCATCTCTCCTCTCGCTAGGTGTGCAGAGGCGCGCATATATACGCGGGAGTTGGAGCAGCGTACAGACGGTAAGGATTGACACGAGAAAGATGTCTGTCCAGAATACGACAGAGACATTTACTCCACCCACATCACCGTGATGGTGAGAGCGTGTTTGTACTGGCGAAGGGTTAGAGAAGCCGTCCGCCATGTCAAATGGAGGGTATGCAGGATAGAAAAGCGAAGATAAAATGGCGATGCGCGGGATTCACCTCCCCAGTGGTATGGGTGCCAGCCGCCGGGTGAGGCTGACATTACGTTCTCACCCAGTAGGTGCTCGGCCTTACTGCAGCCATTGCGATGCATAGCAGTGACAACTACGATGGAATATACTGATAATACATCGCTGAGCACGTAAGAATATCAAGTTTCGATTAGGACGCACCAGCTGTACTAAGGAACACCAAAGTCGCGGAATTGTCATGTCGCGGTCTCGATGCACAGGCGTTCAAGGCATAAGCCAAATGGGATACTAGATGTGTGTACACTGTATATGCGTTGGTCCAGCTTTCAAGTATTCTGCATGATGTCAGTTCAGAGTGTCGGGTCACTGCAACTCTGGACGTTGCGGCGCGGGCCGCGGCAGTGCTGCTGCCAGCACTTACCGTGTTAAGTTAGTGCCAATGTCTGGCAAATGTCTGGTGTCTGCAACTGAACAGGCAGTAGATATAAATGGTGAAATCAATCATGGATGTGGCCGTCAGCAATAGGCATCGAGGTGGGCATGAAGTTCAGACAAAGTTCAGACGACGTTCGGTCCTCCTCGCTGGCTCGATGGAAACCAATTACGTAACCTGAAACCTACGGTCGACAACGTCGGCGTTTGCCGAGAGGCGCATACCGGGCGCTTACATGTCTACCATTGTTCCCTCCAAGTTCTTCGTACCGTCGTGTTCGCTACAAGAAATATGCTCCACATTCTCATGCATTGACTCTGAGTACATGGTCTCGCTCTACAGACCCATCTGAGCTCTACGAGCTCATAGACCCAACAACTCACCAGCAAATTCGGTGCTATCACATTCCACGTCGCTCGAGCCAAGCTGAGGTGTGCCACTGCGCAGAACCGCGACATAGTACTTTTGAGCGGGCAAGCCGGTGAGTTTCCCCATATATATCGACGTCCCGGGGCAGCACTTACGCTACACTTTACATAGAAACTCACAGTATCACCCCCAAAGACGACTGTCTGCGGAGTGGCGTTCTGCAAAGACATGGGACTAGCCACAACGTTGCATGAACAGCACGATTATGCAGATCACCTGCGATCAGTCCGGTATGCCCGTTGGGGCGCATAGGTACCCTGTGGAGGTCACTAAGCAGGCGGTAGGACCAACGGCCAATCCCTTCGTATCAGCTGTGCTACGGACACAGCGTCTGGTCGCCGTCAGCATGCCAAACCTGCATGTGAGTACTATGATCTTAATGCTCGATGCATTCAGATGAACTCATTAGGGTGTCCAGTTACGTCGCGGCGGTTGGCAGGATGCGACGAAATGTGAGTCGATCAGTGGTCTATGTCTGTGCTGTCGCGTCAGTGAGCCTTCGCGTCGAGGAACATGTACCATCCGAATCGCGCGCAGACGGACTACTGCCATGGCCATGATGACACCGACCGAGGCTACGGTATGTAATGTACCGCTCAACGTAGGCTGCGCGTCGATTCCTCCATGCTGCGTGGCGTTGGTGGCCGCGAGCAAATCATGGTTCGCAAGGATGGTAAAAACTCAACCCATGCCACCGGCTTTACGACGGGGGAGGGGCCCCTGTGGGTTATGTGCACTCATCGTGGTACTGACGCGCTACCAGTACCACGACGAGTCCGATAAGGATAGCAGACGGCGAGGTACTGCCTGCATGGCGCGGAACAGCGAGAAACTAGATGAGGTCTCGTTCAGGCGATGTCAACATGTTGAGTTAACGTTGATCTGGAAGTCCTTGTCAACTCCCACTGACAGGAACGGACACGAACGCGAGGTAGGCCACTATCGCCGCTCAACTCGAGCTCGCACTCCCGTTCTCGGATCCTGATAGGTAATGTCGTCACCATTCACACAAACGTTTGACGAGATGACTCCGTTCCTTGTTCATGTACGCGGCTCGCCCGTGCTTGGAGATAGTCTGCGAATCTTGCTGCCGACGTCTGTTCGGGTCCAAGGCGTCAGAGTGTATACATCCGGTGTCCATTGATGTTCGAATCTCGGAAATGACGGCCTATGCCGAGTCGTGAGTTGGCTTCCGCGGCCGGTAGCCCGATTCATACCTAGGCTCTCCGACACACATGCATATTGAGGTGCAAAAGGGCAACTATTTCAAGGATGCACGACTCACCAGGACGTTATGTCACGTTGAGATGGGCACCGCGGCCAAGTATACCAGAAATGGTACCGTACAGTGTAATGGACAGGTCACTGTAATTCTGAGATCTGCCAGCTAGTTGAGTCGTTCAAACAATCACCTTCGAGTAGCTGAGTTCACAGCCTTGTCATGAAGGGCCAGAGTCACAGAACCTCAATTATGAACAGATCTTTGAAAATGTGGACGGAGGAGGAGGAGGGGGTCCCGGGTCCAGTACTTTGCACGTGATGTAGTATAACATCGAGTGAGCGGCGAGCGCTTAGCACTGCGAGCAGACTCGGAATTTGCCTTCGACCACTCGAGTCAACTTCGAGTCATCGCAACAGGTCGCTATCCTCGACTAATCCAGAGGAGCATCATCACCGCCCAGACTAGTTGCTGTTCTGCTGAGGGCCTATTGCGGGAGTCGTGAGTATCATGGAACTCTATAAGCCGTCTGACCCATGTGAAGTAGATGCTTTCAGGATCGATCCCAGACTCTCAGGCTCAACAGAGACGAGACTTGTTACCTACGGCCGCAAAGCCTCGGCTGTATAGGCTAGAACGGATTATCAGTGAGTTGAGCTGTCATTTCACGGATGGGGCTATCCTGATCCGCTCAGGAATCGCTGCAGCCACCCCGAGTCGGAGCTGTCACCCCGGCCCAGCCGTTCGCACCTCCAAAGCGCCTTCCCTACGCGTGTAACCGGTATTAAAAAGAGAGAACCCTCCCTGGCACCGACTCTCACCGCGTCCACCATGTCTGCCGCAGACGTGCAAAAGGTGTCCATCCTCGGACGAGAGTCCATCCACTGTGGTTTCCACCTCGTGCCCTACATCGTCAAGACTGTCTTGGACGCACTCCCCGCATCTACCTATGTCCTCGTCACTGATACAAACGTCGCGAACCTGCATTTGGCGGCATTCCAAAGCGCGTTCGACGAGCACAAGCTCAGGGGACGTGCCAGGTTCCTGAGCTACGTTGTCCAGCCCGGCGAGACCAGCAAATCACGAGAGGGCAAGGCGGATATCGAGGACTTCCTCTTGCTGAACAAGTGCACCCGTGACACTGTCATCCTCGCTCTCGGTGGAGGAGTCATTGGCGACCTCGTCGGGTTTGTCGCCGCGACCTTGTGAGTTCTCCTACATTGCCAGCAGCCAGCTTGAGCCAACGTGCGTTGCAGCATGCGAGGCGTGCGCTTCGTGCAGATCCCTACGACCCTACTTGCTATGGTCGACTCTAGCGTGGGCGGCAAGACCGCTATCGACACGCCTCACGGCAAGAACCTTATTGGAGCGTTCTGGCAGCCGGAGTACATCTTCATTGACGCTGCGTTCCTCGAGACGCTTCCCGCGCGCGAATTCTCCAATGGCATGGCCGAGGTAGTCAAGGTTCGTCCGCCTTCCTATCCCCACCGGATCTCCCCCCATTCTGACATACCCCCGCACAGACCGCGGCGATCTGGAACGAGAACGAGTTCTCTGCGCTCGAGTCCCGCTCCGCTGAGATCTTCGCTGCTATCCAGACGCCCTCGAAGGATTTCTCCGGGCGCACCGCGGCGACGCGCTCTGCCGCCCAGCAGCTGCTCCTCTCCGTCATCGTCGGCTCCATTTCCGTCAAGGCGCACATCGTCACCATCGACGAGCGCGAGACCGGCCTCCGAAACCTCGTCAACTTTGGGCACACCATCGGACATGCCATCGAGGCCGTGCTCACGCCGACGATGCTCCATGGCGAGTGCATCAGCGTCGGGATGATCCTCGAGGCGGAAGTCGCGCGCCAGCTTGGCGTGCTGAGCCAGGTCGCGGTCGGGAGGTTGACGCGCTGTCTTAGGGGATACAACCTCCCCGTGTCGCTCTCGGACCCGCGTATCGCGAGCTTGCCCGCGGCCAAGGGCCTCGGTGTCGAACGTCTCCTAGACATCATGAAGATTGACAAGAAGAACAGCGGTCCCCAGAAGAAGATCGTGATCCTCGCCAGGATCGGTGCTACGTACGAGCAGAAGGCGACCGTCGTTGCGGACAGCGTCATTTCGAAGACACTATCAGAGGCGGCCAGGGTCGTGGCGGGCATTCCGACGAAGAGCCCGGTGACAATGGCCACGCCTGGCTCGAAGAGTATCTCTAACCGCGCGCTGCTCCTTGCAGCGCTGGGGACAGGAACGTGCAGGCTGAGGAACCTTCTTCACTCGGATGACACACAAGTCATGATGAACGCTCTCGGCGAACTGAAGGTACGTCTATCGCACTGAGCTTCTCGCTTCCGCATGCATTAACGACCCTTCCCCACGCAGGGCGCTAGCTTCTCATGGGAGGACGGCGGAGAAACGCTAGTTGTGGAAGGTGGTCAAGGCTCCCTCGCCGTGCCGCCCAAGGGCAAGGAGATCTACCTCGGAAACGCCGGGACCGCAGCGCGCTTCCTCGCCACGGTCTGCACGTTGGTTCAAGCGTCAGCGCCCGGGGAGCGCACAGTCATCACCGGGAACGCGCGCATGAAGCAGCGCCCTATCGGGCCTCTCGTGGACGCTCTCCGCGCCAACGGGAGCGACATCCAGTTCCTCGAGTCGCAAGGCTGTCTCCCGCTCTCGACCGCCCCCGCAGGGCTCAAGGGCGGGCGCATCCAGCTCGCTGCGAGCGTCTCCAGTCAATATGTCTCGTCCATCCTGCTGTGTGCGCCATACGCGCAAGAGGCCATCACCCTCGAGTTGACGGGTGGCCAGGTCATCTCGCAGCCGTACATCGACATGACCATCGCGATGATGCGTACGTTCGGCGTCGACGTCGTGCGCGAGAAGGACGCGGCGACGGGCAAGCTGCTCGACGTGTACCACATTCCGAAGCAGGTGTACACGAACCCGGCGAACTACAACATCGAGTCTGACGCGAGCAGCGCGACTTACCCGCTTGCTGTCGCCGCTATCACGGGCACTACGTGCACGATCGGCAACATTGGCTCGTCGTCTCTGCAAGGTGACGCGCGCTTCGCGAAGGAGGTCTTGGAGCCTATGGGCTGCAAGGTTGTCCAGACTGAGACGGAGACCACCGTGACGGGTCCACCAATTGGCCAACTCAGGGCCCTTGGATACGTCGATATGGAGCCAATGACGGATGCGTTTTTGACAGCGTCCGTGCTTGCCGCAGTCGCGTCCATGCCGCCTTTCAAGGAGCGTGAGCTTACCGACGGTTCGAAGCCGACGACGACGAGGATCCTCGGTATTGCGAATCAGCGCGTGAAGGAGTGCAACCGCATCAAGGCTATGATTGACCAGCTCGGTACGTGTGTTCCGGCCATACCGCGGGTGCTGGTGCTGACACGCAATGCAGCTAAGTTCGGTATTGAGACGAAGGAGCTTGATGATGGTCTCGAGGTTTACGGAAAGCCCATCCCCGAGTTGAAGCAGGGCGCCAGTGTACACTGCTACGATGATCACCGTGTGGCCATGGCATTCAGCGTCCTTGCCACTGTGGTGAACGGCACCATTCTCGAAGAGAAGCGGTGCGTGGAGAAGACTTGGCCGAACTGGTGGGACGATCTCCAGAACAAGGTATGTGGATCCCGTTCTGCGATAATCATCTCTAATGGTATCGTTAGATTGGTGTAGACGTCGAGGGCGTCGAACTCCGTGCCGCCGATTCGGGTGCTTCTGCTAGCACGCCTGCCAGTGCTGCTGCTGCTGCTTCAGCCGTGATCATTGGAATGCGGGGCTCTGGCAAGACGTACATCGGTGAACTCGCGTCGTCGATCCTTGGCTGGCAGTTCCTTGACGCGGATGCTGTCTTCGAGGAGAAGCATAAAGTCGGCGTCCGCGAGTTCGTCGCTAAGGATGGTTGGCCCACGTTTCGCGCAGCCGAGACGGACATCCTGCGCGAACTTCTTGCCCAAAACCCGACAGGCCATGTAATCAGTCTGGGAGGCGGCATCGTAGAGACGCCTGCTGCCCGCGACCTGCTGAAGGCCTACGCCAAGCGTGGTCCCGTTGTCCACATCGTTCGGGAGATCGACGAAGTTGTCAAGTACCTGGGAGAGGAGACTGCTCGGCCTGCGTACGGAGAGCCTATCATCGATGTTTACCAGCGCAGAGAACCATGGTTCGCCGAGTGCTGCAGCTACGTCTTCGTTAACTACACTGGGGTTCTCACTGCGGCGGAGGAGCCGAAGTCGAACGACCCCGTGCTTGCAACTTTGAAGCCGAACGGGTTCCGTAACGAGGTCGAGCGGTTCTTCAAGCACGTCACTGGTCAGCGCCCCAATCTAGTGTCGACAGATGCCGACGCGAGGTCGTACTTCTTGTCACTCACCTACCCCGATATCACCCCCGCTCTGCCATTCATCGAGGAGTTGACCTCCGGCGTCGATGCAATCGAGCTCCGCGTTGACTTGTTGCGCACGTCGAAGGACTTCGATAAGCCGGGTCCGTACATCCCTTCCGTAGCGTATATCACGGACCAGATCGCTGCCTTGAGGCAGGTCACTAGCCTGCCCATCGTTCTCACCGCGCGCACGTTCTCCCAGGGCGGACAGTTCCCTGACAACGCAGAGAAGGAAGCCTTCGGGCTGTTCCAGTCCGCGGTTCGCCTGGGTGTCGAGTACATCGATGTCGAGATCTCCTGGTCCGAGCGACTCATCCAGGATCTTGCATCTCGCAAGGGTCACTCGAAGATCATCGCGTCGTGGCACGACTGGAGCGGCAACATGCGCTGGGACTCCAAGGCCGTCGAGGCCAAGTACCGCATTGCCGCAGCGTCGGGAGACATTGTCAAGATCGTCGGGAAGGCGAACGCCCTCGAGGACAACTTTGCTCTCCAGGACTTCGCCCGTCGTATGGCCACCGCCCCTGGTGCCAAGCCTCTGATAGGCATCAACATGGGCATCGAGGGCCAGCTTTCGCGCATCCTGAACAAGACACTCAGTCCCGTGTCCCACCCACTGCTGCCTACCAAGGCTGCTCCCGGCCAACTTTCCTTCGCACAGATCCAGACTGCGTTGCACCTGATTGGTTCGGAACCTGCGCGCCGCTTCTACCTCTTCGGGAATCCCATTGCACACTCCATGTCCCCGACCCTGCACAACACGGCGTTCGAGGCCCTTGGCCTTCCGCATACCTACGATCTCTTGGAGACAGCGACTGTCGGCGAGGAAATCAAAGCGGCTCTGGCGGCTCCAGACTTCGGCGGTGCATCCGTAACGATTCCTTTCAAGCTCGATGTCATGCCCCTCCTGGATTCGTTGTCTCCCGAGGCAGAGGCAATCGGCGCGGTCAACACCATCATTCCCAAGAGGAAGGCCGACGGCTCTCTACTCCTTCACGGCGACAACACGGACTGGATCGGCATCCAGCAGTGCATTCGGTCGTCGCTCGCCAAACCCATTGTGAAGTCGGACGCAGCGCTCGTCATCGGTGCCGGTGGCACGTCGCGCGCTGCGATTCACGCGCTGCACAAGCTCGGGTTCAAGTCGATCTACCTCTTCAACCGCACGCGCCAGAGCGCGGAAGCGCTCGTCAGCGCGTTCCCCGACGCGAACGTCGTGATCATCGACGCGCTAGGTGCGTGGCCCGAGGGTGGCCAGGCGCCGCTCGTCGTTGTCTCCACTGTGCCCGCCTCGGCGACTACGACGGACCCCGGCGTCGCCAACGCGCTCTACCTCCCGAGTGCTATCTTTGCTGCCCACCTGCACGGCGTGGTGATCGATATGGCGTACAAGCCTGCGGAGACGCCGTTGCTCACGTTGGCGTCGAACGTCGCGAAGGACTGGACGTCAGTGCGGGGCCTCCAGGTCCTGCTTGAGCAGGGATTCATGCAGTTCTACTTGTGGACCGGCAGGCGGTGCCCGACGCGTGTGGTCAGCGGGCGTGTCTGGGCCAAGTACAATGCATAGGCATTCCTGAGGGTAGAACGACGTCTTGGTTTCTGCCCACGTGAAAGCATAGAAGTTTCCTGTACTATCAAATGTATGACAGACTAAGTAGATTCAATGTGAATACAATTTTCACTGAACCCTAGGGCAAGCCACCAGATGTGCGTGCCAAGAACGGGAAAATGAAGTTCTCAAAATGCGTTGGCGCGTACGCTCCGCGTACGTGCTCCTCGGTGTGTAGTTAATCTTGTAGCTGAATTTACTTGTTATATATGTTGCAGGTGGAGATCCAGGAAGAGCCCGGAGGTCCTGGTGCGCCTCATAGGTAATGTTACCGAGTCAAACCATCGCATGTTTTTCGCTCAGCTGGGAGTCAGCAGGCCTACAAAACCACAGCGCGGAGATACAGTCGTGTCACTCAGGCAACTAACGCTCCTCATAGGTACGTCAACCCAACACGATGACCATTGTTCCCCAGTTCGCCCAAGAACGTACAGAGCATTACAGACTTCAATATCCCCCAGTTCATCCGACAGCACCAACGTTAACACACTCCCCCTCCGCTCGCCCCCACCCAACGGTCCACTCCGAGTCCGTCGAGCAGACTCAGTTGCTGGTCGCGCTCGTATACTGCGTCTCCGCGAAACCGACCTGCGCGTTGGTGGTGTCGAAGACGGAGTAGAAGCGCTCGAGGAACGCGTAGCCGTTGATGAAGTCGAGGCCCTCGCCAGAATCGCTCCCGATGTCGCCCACGACGAGGTAGATGTCGCCCGAGCTGCCGCCGATCGCGGAGTTCAGCGAGCGCGGCCAGATCTGCGCGTTCGCCGTCAGGCCATACGTCGTCTGTCGGCCGATGTCAGTGCACGGTGGGACGGCTAGTAGTAGGGGGGGAGAGAGCGCGAGACGTATACGTACGCCGCCGATGTTGAAGTTGAGCGTGGAGAGCTTGCTGTACTGCGAGCTCGAGATGCGGAGGAGACCGGTGCTCTCGTCCTCTTTCCCACCCACGGCAGACTTGTACTTGCTGTACGCGTCTGCGGTGCACATTCGTCAGGGTCGCACCGCTCGCGTTCAGTGAAGAGCCGCTTACCGCTAGCGATCAGGACGAGGGTAGTGCCGGTGTCGACGATGCCGGCGGTGCTGCTCAGGATCGACTTGGATCCATAGCTGATGGACTGGTCGATGCCCCAGTACTCGCTCGCGGGGGAGGTAGACGTGAGCGGACTGCGATGCAGCACCGTTTATCAGCGACGACACGCGTGATAGTGAGGGATGGCCCAGGGAGGACGCACACGTAGTTGATCGAGCCGGTGTACTTGGAGGAGTCGGTGCCACCGAAGGTGAGTTCGCCGTTGGCGTCGCTCTCAGAGGTAGCCGGCGCGAAGGAGACCGCGAGGACCTCCGTGGAGATGGTGCCCTGCGAGTACAAGTTGTCCGTGACTAAGGTCAGGGAAGACAGGTGAATCAACGTCATGGTCGCTGAGGAACGGCCTGAACTCACCAGTGGGGATAGTGGCGTAAGAGTCCCCGAGAGTACCTTCAGTCAGGTCGACGGGCCCAACACTAAACAACCATGCAGTTCAGCGCCACACCTGACGGAACGCTGCAGCAGTCTTCTCACCCAAGGATACCATCGACGCCGGAGAAGCCGTCGGTCGAGCTGGCGACGCCAATGGACTGATCAGTGATGGTCAGCCCGTCACCGAGCGTAACAGTGTCCGTGTACTCTTCGCCGGAGAAGCTGCCCGAGCCGTAGGAAACGGACTGTCCAGCCTGCGTGAGATGCGATCAAGGTCTCTTGAGAGGGGATGCTTACGACCGACTCGCCGGTGTCTGTGCTAGTAGAGGTCTTGGTGTACGACGTGCCAGCACCGAGCCAAGTGTTGGAGGAGCCGGTGTCGACCAGGAGGGAGTCTATGGGAGGAAGAACTCAGTCTCCAGTGCAGCAGAGTATCGTAGAAGGCAGACACGTACACTGAGTAGCAGGGGAACCGACACCGACCTGCGAGAGCCACAGACGATGAGATCTGTTACTGCAGGCAGAGTGTGCGTGATACTTACGCTGACGACGTAGGTGTCAACGGCGTTGGTCGCCTCCACGCTTGCAGCGCGGCCCTCAAGCTTGGCCCGGGCGCGCTCCTTGAGGTTACGGGCCCTCGCCTGGTCGTGCGCGAGCAAGTTGGAGAGGCCTGTGCTGTTCGTACGGCGCACCAAGGGCAGGGAAACGAGGGGCTTGTTAACCTGTACCGGGCTCGCGGCGACGACAAGCGCGAGGAGGACGGTGGTCAGGAGGGAGGAACCGAGTGCCATAGCGCGTCACTGCTGTCTCTTGCGAAGGAGCGAGGAGGGCGGATGGCAGGTCGGTTAGTAGTGTTCGACGACAGGCGGCGAACGCTGGTTGGGTGAGAGAGCAAGAGGGCGTTATATATATTGCCAAACAACAGTGGCCATACACGTACAAGGAGTAACATCGAACCTACTGCACAGCCGATGCTCGTTTGAGGAGCTACTATGGCAGGCACAATCTGATCGAAGCCTAGACGGACAAGAATAGGCATGAGTGCACAAGATGCGGACGGCACTACACATGGACGCAGTGTTCGGAACAATAGCGCATTGACCACGAAGACCTGCTTGCGGAATGGCATCGACGCACGACGAACAATGAGGAATGCAAGTCGCCCAATTGCTTCATTCCGGCCTGGTGCTCAGGGCGCGTGGAAGGCGTACGCATGGCATGCGATGCCCTCGTCCAGTAATGAACAAGATCCGCGTCGAGAAGCACTGTGCACTCATGTGGGCGTGTGTGAGAGTAGAGCGCGAGGTATCTTCGAGAATGGACGTTGGCCGTTCCTCTGGAAGTCGCTTGCCCCCGCCGGCAACTGGGTGGTCCACGGATAGATACGGCACACCCCGCAACAAAGGAGCATTGCTCACCAAGGATGCCCAGGGTGGCCCGTTTGCGCGGCCCATCTCGTACACTGCCAAGGCTGAGGGATGGAGAGATGCATCAGACATGAGAACTGTAGAGAGACAACATGTTGACAGCAAGTAAGTACTTGCGTACCGTCGAGACGTTCTGACTGACGTTCGTGAGACTCTCGTCCTTCCCGATGTTCGCAGTACCCGAGCGAATGCTGACGATCGTCCTCTTGGTGCCCTTTGCGAGGAGCGGCGCGTAGAGCTGTCCCATCATCGCAGGCGCGTCTGGAGCAGCGACAGGGATCCGCTGTAGGGGAAGTCCGACGCCTCGTCGCGCGGGCATTGCCATAGGACGCATACGCCGATCAGTCTGCCAACGCTCCAGGATAGATACAAAAGAAAGGCCTCGCGATCCCGGCATTATTGTACAAATAGTCGAGGCCTCGACCTGCCCGCACGCATGCTCTCCTCGCTGTACGTCGAGCTTCACGGTGTGCAACGCGGAGGACGGGTTCCGGCAGGAGGCGATCACGAGGTTGTTGGGCATGGAGGTAAGCTGGCGGACGAGCTCGAAACCGAGGCCACGGGACGCCCTGTTGACCGAGGAGAGGTCAGTTCAAGTTTCGAGTACTGGGAAGAGCAAGGTACGCACCCGGTGATAAGCCAACTAGTAACGGTCGTCACCTTTACTCGGAAGCGATCCGGGTTGCCGCTCTGATCGGGGGCGACCTGTTGGTCTTTGAATAGTATTCTTCCGACAGCTGCTTAAAGCGCTCGTCATAAGGCTATGGCACAGGAGGACGTCAGCATGACGGGCTTTGGCTTGACGAACATGACATACGGCTCGCTCCTCCGGAGTCAGCGCACACCATCTCTCTGCCACCATCTCGGTGATATGCTCAACAGGGCACACGCCCGGGGGTGCGGGACCAATAGTCTTGGTCTGCTCCTGGATGAACCTAGGGACACCGTGAGCAACTAGCGGTTGGCATATCAACAGATATTCCCTACACCGTCCAAGGGGATCCGGGCAGCAATGGACGCTTCGCGTCCCTCGGAACGGAACGATGACTGGCCTTCAGCTTAAGCTTCACTCTTTTGAGGGTCTCCCTGTCGGTCTTGTCGAAGTACTCCTGAAGGCGTTTGCTGTAATCTACCCGCAGCTCGGCATAGCGATCATGGTACACCTGCGACAATGATACTCAATCATGCAATGACAGTTCGGACAGATGCACACACCTGACGTCCAGCATCACCCATAGCCTTCCACGCCTTTGCGGCAGCTTTGCTCACCTGATGCTGCGCAGCAAGAGTGGGGGCCTTCGGCACGGTCCGACAATATTCTGTTGAGAATAAGAAGTAAGGCTTGGAGGGCTGTTTAGGCGGCATGTCTTCCTTGGTCAGTCGTTTGACTGTTTGCATAAACGGCATGATGGGAGGGTGAATGGAGTTAAAGACGTGGGAGCGCACCAATGGGTGGCTTAGTCTTGGGTGGGCGGTCCATGCTTTTCTTCGGCTTTGACGGCTTTGCGGCTGCCTTGGGTTCTCTCCTTTGTTTCACAGGTTCCGCTTTACGTTCGGACGACGATGATTTGAACGAACGCGTCGGGACCTGCAGCCTGATCGTGCGTTGGGCTATGTGCTGGGCCAGCTGAGAGAACATAGTAGAGACGAAGACGAGAAGTATGACCCAGAGAAGTATGATCCAGAGAAAGAGATGTGCTGGGACGCGACTGAGCGACGGCGCGTTGAGTCTTGACACGCACGGCGTTGCTTGTGCTTGTTGTGCAAGAGCCCCATCAATCTTTCCCCAAATGGTATGTCCCGTCTCTCGCGTCTGTGGCGTCCAGGCCCCCGGCTTGTCCTTCAGCCATTATGTCAAACCCATCTCAAGTAAGTGGATTTGAGCCAGATTTGAGACGACCTCAAACTACCCGATGTCTCGGAGGGAGGAGCAACATAAAGTTGCACGTTGGCAGCACGATTTTTCGTGGAAGATCGCATCGGCGTTTATGATCAGCAAACAGCATGTACCGAACAATGCCCAAACGGCGACTTCGTGAGGTATGTACATCGAAAATCGATCCTTTATATATCCGGTATCCCCTCAGGCCTCATCCTCGGCCCGACCCACCAAGTTGTGAGCTCACTGGCGCAATCGTGCCGCACTCGCTGTCTCAGACCGCCCAAACCACACAGATATCTGATTAACAGCTGATCGCACTCTTTGAGTAGTAAAATTCGGTAGTACCTCAACATCAACGCCTTTCCTGACAAAGAGCTGCATAACGACCAGTTTCGCATACATTTCCGTCAAATGGTCCCAATCACGTGGTGTGGTCAACGCGTCTGTGGCACAGGCGTCAGCGCGTGCCGTGACCCGTCAGTGCTAAGTAGTGCAGAAACTCACCATGTTCGAAACATGACAAAGAGCCCCGAAGCTCAGAACGCAGCTGCAAATAGTGTGTCTATTGACCGGCATGCTGCACAGACTATCGTAATCGTGACAGTGCTCGTGCGACGACGACGTGATGACTCTGAAGTGGTATGCGTGTCCCGTGACCGCGTCAAGGTCGGACGAGGTAGGAGTCGTAGGACTCGTGTAGCACGCAGGTGAGCATCAGGCAGCAATATTCTCGGTCAGTTAATCGCTGACCGTGACTCGCTGAAAACGGACAGGAACGTGAAGCAGTGGCTGAACCCCACGCGACTTCAGCGGATATACTCGGCAGACAAGAAGACTTGAAGAACCAACTTGGCCAGTATTTGCCAGGGGACTCAGTGATGGAAGCCCCTTGTTGAAAAATAAAGTTAGTGTGCGGTGTCAGATAAATCAAATGCAGGCCCCAGGGTCAACAGAGTTCAATCTGTCGGTGAATACGTCAAACAAGAGAAACGACTGACTGACCAGGCACATTGCTTTAAGCACCCGCGAGGTTGAACTCAACTGATTGTCGTATCCACTGAGTCGTACCAGCCCGGTCCAGCAGCATGTCACAAGAACCACCAGCTACACGCTCACGAGGTGTGTAAACGGTTCTACGAGTTATATATGCCATCCGTATATACTAATGCTATCAGCCAGTGATCCCATGCGTTAGGGAATGACACTACCTGCTTCGCTAGGAAGTATCATCCGCATTGATTAAGGCCGATATGCAGCACATCTCTGCAGCTGTCAGGTTGGCCAATGGCATTGAAAATTCTGTCACCGATTGTGTATCACCGGCTTCTGGTTCTATCGGAAGAACAGCGCTCAGGCCGTTGAACACGAGGCGTATCGGAAGGTTGAGCGGCCCTGGGCCGACTATATATACTGCGTCTCTGCCCATGAACAGCTCTTCCAGGAGAAATCGACCCATAGGTAGCAATCATGCCTTTCTCGGCAGCAGAGGTAGGTCCCCGCGAGCGAATGAACGGTACAATCAAGTACTTATACTGATTGTTGCGCAGTCAAAACTAGTGTCCATATTCGTCCAGTCTGTCCTCTATGGTGCGTCGCGCCGGCCTATTCAACACCTATGCTATCTCTATATGCTGACACGCACCTCTTTTGCAGGAAACTATATGACGCTGTTTTTCACGACGACAAAAGCACTGCTGAGGAGCCGACCATCCGGGGACCCACTTCGCAGGAACATGCTCTTCGTGTCTTTTCTGATGTTTGGGATCGCGACTACAGTGAGCTTGGCGCTTGCATCGCACACCCCGGGCTGACTTGGAACGTCGCAGCACGTAGCTACGAATTTCTCGCGTATCATCATCGCGTTCATCAACAACGCAGACGCGCCAGGGGGACCCGCAGCGTTCTTCAACGAGATGTCCAACTTCACGCAGATGTTTGGAAGCACGCTGTACGTCGCACAGACTCTGCTTGGTGATGCAATGGCGGTATGTGCAGGATTCCATCACCGTGCTTGTTGAGCACATACTGACCACAGTTGCTACTGCAGCTGTACCGTAGCTGGCTTGTCTGGGAGCGAAAACTGTGGGTCATTGCATTCCCATTCGTCCTTCTTCTGGGGAGCACTGGTACGTTCTACGGTTCATACAACGCCGTCGGTTGGTTTGATTTGCGCTCGCAGCGACTGGCGTAGGCATCCTGTACTCCTTCGACAAGGTCGATCCTGAGGCCTCGATCTTCGTGGTCCAGCTAGGCCACTGGATCACCGCCTTCTTCTCCATGACTTTCGCGACTAACGCCATCTGCACTGGTGCGATTCCGTCCTTCGCCCTCTATACCATCTCATCTTGAGTAACGTGTGTCCTCCGTGAACGTAGCTTTGGTGGCATACCGGATCTGGGCCGTCAACCGAACATATCTCTTCTTCAGGTACCGGGATCTGCGGCCGGTCATGGTCCTCATCGTCGAGTCTGGCGCGTGGTACTCGGCGACGCTGCTCGTGCTCCTCATCCTGTATAACGTCGACTCGTGGTTCCAGTACGTCGTTCTAGACGCGGTCTCTTCCATCGTCGTAAGTGCCCATCCAATAGCAGATCGTATGTACAGCGATGACTTACAGCGCGACCATCCGCCTAGGGCATTGTATTCTCTATTATCATGTTGCGCATCGCGACGGGGGTTTCAAACGCGGAGGGCGAGACAGCGCTAATCGAACCTGCCGGTGTCGCCAGCGGCGTCCAACTCTCGAGGATGTCATCACGCAGTGAACGAAAAGACACGATGACCTCCGAAATGGCTTGATGTACATAGCATAGATACTGTGCTTTTAGATCCTGTAGCGCAAATGAATCCATGACATTGGGTGAGTATTGTACAACAGCAACCGTCCTCTCACTGTGATATAGGCACAAGGCCGAGACATCGCAAATTGGTCCGTAATGTCATGCATCCAACATTCTAACCACGGAGGAAGTTTGTTTCTGCATAAACGCATCCGGATGTCAGTGATGGGTGCCTGCAAGAGTCAAGGATAGCTTTGACCCACCTGCTCCTTGAGGTCTTGACTGCGAGTCGATACATCCTGCAGCTGCAGCTCGTCCGCATTGTATTCCACGTCGTCCAAAGTCGACATGTTGCGCGTTGGGGGAGCGAACGAGATGGGGATCCGCCGATCAAACGTCGTCTGACGATCCGCGGTATTCGAACCCGACGACCCGCGTGCGGTCGTGATCCCGAGTCCGATGCGGATTATAATCATCGAGAAGACGAGGCCCACGATGGGCGAGATCTACAGGCCGCGTAAGCATGAGTGCCCGTGGATGAAGAGATAATAATTGCAAGCGCGACGTACGGCATCAAGCAAGACGTACTGGAACCACGCGTCAGTCTTGTAGAGAATGATCAGCACGGTGAGCGTGGCGGAGTAGACCGCCCCGGACTCGAGCACGAGGAAGATGATCGGGTAATAACTGTGGTTCACGAACGTCATTATCGAACGGTTGATCCACCATATGCGGAGCGCGACGAGGCCTGCGGAGGTCATAGGCGGCGAGTCCGTTAGCAAAGAAGTTGCGGTAAACCGGAGAGAAAAATAGCGCACTCGTGCAGATGATGTTTGTTGCGAGCGTGAGCGAGAAGAAGGAGGTGATCCAGTTCTGCAGCTCGTTGACGAATATGTCAGCTTGGGGCACGACCTTCGCGAAGGAGTAGAGGATGCCAATCCCGGAAGCTGGAACACGGTCATGAGATATGAATATGTCAGCTCCCACTGCCTAGGTTGACACACCTGTGCTTCCAAGCAGTAAGACGAAAGGAACCATTACGACCCACACGGTGCCCCAAACTAAATAGCATCTGAGTAACTACAAGTGGCATGCATGCCTGATGAGTCTCTCGCCTGCTCATGTATGGAGCAGGGCGTGGATACGTACGACAACACTGTCACCGATGAGTGTCTGGGCGATGTACAGAGTACTCCCGAAGATTTGAGTGAACTCGGACAGTTCGTTGAAGAAGGCCGCTGGTCCTCCAGGCTCATTGCGGTAGATGATGAAGGCCTTGATGATGCGGGTGTAGTTGACACCGATGTGCTACGGGGCACCGGGTCAGTAAGCATTTGTAATCGTGCACGACCCGTAGAGGCTGTCACCATTGTGGCCACGACGAACATTGCTAAGGATATCCATAGCATGGGGTCCGTCCATGGGTTGACCTTGCGGCGTCGAGTGAGTAGTACCCACATCGTGAGAATGAACAAGACAGCATAAGCCCCTGTCGAACGTAACACCATCATGAGTAAGTATGTTGCATGGAGTCGCAACATCGCATAATCATACCGTAGAGCAATGTCTGTATGAATATCGACACGATCTTCGCCTACGACGACGACGACGCCGGTGAGTGGCCTCTTGCATACATAGTACGGTCGAAAACAGACTACTCGCCTCATCTGCAGGAAAGGGCATTGTACAATACCGCTAAGAGGGCCAGTGAGGTAGTTTGGCGCACTAGTGAAGAGATATAGCGCGGGTGGCTCATCCTACTGCGTCTCTTGACATACATGTTTTAATGCAAGTCACGGAGCGGGTCTGGTCAAGCTTCCTGTGATGTATAAAACGAGGAAACAGTGTTGCTCTCGGAGTACAGAACAAAGTGCCATCATGGTATTCCTGAATTGAGTACATTGGTATCACATCCTGGAGGTGCGGGTGATTAATGAATGAGCAAGACAGGTCAATCGTATGCTGCTCGCCTAATCCGTGCATGCTACTACCGCATGAGCGGCGGAGCCCTGGGGTCCGCCGAAAAGTTTGAATGGCGCCGCCCCCGTGTTCGGACAGGCGACATTGGGTTCGATGAGCGCAACGAAGTCCAAAACGTGCATGTCACGCTGCGGCGGCTTCGTGGGAGCATTCAGCTGATTTTGCACGCGGTAAGCAACGGGCGCGCGGACCCTGCGCCACAAAGCGTTGTATTTGTCTTGAAGCTTCAAGCAGCTTCCAGTTCGACGGTTGCCACTTGGACCGGTACCACTGGGTAACCAGATCCAGGACTTCAATACGGATGCCTGCTATCAGCGAAGAGCGGCTCACCCTTAACAACGGGACGTCCATCCCAGCGGTCGGTGTTGGGTACGTCTGCCAGTTGGCAATCCGTGAGCTCTAGGTCTGCGTCTGACTGGGTTCACAGATGTTGGATGGGTGTGTGCGGCGAGGGCGAGCAAGTCACGGAAATGGTAAAGACTGCGCTCGAGCTTGGCTATCGCCACGTCGACACGGTTGAGTGCTGCTCTCTCTTCCGCGCCAGATTGCATGAACTCAACAGGGATCGCCGAACCAGGCTGCGAACTACGGTGAGTTTAGGGTGACACAAGTCCCTTAAGCCACTGACCCCCTGTTACAGGAAATGAGCAATCCGTAGGAAGGGCTCTAGAAGAGTCTCATGTCCCTCGCCATGATATATTCTTGACCACAAAGCTAGAGTAAGCCTCCGTAACTACTCGATTAGGGCGCTGCCACTCACCTGCGTCAATTGTTACTAGTCAGAGTGATCACGGCCGTGTCGAAGAGGCTTTCGCACTTAGTCTGACGAAGCTCGGCGTCGATTATGTGGACCTATATCTGATGCATTGGCCCATGGCATATGACAAGTCAGGTTCGGAGATTCGACGCACAGTAAGAACATCTGTCACTGACGAAGATCGTGTGGATTCTGCAGGCAATACACTGCAACCAGAGGAAAGCCCAACGTTCATTGAGACGTGGCGAGAAATGGAGAAACTCGTTGCGGATGGTAGAAGGCGTCTTTCTGCCGCCCAGGAACACATCTTGATTTTCTGTTACTCCAGGTAGAGCCAGAACCATCGGTGTCTCGAATTTCAGCATCAAGACCCTGACGGAGCTCCTCGCGCACACGTCCATTGTCCCTGCCATCAATCAAGTGGAGCTTCATCCGTGTCTTCCTCAGCATGAGCTGCTCAACTTCTGTAGCGAGCGGGGCATCCTGCTCACGGCGTATTCTCCCGTCGGAAAGGCCAAGTTCGCGGATGACCCATCCATTACATCCATCGCGGCAGCCCACGGACGAGGGGTGACGAACGCGCAAGTATTGTTGAGCTGGGGCGTCCAGCGCGGAACTGCCGTAATTCCAAAGACGGTGCATGCTGAGCGCCTGAAGGAGAATATCCAGGTAAGTTAACGTCCGGCATTTCTTTTGTGATGGACCAGATATCCCAGGATGCTGAAAAGAACCCCGGACAGCTCGTGCAACTCAGTGCTGCGGAGATGGAGACGCTCGACCGCTTTCATCAAAAGCCCGGGATGCATCGTAGCGTGTGCGGTTTCCATTCTGCCGAATTCGGGGGATCGTGCTGGGGTTGGACGTACGAGCAGCTAGGTTGGGCGATGGCCATGGGCGGCTTTCACCTTTGAGATTGTTATGCCTATAAGGGAGTGATGAACCGATATAGTCACTGATTGAGTTATGGCACGGTATATATGGGCAAGCCATCCTAAGAAATTGTGCGACTGAAGTCAGCCAAGAACTGAAGTACTGACAGTCCACCTCTGGCGTCTGCCTACTCGGGACGTACCTTGCACTCCGTATCCACGCACACTGCAGCAATACCCACATTGTTAGCACCATCATGTCCAACGGCGACGCAGCAGGCAAACCACCCACTATCCTAGAAAAGATCTATGCCCAACGTCGGAAGGACGTCGACGTGGCGAAGGCGACACCGGGCACACGTCCAGAGGAGCTCGACGCGTACCTGCAGATGGGCCTTGCCCCGCCCCTCATCCCGCTCGTCCCACGTCTGAAGAGGAACCCATCCACATCGACCGCACGGCCCTCGCTCAGCCTCATGGCCGAGATCAAGCGTGCGTCGCCGTCCAAAGGCGACATCGCGCCCTTCGTCAACCCCGCCCAGCAGGCACTGCTATACGCGCAGGCGGGCGCATCCGTCATCTCAGTCCTCACCGAGCCGACGTGGTTCAAAGGCAGCCTGCTCGACATGCGGCTCGCGCGCCAGGCATTGGACGCGTTGCCCGACCGTCCAGCGATCCTCCGCAAGGAGTTCGTGTTCTCCGAGTACCAGATCGCGGAGGCGCGTCTGTGGGGCGCGGACACGGTGCTGCTCATCGTCGCGATGCTCGCGCAGGAGCAGCTCCAGCGGCTCTACGCGTACGCACTCTCCCTCGGCATGGAGCCGCTTGTGGAGGTGAACAACGTGCGGGAGATGGCGCGCGCGCTCGAGGTCGGGGCGAAGGTCGTCGGGGTGAACAATCGGAACCTGCACGACTTCAGCGTGGACATGGGTACGACGAGCGGGCTTGTGGACATGGTGCGCGAGAAGGATGTGCTGCTGTGTGCGTTGAGCGGGATAAAGGGCCCTAAGGACGTGAGGGTGTACAAGGAGCAGGGCGTGAATGGCGTCTTGGTTGGAGAGAGTTTGATGCGCGCGGCGGACACGACGGCGTTCATAAAAGAGCTGTTGGAATGGCCGGACGCATAGAGGAGGGCCATGGCAAGTAAAACGAAAGGCAGTAGGTACTCAGACATCGACTGTAGGTATCACCGTTGACCGCGAACTCCACGAACCTGCTTGTGTGAAGGTCATCATGACGACCGTGTCGTATTATGTACATAATGCTTTTGTTCACGGTGAAGACCTGAGTTGTATGTGAACTCCATCTAAGAACATAGGTATGAGTCTAGATGCACTTACATTGTCCGAGTCCGAGTATTGAATGCGGGTTACGTGTATGAGCCTGGTCGCCTTGCTGTTGTCACATCCGTTGGTCATGTAATGACACTCATCATACAGCTTGTGCGCACTTATCACCCTTGTATATTCGAAAGGTTCCCCTGCAGCTTGCACTGCGGACAAAGCGGATTGTGGGAAATTCGAACATCGGCCTAACATAGGCAGAACGAGTATATCATCTCGCGGCTAATTACGGAGACCTAACATAGCATGAAAAATTCATACGGTATTACTATGTTCGGGACCCTGACAATCGAGATTAACGATGGTATGTTCAAGAGGGGGGCAAGATCTGAATCGCAGACATCGTCCTCTTGACAGGTGGGTAGGTGAGTGGTGTACGGGGTCTCGTTTTCAGCCACTTACGCGAAGTTCTGTCATTTGCGCTCGTTTTGTTTGTAGACATTCGTCAATGTCTTCTACGAGGAGTGTATGAATAGGAGAGATGGATTAAAGTAGAAACAATGTATCCAGCTAGCCAGATATCTCAGCGGATGCCATCTCGCGGAGGAAGTTGAGTAGTGACCAGCGGGTCATTTGCACGTGCACGGAACGATCATGTGATCACGCTGTTGAATGCGTGTGCTTCCCGCGCGGCGCGCAAGGACAATGGGTGCGGCGTCCTGCGCAAGGACAATGGCTGCGCGACTTGTGCACGACACTCAACCTGGCTGCCCCCGCGCATGGTCCGTGCTCGACTGGACGGAGGCGGCCTTGTCGCCGCACTCCATAATGGTGAAAATGTATATATATATTGGTGCGCTGCCGTATACATTGTTGTGAACCTCACCTCCTCCTGCTCGCCCAACGACCTCTGGAAAGGCATGGATGGCGATTGGATTAACGTGCATCTTGCTTGCTCATTCCTTGATGAACTCGATGGCGGGATACCTGACTCTCTCACTAACAATGCCTCCCTACTAGATTGGGAGTACGCCCTTTCATACAGTTCCTATTACCCCGCGCTCGAGATAGTCTACGCGTCATTCGACATTGACCTTCCCCTGCTTGATGCTGCGACAAGCCCCGTACCTGACGTCACACAGCCCGCGCTTCACGTTGCGCCTGACGTTGCACAACATCCCGCCGCGTTCAACGACCCGCACCCTGCGTTTCAAGGTCCACACCCCACGTTCGACAGCCCACACCCCTTGACTCTCCAGTACGTGTACCAGTACTAGCCGCCGGTGACGGCGACTCTTATGACTTATATGTTCTGACTGACATTCACTTGCACAGACAAGCCGGCGCTCTTCTCAGACGACGCCGCACGCTACATGGAGAAGCAGCAGATCACGAACGACGCGAAACGGAGGTGTTACCAGTGTTTCGCTGAGATAGAGCCAGCTCGGATGCGGAACCACGTTGGTGAACACACACTCAAAGCCATGTGTGGCGTACCCGAGACTCTACAAGGACAACATGTGAGTACACGCGCACATTTTCTTACCATCAGCGTACGATGCTACACTTCCGCCGAGTGGGCCCCAACCTAAATGCTGATCCTTCCATATATAGATCGCTCTGTTCGAGTTTCCATGCGGCTTCTGTGGTCGTCCAGAACGCCTGTGTGCAGCTTCAACATTGACGAAGGGCATTAACGGAAGCACGCCTCAAGCGCGAAGCGAATGCCCTTACTACCGGTTGTTCTTCTATCAACCGAGCCTCAAGTCCTCCGCCGCAACACCCTCTACGAACGTACCTGTCATATGCAAGATCCCTGAATGCAAGGCCGAGAAGGGCGGGAATTGGAGTGCTGTATGGAAGTATAATCTGCGTGAGCACATTCTTCGTTTCCATCCCACATATAGTCTCGAAACCGCCGGGTCGGATGGGTTGATCCCCCTACCTCCTGCGATGTTGCATGACATGCACATTTCCGACGAGGAGGAGCATGGACTGAAGATTCTGAAGGATTGTATACCTTACAAATCCCCTCTACCCACTCTTGAACCCGAGGCGTCCACATCTACTAGTACCTCTGCACGCACTGGTGCACATCGAGCGAAGAGGAGACGTACACAGAAGGGAGGCTGACGGCGAGCATACAATGCATATTAGCGTTGTTTAATCGATTTCCTGGCTGCTATTACATTTCGCTATACTCTCGTGCTCGTTTTAATGCTACACCGTCAAACCGACGCGTCGCAGTGTATCCGGGTACGGTCATTGAGGACGCGTCGTAGCGCGTCCTCCTCGATGGTCATGCGTTGCCCCTTTAGGACATGTGCCTGGGCGCTCGACTGCCTATCTAGGAAGGACCTACCGTACCCCCCCAGTTTCCGGGGTCCTCGGGTTTTGGGAGGACGATGTCTGGGATTTTGTTCTTGCCCCCCTCTTGGGTATGTTCGGCGGCACAACATAGGTCACGTTTTCGCCGCGATGTTAGGAAACCGCACAAAGGTTGAGCATGCCGCATGTTAGGCCAATGCTCGTGCGTTGTGAGGAGCCAGCCCATGGGCTCCGCGAATGTCTCAGAACATGGTTAGAACGTGTATACCATTTAGAATCTCGAACATTAAGTATTAACGGTAACCGACCATTGGAAGGCACGGCTCCTGATTGGCTGGTTTATAATGTTCGGGCTCCGACCTTACAAAATATTTGGAACCTGATAAGATATACACGTTCTCGCTATGTTCGGACCGTGTAAGCACTCAGCACCATGACGCATGGATGGGTTCCTCACAACGCACGAGCATTGGCCTAACATGCGGCATGCTCAACCTTTGTGCGGTTTCCTAACATCGCGGCGAAAACGTGACCTATGTTGTGCCGCCGAACATACCATCGTTAATCTCGATTGTCAGGGTCCCGAACATAGTAATACCATATGAATTTTTCATGCTATGGTAAGTCTCCGTAATTAGCCGCGAGATGATATACTCGTTCTGCCTATGTTAGGCCGATGTTCGAATTTCCCACAATCCGCTTTGTCCGCAGTGTTGTTTGTCCATGAGCAGCGCGTATGCACCTTCCAGTTTCGTATCTGGGACTACTTCCTCTCGTCTTGCATCTGCTGTATCGTCGGGTGGCCTCGTATCAGCCTCGATGACACGCCGAGCTCAAGATGGACGTACCACAATGACTTGCGCAAGTTCTCGAAGTCGCGCAGTGATCAGTGGGCCCGTCGCTTGTGAGTATCTAATGCAACCAAGGGCGAGCTTGCCAAAGTTAGCGGCGAAACCTAAAGTGCTCTCTGCCATTTCCCAGTAGTAGCAGATGCAACCCTTGTTGAAGATGAGACTAGGAAACAATTTATTGCTCTACAAAGCCATCTCATTCTCCTTTCGCCGTGGTTAATGTGCGTGAAGAGATTCGTGAGGCGTGCGTCCGACGTGCGCCTGAACCACAGGCATCGAACCATTGATCCACGGTTCCATCGAATAGCTCACCCCTAAGGAGCAAACCGGGTGTCTGAGGACGACACCTGCGGCCAAAGTGCGGCTCAACCAGAGCAGCCAGCCATTCCGATCCTCCTCCTCCGAGAATCCACGGACACCGGAGTAAGAGAGACGCCCTAGAACGACGTCGGAGATTTGCAGACTCATCTGATTCTCAGGCCCGTTCACGCGAGCCGCGCGTAAGAAAAAGGAACGGAGTCATCCCGTCGACCATGACGAGCAAGGATGGCGGCAATGTCTGGCATTCCGACCTGTTCTGCGAGAAGAGTGCGAGCTCGAGTTGAGCGGTGATACCGTGTCACTTACCTCGCGTCCGTTCCCGGTCTACCGGAAGACGTTGCGAATGTCAAACATCCAGTGAAGATCCTCCATCGCACATCAAGCTCCACGAGCTTTTCATTCCGCGTATCTCGAGGCTGCTTGCAGCGACATCGGCGAGGAGATGGCGGTAGACGCGAAAAGTCGGAAGGATACAGACGCCCGTGCTACGTCGCGGTGTGACGCGCGGGCAGCGCGCGGGTTCGCTTCAAAAGTCTTCCTCCTCCTCCGCTAGCGTACATATACCTCCCCGGCGTCGCCTACGCAGCCGGCGTATTATTTTCTAATCATGCAGCTAGCTCGAGGTGCGTCTGGACTATATGTTGAAGAGTGTTGCTGAGGCTAGTCCCAGCTCGTCCTGCGGTCGGCAGAAGTCTGGTCAGGTCTCGGCCGACGGGCCTCCCGGTTCACACCCGACTCCAGGTTTTGAGGAGACCAGCATCCACGGACTCTACAGAGTCCGTACCCATCGTACGTGCCAGGAACTCCGTCTCCGGGACGCCAGTTTTGACGAGCAGTCGCAGGTTCCTCCCAAACCGCCAATATCATACTGGCACCGCTTCCTCCAGACCGTCGGAGGCGTCACCCTCGTCACATTGGGCACCCTTGGCGTTTTTTATTACTACGCCCAGAAGGACAAGTCGCCCGGAGAGCAGCTCCCCCATGATCCGAGCAAGAAGACGTTGGTGGTGTTGGGCAGTGGCTGGGGCGCGACCAGCCTCCTCAACTCGATGGACACGACCGACTACAACGTGGTGAGTCTCAGTCTTGACTCTGGAACGAACCCCAGGGCCGGGTTACATGTTGAAGGTTTGCGCGTGTGCGAATTGCCCGTGACCGCGAACTAGGCGGCCGCCGAGGCCTCACGCGTGTCCAGAGCAGTCGTTTCCGCCATACCAGACCTCTGCCTGTGTAGGTCTTTCAGAAGGGGGTATCCCACTTTGGGGGATAGCTAACTGGGGTAGAAGTGACTTCGGGAAGGCACCGTACGTTGCTCTTCGCCCCTCTTTGACTAGCAGTATTTCGTGACCCGTGCCAGCGAGTGCCCTTTGGTGTTGTACATCGCGCTATTGGGGTTGTCTCAAAGTTTAACGCTCTACTTCGGAAGAACACCCGTCCACCTGCTGACTCTACCCCGCGCAGATTGTGATCAGCCCGAAGAACTACTTCCTTTTCACTCCTCTCCTACCCAGTGTTGCCGTGGGCACGCTTAGCCCGCGTTCGATTCTTCAACGTGCGTAGCTGTTCCTTTTCTCCGTTGACGGATGCTGATGCGCAAGTCTAGCGACGCGCTATGTCACACGTCACAAAAAGCGCCAAGTGGCTGTCATCGAGGCGTCTGCTACAAGTGTCGACGTACGTTGACCTAGACTTTCGTTCAGAGATATACCTAACTCAACAAATCATAGCCGATTGCGAAGACAGTCAAATTTGAAGGTATTTCTCTCCGTGTTGCGCAGCTACGTCTCAGACTCAACTTGTGGCCGTATAGATACGTCTGAAATCCAGGGCCTGGTCTCTACGACGACAGTAAACTATGACTACCTCGTCTTCGCCGTGGGCGCTGAGGTGCAGACTTTCAACATTCCGGGTGTCAAGGAGAACGCGTGCTTCATGAAGGAACTCGAGGATGCGGAGCATGTGCGTCGACCCTGATGTTTGCGAATTGCGCAGTGTCTGACTGTTCGGATGGTAGATGCAACGCCGTTTCCTAGACTGCCTGGAGACCGCCGCTTTCCCAGGCCAGACGCCTGATGAAATCTCTCGCCTCTTGCACATGGTACATACAGAAATCATCGCAAGAGACCATTAGCTCATCTCCTTGATTTCAGGTCGTCGTCGGTGGAGGTCCGACCGGTGTAGAAGTCAGCGGTGAGCTTCACGACTTCCTCGAAGAGGACCTGCGCTCGTGGTACCCGGAACTCGCGAGCAACGTGCGCATCACGCTCGTCGAGGCGCTGCCCTCGGTGCTGCCCATGTTCAGCAAACAGCTGATCGACTACACCGAGTCGACGTTCAAGGAGGCCAAGATCGACATCCTCACGAAGACAATGGTGAAGGAGATCAAGGAGAAGAGCGTCGTATTGCAGATGCCCGACAAGAGCGTCGTCGAGGTGCCCTGCGGTCTCGTTGTCTGGGCAGCGGGCAACAAGCTGCGCAAGGTCACGCAAGACCTGATGGCGAAATTCCCGCAGGCGCAGACGAACCGCCGCGGAATCACTGTTGACGACCACCTCCGCATGGTGGGCGTGCCGGACAAGTCGATCTTCGCGATCGGTGACTGCACGGCGACATCGTACGCACCGACTGCACAGGTCGCATCGCAGGAGGGCGCGTACCTTGCGCGTATCATCGCGCAGCTCGCAAAGCGGGACGAGCTCGCCGCACGCCTGAAGGCGCTCCAGGAGACGCCCGCTGTGGAGGAGACGAAGCAGGAGATCGAGAGCGTGCAGAAGCAGATCACGAAGGCGGAGAAGATGCGGCCCTTCCACTACTCGCACCAAGGCTCTTTGGCCTACATCGGGTCGGATAAGGCTATCGCTGACCTGCCTTTCTTCAACGGCAATGTGAGTCCTGTGTGTGCAGCTTGTGATGTCACTGCTGAATGCCGCATGGTATATATAGCTGGCCACCGGAGGTGTTGCAACGGTATGTCTGTTCAAGCGTGTCGATCGAACGTGTCTCTGACTAGTGCATGCGCAGTACCTGTTCTGGCGCAGCGCCTATCTGAGCACCCTGTTCTCCCCACGGAACCGTGTCCTCGTTGCGAACGATTGGATCAAGGTCAAGCTCTTCGGGCGGTGAGGGTCTCTACTTCTCGTGTGTTATGCACGTATGCTGATGCTCGCTGGTAGTGACGTGAGTCGGGAGTAAACATAAGCACGGGTATCGCCGGGGTGCTACGGACACGGACGCGAGGATGAGCATGACATAGAGGTATTTACGACCCGTTTAGTTACCTAGACTTTAGTTACTGGCTGCTACACATTTCCTTGGTTGGATTTGTTATTGTGACGGCATAGTCCGTCCTGTTGCAGTATGCTTCGCTCCAGCCCGTTCGCAACTTGGATGACAGTCCGACCGCGAAAATGCTACCATCGACAGTCCCTCCAGCGTCCTGAACTGTCTTCGCAGGGATTACTGCTGATACCAGAGGCCGATCCGGATCTGTAGCAGATGGTGCGTTTCCACATCTGCTCAACAGCTGCTGCAAGCATTCCTAGGCATTTCACCTCAGCTGACGTACTCTGTGAGTTCCTTTGTCTCGGTCTCGCATGAAGTGTAAGCCAACGATACTGTTATGCAGATATATGTATAGGGATTCCTGCCACGGTACGCGTGGCATTGAACTGCTAGACATGTGCGCAATAGCTGACCACAAACCTAGGTCTCGTCGCTCACGGTCGCATTCGGTGGTACGGATAGGTTGAGGTATCGCTAGCCTTATCGGTGCTATGGCCCACCGAGTAAAGGGTAACGTCGAACAAGTCACCGGCATACCGACTGCCGACTCAGTCATCGATGCTGGCTATGTTTGTGTGTACATTATCTGATACTTTCTTTTACGGGTTGGCACACGCAGCTCCCTTCGAGTGGAATGGGATGGCAATCCCTCCGGCGCAGCTTGCTGCGCATGCAGAAGGAAGATGCGGATGTAGACGGCGGTGCCGCTCACAATACCTAGGCTCCTGGCAATCCCAACGCTTCCCGAAGCCGAATTCGAGGTCAATACCAACTACGTGTGTCGTCCGCACCTAGAATGCGTGTACATATGGCGTACTGGTCGTGCGCGCATGCGCAGTCGTCCCGGCAAAGCGGCTAGTCGTTGGAGTCCGACGAGTGGGCGTGTACTGTTTGTCGTTCGAGTTAAGGCCGGTAAGTTCGGCCTTTCGAGTGCTCCTTATATCAAACCACCAGGGTTTTCCTACTCGGGACCAGAATTGATCCGCTGCGGGACGCTTTCAGCTATTTGGCCGCTAGCGCACAATGTGATAGGTTACTACTGCTGAGACGGCGAGAGGCACCGTACGGAAGTGAAGGATGCTTGCCGCCCTCGCCCGCCCCCGATGCCGCTGCGGGAAGTGCGTTGTTGGGATGCTGTGGTGAGTCGCACACAATGGGAAGAACACGAGGCTCACAAGGTCAGATAACAGGAATAGATGTCTCGTGCATACGACGGTTAGCTTCAAAGACTGAACTGTAGACCGAACGTTGTCTGGTTTTTAGCGACTACAGGCTCAAAGCCCAACGCTCCCATCAGGTTCAACGATCGGCGGATAACTTTGTGGAACCTGGTGCTCGCCGACGCAGTTGATCGGAACCCCGGCATTACCGAGCGCCACCACTTGGAGCGATGCCTAGGCGAAGTAGTGATTTCCGTGCTATGTCCGTGCTCGAAATTCCACGTAAGTGTCATAGTATATGCCCGACAGTCGCTATTGACAGTGAGGTTTCTTGTGATTGGGGTCCACTATATACCGGCAGTCGCCTGCATCCGCAGATATGGAGACGGATGATAGGTTGTCTGGCCGCGACATATTACACTGGACAGGGCAGACTACGCAATCAGCAAACATCCAAGTGATTGCAGTGTACAGGTGTGAGGTAAGGATCGTGAACACGATCGTAATCACGGTTGATTGTGTGGTTTAGTCCCGAATCCGCACTCTGTGTGAGTGGTCCGCAGTAAAGCGCGGCGCCCAACGCTTGGCTTGGTCTCATTGCCCACACTCATGCTATATAGACTACGGTGACTCGGTTGCACTGGTCACCTCACCTTCCCCAAGTTCCCATACGTCTCCTTCTTCCCTCTTCTTCCGATTTATTCAGTGCTAACTATCTCTTGCAAGTAATGAGCGCTCCAAGCCATAGTGGGGCGTCCTCATCGTCCTCGTCACCCTCGACTTCATCGTCCGCCTCCAATTCTTCAAATTCCTCCTCGTCTTCATCGTCCGATCACAGTTCGGGTGGCGCCGACAACTCTGATGTCGTCGTCGTCTATGTGGACATCTTCCTGTTGTGCGTGCTAGGCCTGCTCGTATTTTCCGCCCTGCCTAGGGCGATCACGCGGCTCTCCCGTGCCTCCGAGTGGGCAAGAGGTCTCTGCTTATATAGAGTGGACGTTTCGGGTGACGAATCGCGGAGGCGTCGCGGACAGCCACCTGTAGACCGATCTGGCGAAGTCAAGCCTTACGATAACGTCGAAGCCAACGTTCAGGCGGTCGACTCGCGCGGTATCACGGGCCCATATGTCGGCGGGCAATCCTCTGGGTCGACGCTGCATCTCATTGCATCTGGGCAAAGGGATTCGCGCCCACCCAAGCACATGCCCACCTGGGCGACGAGGTTTCCCGGCCTCAGCTGGTTGCTGTCCATTCAGGTCCTGTTCGGCTATTCAATTGGCACCCTCTTCGTGCTTTTGACCTGGCTCGATGTCATTTTATACGCCGGGCTGGTTGATAGTAATCCGTTTTCAAGCCCAGGAAGAGCTGGTATCCTGGTCGTTAGCCAGCTTCCTTTGGTCTACGTACTGGGCACGAAGAACAATGTCGTTGGAACGCTCATTGGACAGGGATACGAGAGGGTGAGTGCGCTTTTCCGCAGTAAAATACCGTCCACCCACTCATAGCGCAACAGCTCAATTATTTGCATCGCTTTGTCGGTCGTTTCCTTATTTTTGCCATCAACGTCCATGCTATTGGGATCAGTACGTAAATTCCCAACGAGACCGTCTACAACGTATTCATATGATGGGCAGTGTACGAATTCACAAGCACCGGCGCATGGTCGACGGTCATCGTGTTAGCCCACATCCGATGGGGGCTGGTCGGCCTTGTCTGTATGGACTTCCTTTTCCTGTTTTCTGTCAGCAGTTTCAGGCAGAGGTTCTACCACGTCTTCTACGCGTCTCACATCGTCTCTGCTATCATCCTACTCATCGCTGTAAGTGCGCATGTCACCTTCGTCGACAACTTGCTCACCTTCTCGCGTAGACGTGCTTCCACAACCCCACCGCTCAGCCGTACATTTTTTCTGCTGTTGCTATCTACGCTCTCGATCGTGTCCTACGCGTCCTCAAATCGCGCGTCACCACTGCGCATCTGCATCCGATACTCGAACTCAGCATGGTTCGCGTGCAAGTCCACGGTGTCAACGGCGGTTGGCGTGCTGGCCAGCACGTACGAATCAAGGTTCTCTCGATAGGCATGGGTATTTACGGCTGGATGGAACCCCACCCGTTCACCATTGCGTCCGTTGCCGAGGTAGGTAATTTTGCATCATCAGGTCGCATGTATGATGTTTACACTTCACAGAACGCTAACGGCGAGGGGTTGACTCTCATGTGCAAGAAGGCCGGCGATTGGACTGGAAAGCTGTACACGTTGGCGCAAGGCAACAAGGACAGCGAGTCACAGATGGGCAAGGACGTGACCGTTTTAGTAGAAGGCCCATACGGTTCGTACTATTCAGTGTCGCGGTGTATGTGTAGTATTGATTCCATTTTTCTTAGGTGGTCCTGGAAACACGGTTCTCGCAAGCTACTCGGGTGCTATGCTCGTGACAGGAGGCAGTGGACTGACCTACGGTCTGTCTGTGATCGAAGAGTTTTTGCAGATGGGGTTGCAGGGCACCAGCTCCGTCTTAGTCGCTGATTTGATCTGGAGTGTGCCGAGTCCTTGTAAGGCATCCTTCGAACCATTGCGTGATGCGTTAGGCTGACAATTTGACAAGCCAACCTTTTCCCGATGATACCTCACTTCACAAGACTACTTGAGCAAGCCGAACAGGCCAACATCTCTCTTCGTATATCAGTCTCTTATACCCGTGCTGTCACGGCCAACGCTCTGCAGGGATTGGAGGTCCTCCCTCCGGGTCTCACACTCGCACCCGGTCGCCCTCGCCTAGAGAAGACCCTCGAAAGCGTCGTCGAACGTACCTGCGAGGCGTACAGCGACGGCAAAGGCTGGCCGACTGGCGTTTTCGTCGGTGCGTGCGGACCCCTGGCTCTGACGGAGGAAGCGGGAAACGCCGTCCGTAACTTGAACCGGGACAAATTCCACGCCGTCGGCGGAATCGAGGTGCAGGAAGAGTGCGTACTGTTGCCATTATCGTTCACATGTAATCGCTCACGTGTATGCGATACCAGGAACTTCTCTTGGTAGACTGGTCTGGCAGCCCTACAGACGTGCGAGAACGTCAGCTATCAGTGGATGGCGAACATAGATTCTGCGCATATTACGATAGCATATGGTTCATCTGGACACACTTCTGTTGATCGCCTGCTGCTGCCCGTGCCCATGCTGTCTGGACAGCTCGGACCTAATGTATCCTCAGGCTCTCCGACTCTATCGCGCTCGTGGTCCGCGGCTCGATTGCTGACATTGTAGTTACAACGCGGTCGATACTGTCTGCTGTTATTCTTCAGTGTTGCACTTAGAGACCAGACTCGGACGTATAATGTATCGCTGGTTGGATATAATGCGGTTGTCGGATAAGCCAGGAGACTCATCGACATGTCCAATCATGCAATGTGAAATAGCCGGGTCCTGGACCGCCGTTCCCGTTACGAGTGACGGACTGAGGGCTGCTATCTCTGGGCACCCTTCCTACCATGCCGTAGCTGGATCTGGCAGCCAGTAATGCTCCCAGAATGCTCCTATGTGCTAGAGGCATGCACGTGGCTCACCAGTGTGAGACCGTGTTCCGAACCGAGGCCAGATATCCACCACGGCGTATAGAACAGGCTCAGCTGGCACATCGTGTTTCTGCTGGACACAGGGATGCATCGTGGCGCCGCTGGCACTGCAACGAAGATGAGGGATCAAGACCATGATGGTCTGTGACGAGAACATATGTGTCTGCTCCATCGCTGTGATGCGAATTTCCCTCATCCCCGATGTCCACAATGGGAAAGAAGTGAGAATTCAGTCTTCTAGTTACTGGTTATACTGGTGATACACGAGGTCCAAGAAAAGAGCGAATCTTCAAGTCATAATGTCCATGCGTCGCGTCCGCAGCCATCTATTTCCTCTATGGCGGGAGTACAAGGGAGTCAGCTGCTATAGTCTATATTCCTCACCAGGAGAAGTTCCTGGATAATACAGCCGATCAGATCCGATGCACAAGCATACGAACAACTAATACAACTTACTCCTCCTGTAGCTCTACTCCGCCGACGGATTTGAACTTCTGTCGATCAAATGTTCTGACGGCATTCCCTGCGTGCTCAGTGAGGGGCGTTGGCCCGCACGCGCCAACGAGGACGCCGGACGGCTTCTCCTGCAACTCGCCACAGACTGCGGATGTCCGATCGACGACGCCGAGCAACAGTCGCTCGAGAGGCGGTCGGCCTGGCGCGAGGTCGAGGCCGTCCGGCAGCGCTTGAAGGGACCGCATGAGATCGTCTGCTTGAGCACGCGTGTAAAAGACAGAGATCTGGAGGGCAACTCCGGATGACCGGGCGCGCTCGAGGAATCGGCTGAAGAGGGGTACCATAGGGAATAGAGAAGCTACACCAGCGGGAGACGTATCAGTGGCAAAGTAGTAATCCTTATCTCGAACGATGCTCACAAGGACCCCGAACGCTCCATACAAGCTCAACTACACGAGCGCTGCTGGACCCGGCCGCGCGCATCTCGAGGAGCTCCTCGACTGTAGACAGTGCATAAGTGATCCCGCTGCCGCCCGCGATGATCATTGCGCCGGAGAAGCTGGTGATGACGGTGTTCCCTGGGCCGCCTGTGCTGCGTCGTCAGTGATACGCATATGCTGCGAGCGGGATGCGAACGCACCATATGGACCGTCTAGCAGGACCGTGACTTCCTTGCCCTTCGCTGCTTCGCCGTCGCTGCCTCGCTGCGCTAGGGCATACAGCTTTCCAGTCCAGTCGCCGGCCTTCTTGCACATCAGAACGAGGCCTTCCCCGCTCGGGTTCTGTGCATGGGGAATAGCTCAGAAAGACTATTGACATGCGCGAAAAGGATCGCTCACCTCGCTTACGCTCGCGATAGTGAAAGGATGTGGCTCGGCCCAGCCCCAGACGCCCATTCCCAGCGATAAGACCTTGAGTCGTAGATGCTGTCCGGCGCGCCAGCCCGCGTTAATGCGAGGGATCTCTATCCGCGCCATGCCCAGCTCAGGTATAGCGCGTAGATGTGCAGTCGCCACGCGCGTTTTGACGACGCGGAGAATGCGGTCCAGGCCATAGATGCCTACAGCCGCGAAGACGTACGGGCGAGCCTGCGGGCTGTGCATGCATGCCTAGAGGTTCGCGATCAGGAGTGGCTCGCATGAGAACGTAGATCAAATGCGTACCGCCGCCATCATCAAGATCGAGGCGATGACATGGGTAACGTAGAAGACGTGGTAAAACATCTCGCGGAATGTGCTGATGGACAGAAGGAAGAGCACGTCCATGCAGACTAGTGCGACTAAGCCCCACTGAAGGTGCGGGACGGTGACCACCACCCTCCAGCGACCGGCGCTCACGAACTCGTACACTGGACAGGACGTGCTGTCAAGAATTGCGAGGACTAAAAGTATAGAAAGGACGTACAGAGGCCGATGGCATGGGTGTTGATCGCGAGGATGACTAGACGTCCAACGGCGCGGTGGAGGTAGTTGAGCTGTGGAAAGCATCATTCAGCTTCGTCTCGCCAATGGAGGTAAGCGTACTACCTACCCTTTCGTAGCCTTGGCCTACCAGTGCGCCCACGATATTGTTCTTCGTAGCCAGAACTACGACGAGCGGCACTTGACTGACGGTGACCAGGCCTGCTCGCGCGGGCTTTGTAAATGGGTTGCTATCGAGCAGACCAGCATAGAGGATGACGCCGATGTAAGCGTAAATCAACAACAGGCGCCCGATCGAGTATCCCTGTCGGACTTGCATGCCCAACAACCAGCTAAGACCCGGGAATGCAGACGACCACGAAGACATGTGCCTCTGCGGGGTGCCCGAAGACGGGCTCCCAGCTTCCAGGGTCGATGCACTCGCATCCACTGCCCGGACGCTGACGTTGCTCTTCTTCTCGGATCCGCCATCGTTGGAGGCTACGCGAGACGGCGTGGCACTGGTCTTGGTCGCCCTGGAGTAGAGGAACAGACCTCGGGTCCATTCCGAGAGGCGCGTGAGGCGCACCACCGCTCGCGGGAGGGCAAACAGTGTGAAAGCACCGAGGACGGAGAGGAGTAGGACGTCGACATGGAGGACTAGTGAAGCTGACGGATTGTGCCCCTCCTTTGAGTGACCTTGGGAGCTCATGGCGACTGGAAAGTAATGTAAGACAGCGCAAGTGGGATCTGCTCAGTGCTCCAACACAGGGCGAGTGATGAGACCCAGGGTATCCAGCGTACCGAAACCGCATGGGTGTGCATTATATACGACCGGCATTTGCACGCAGCGGTAGTGGACAGCTCTGGCCATGCGGGAAGAAAAAGGAAGAAGGCCGATGGCGAGATAGGATCGCGTTGGTCCACATCTAGATCGACCTCACCGTGTTGCTTGCTGTTGCTTGACGCTTCCAAAGTTCCAATGCCCGTCTGGCAAAGTCCGCCGCCGGCTGATACAGTAGTTTTGTTCCGGTTTAGTTGCAGGATGCCAAGATCACCGTCTGGCGCACAGAACCTGTACAGTCAAAAATAACACGCACAGCTTCATCCACATATTCGCGACGACATAGCTGGACATGGCGGGAGCCAAGCATCTTGCGCGCTGCGGAACCACTCCTAGCACGACCGCTTAGACAACGAAGGTTCATTGCATGGGGGTACTTACCTCGAATTAGCAGAGCGAGGTCGCTCGCCCGCAATGCGCAGTCGGCAACCTCTTTCGGGAGTGTGAGCTGCCCGAGGGAGCCTCTCGCGCAATCGCTTCAGCGCTCAGCGATCATACTCAGGCTGTACCATGAGATGCAGATCTTCTCCCATCAAGCCGCCCCCATGTGCTGGGGGAAAGTGCGGGTGAACGATTTCCAGTTTGGGTTCTCCACGTCGTGGATGCTCCCCGACTGAGATGAGATAGACACTGAAGAAGCGAGTGAGCAACGCGGAACGCAGGTTATCGGTACGTCGTGAGCCATATGCTGACGGTAGGAAGCTTACTCCGATAGTCTCAGCAACCAACTGTGGTTGAGTAATCCAAGTCGTGTATGTCGCTCAACATGACTGCAGATTGCAGAACCCGCGCGCGATTATTGAACTGGATTCATGGTATAGTCCGAGCCTTCGGTAACAGCCTTGGTAACGGCAGTGCCACCCGCGCCCGAGTACCCCGACAAGTCTCGGGAAAGCTTGATGCATGACCCAGGGTACTTAGAAGAGAACCGCATCCCAAAGGCTTTGTCACCCGCAAAGTCGACGGTATTGCCAAGGCATTCTGACAAAATCAAGGTGGGATTGATAGCGGAAATGACATATTAGATGTGCCATACACGATGCTGATCTGGAACTCACGAAGCTTTCATAAGCCCGTCCGCGATCGACGCGTGGAGGCCAGGTGGACTCATGGCCGATGCGCGCGCAATGAAGACACTGACTTTGACATTCAACTTCTGCCGCCTGCGGATGAATGCTCAGCGCTGCGAGGGCCTGCGCGGTACCCTGACTGAAGCCAACGTAGCTGAGACTCGGCTCCTTCGTCACGTCTAGGATGTATTCAATCGAATCTGGGATGTCATGCCAGGCGAAGTTATCAATGCTGTAGTTCCAGAACTTGGTGCTGTTTGGGTTGTGGTGGTTGCTCTTCTTGGAATACTTGTTCCCGCGATTATTTCCCAGCCATACATCGAAGCCGAGCTCGACAGGTCTGTACAACATACATCGAAGGCTCGACGCCTCACGAACGCGAGGGAGGAGGAGAAGGAGGAGGAGGGATTCAATCAGCCGCCGACCGCTGTCGCCGCGTTCTTGCTCTGCGTTGGACGCCGAACCTGACTTGTCAGATGCCAAGGGCCAGGTATACAGGTCCACATAATCGACGCGGAGCTTCGAAAGCCACTTCGGCAGGTTCTTGATAGCTTTGGCTAGTGATACATTTGGCGCACTTAGTGAGTAGCAGCGCCCCAAATGAGTAGTAGCGGAGGCTTACCCTAGTAGCTTTGTGGTCAGGTTGATTGTTTCCTAGTGAGTCATATTAGACTCCCTGAGAGCCGTCCCTACAGACTGTTCATTTCTATAACAAGTCAATCAGTGGTCTTGTGTCATCCTGAACTCACCGTAGTTCGCAACGACGATTCCTCAGGCCTCAGGATGTTCAGGTGTTCCTGTGAGGAAGACAGAGCACTCAGCAGTATCGATGGAGAGATATCCGGCCCGGTCGAGCGCAACCTCAGGCTCGACCATTGTCGTTACTATATGTTCGCCCTAGCCGGACACGCCCATCCAACAGCTGTGAATGGAGTCACTGACGAAGAGCTCAAAGATTGTCAACCCGCAGACGTACCCACTACCGACCACAGGGACAGACGTGCCATCGTTCAGGGTGCCAAACCGCTTGTCGCTGACAACGGGCGTCCGAGTACCGGTCAGTTATTGCAACTAGCGCGGCAATTGTCAAACTTGACTTTCAAGACCAATGCCTCCTTTGTGGCGTAGGTGGCGTAGGATCCGCCCATTGCCTTGTGCAACATTATTGCAAAAGCAGCTGGATGCTCCCACGAAGCCATCGTGGGGCTGAAGAGGGCTGGAGGAGGATGGCGAGGCGACGTGACACGCAAGATTGAGTGAGTATCCCCGGACTCAGTGCTAGTCACCTCCGTTGCGCCCATCGAACCCAATGTCGCCTGGCAGAGGTCGGGCACGAACTCGTCATCCAAACGTTGTCTGCGAAGCTTATCCCGATAGTCCAGCAAATGACCACGTATGAGCAACGCGAGTCGTGAATCGTGCTGGGAAGTACGGAGTGTCTTGTCTGATGAGCCTTCTGTGAAAGCCGCGCCCGAGCATCCCGACAAGTGTTGGAAACTCGATGTATGGACATCGCAGCTCAAATCCGGAAAGAATGCTACTTCCTTGAAAGCGGCCTGCCAGTGACGGAACCCAGAAGTCATTGGGGCCGTGTAAATGATACATGTTCATTCTGCAGATTCTACGTAGCTGGCTAGAGGAGGACTGCGAGACGGTCGCACCCGGCAGAGCCGCTCAGCATAATCGAGAAGCCAAAGAGACTGCATTTTATATTGGTAAATACCTTAAAGTAGATTGACAAAGCGTACGCACAGTGTGCCAACAGCAGTTGTGGATGGTGGATGAGAGAGGCGACATGTCAACATCTCGCCGAGTCGACGCCGACTCAGCGCTCGGCCGCGAGGGTGGTACTCCTTATATGGCAAGTGCATGCTTCTTTCTGGAGCGACGTGGCACAGGATCTCAAGTTGTACATCCAGCGGTTCTACAAAACAGCATTTGTAGTATATGGCAGGCCAACACTCCCAAGCCATGATTGATAGGTGAGAAATGAGTGCTTATGGCGCACTGTATTGTCCACTGAAATTTTTTCATTGCAGTACGATGCTGGTCGTCGACGTACTACATACGCCGGTGTACTGACCCTCACCATCGAAATGATTATTATGGGTCGCTGCTGTCAAGGGGACACGCGCACTTCAAACCTTCATCTAGAACTTTGGTATGGTATACATGACTAGAATCCACACTAAATTGCGGTCAGTTTCTACAGCTCATGGCATGCCGCTATGTACAGCCTGAGGCTGACACGGATACATACAACGTAGGCGGACGATCATGAAGACCCCTCTGTCGTCAGCCTCGCGTGCCTCCCAGTATGATATGGACCGGGATTCGAGACGATCTTTGTTCGTTCCCTTAGGCTCCGTTTCCTATTCGTAGTCATGGTGGGTTCTCTCGGCGAGACCATTCGGCGATCCATCAGGTGCAAGTCGAGAGAAAGGAGCAATGTCCTGGCTCTCATGCCTGAAGGCCATACTTTCGAGGAGCATAGGGAAGAGGTAAGCATATTGCGAATTCCCATGTACTCTAAGCTGACGGCGATTCATATGAGTATCGCTTCTTAGCCCCTGCGATACAGGTAGAGGATCCTCCTCGGGCTGAACGTCGGCGTGAGACTGCGTTACGCGCTTACAAGAAGCTCGCTGAACACCTCAAGAACGCTGCCCATGGGTCTGACGAACCGGAAAAGAAAGCCTTCGGATTCACGAGGGTGGTACGTGCACTCGGTATGATGGTGGCACAACATTACCAACCGATCTGAACAGAACCGCAACGACATAACGAAACGATGCCTCACTCAGGCTCACACACCTGTCGACGTGGCACAACTCTTAAGGGACGAACCTCAGGACGCGGATCCCAAGTATGTCAACAAGCTTCTCGATTGGGCGGAGGACAAGGCAAGGGACCATTGATTGGACGAGGGCATGTTCTAACAGATGCGTAGGTGTCAGAGGTGGCCAAGCCTCTCGAAGTCCCAAGTCAGCCAGCCATGGCCGAATCGCCCACCCTATGTCCCATCCCTCTCGATGCGCCTTCTCTAGACCCTGAGTCCGAGCTGAAGGCGGCGGTAGCACCCACTGATAAGCCTTCAGCGTGTGCATCCATGGTCGATGGATTTGACGTGAAACAGCCGCCTTTGAATGTACCTGCTCTCAAAGCGTCCGATTTCCGTCCATTGAAGCTTTTGGGGAAGGGAGGCCAAGGGACGGTGCTCCTGGTGGAGCACAAGGTGACAGGGAGCGTCCACGCTCTCAAGGTCATGGCGAAGTATCCGGAGCGAGCCGAGGACAAGGAGAATAGGTCGCAGAAAGACAGGTCGAGAGAGCATCCGATTGAGGACGACCAAGGGATGGACGCGCGCAGAGTAGAGAAGACGCACAAGAGAATGTACGAAGAACAAGCCATTCTACGGTCCCTGGCTCTCTCCCCGAGAGAACAAACCTCGTGTTTGCTCGATTTCGAAGCGTCATTCCATGACAATGCACACTTCTTCTTTCTTACGGTGAGCTCATAGTTGTCGCCGCTCCGACCTTCTCTGACAATGCTGACTGCGCAGGGCTATTCCCCCCGAGGGGATCTATGGACCGAGATAGAGCGCTACAAGACGACCGGTATGCCCGAGAATATGATCCTAGGTTACGCTGCTGAGATCGTGCGTAACATCGTACTTCCGTGATCAATGTCTGACGGATCGGATACCGCGTTCAGGTACATATACTCTCGGTGCTTCACTCGTTCTTTGTTCTACACCGCGACTTCAAGCCGGACAACATTCTCATCGACGCACGTGGGCATCTGCTCCTCGCCGACTTCGGTATTTCGCGCGCTTTCGAGCTTCCTCCGGATGCTCGACCGTGGGTCAAGGATGAACCAAGCGCTTCGCTCAAGCTCAACGTACCGGTACTGGTGAAACATGTGTCTGGATCGTCTCTCGTCCTTTCGATGCCTTCGTCAGGCGATGCGTTGGAGTCCGCTGACTCCGCTGCGATGGATCATATCCCTGGTGCGCCGACGCCTGCCAATACGGAAGCTCTTGACAGCCCGAAGCGCGCTGGTTCCAGTAAGACAGAACTCTATCGTGAGCAAGAGGACCGAGATGCCCTCGCACGACGTGCCCGTTTGCACGCCGAGGTCGAGGAGCTCCAGAAGCGCAAGAACTATCTGCGCAAGCTCGTGCGCGCGCAGCTTTCCGCTCGACATATGACCCTCAATGTCTGCGGCACACCGGGATTCGTCGCTCCGGAGGTGTACAGGGGACCAGCCTACTCGTATGGCGCGGATGTGTGGGCTGCGGGGGTGATCATCTACAAGATGGCATTTGGGAAGCTGCCGTTCGGACTGACGAAGAAGATGGAGATGCAGGATAGGGTGAAGCAGACATGTCTTAGCCCTCTCGAGTTCCCAGAGGACGGTCGCAGAACTGTCAGCGCTGAGTTCAAAGATCTGCTGTCGCAGGTATACGGTCGTAACTTGTTCACTTGATCCAGGAGCTGACTCGGCTCCTGCAGATGCTCGAGAAAGACCCATCGAAAAGGCCACAAGCGAAAGACCTCAAGAGCCACCCTTACTTTGCTGTTATGTATGTCTTGCGTATTTCTGTTTGTGCGATACCTAACCTTCTTGTGCCTTAGCCCCTGGGACGCGATTGCTCGACGAGAAGGTTCTGGTCCCGGTGCTCACGCACATGCTGCGCCAAAGAAGGCGGACAAGAAGATCACTATCCCAGAAGGGACGCTCTATCCACCCGGAGAGGACCCTGCCCCGTGGATGGATTGGATGACTGCCGCCTTTCGTGACAAGCTCGTGTCCAAGCAGACTCAGGCTCAGCAAGATGGGTCCCTAGGTGTAGCCGCTCCGACCATGCCGAGGTCGAGGTCATTCGGGTTGATACAGAGATGCAGGTCGCTGTGGAAGCTCTCTGCGTCTCAAAGGAGTCTGAATGCTGGCGTCGAGGTCGAGAGCTGAACCGTCGGAAGAGTCTGGCATATACCCCTTCTTTCCTGGCCTCCGTTCGATCTAATATTATATTGGGGGTCGCGACTTTGCTCCTTGTTGACCGCCCTCTCCAATGAACAACAACTGTCTTGCGTTCCTGGTGATCCACAAGCGTTTAATGCGAAATGGTTGGTGTGAGAAGACCTCTAACCCGATGTTGTGTGTTCGGTGCCAGCAATTTGGCCTCACGTGCATGGTCGTTCCAGCGCATTAGTATCTAGGTCGTTCATAGGCCTTTCTGGCGGGGGTCATCATGAAGTCGAATGTCGTAGGCCTGTAAATGCGCCAGACGAAGCCTGCCAATGAGGTTGCAAGCCTTCGAGCTTGGAGGCCAGTGCACTCGAGGCACCTCAGCAACCACTACCCTGCACGACGGCTAGCACTCGATTTCTTCGTAGAACCTTGCCAGGAAGCTAGCGGATCATTCTACTCGCCAGACATCACCGTCAGCCAAGCGCATAGTAGCGGTGCCATTCTCGAGACAAGCAACGCGAATTTGTAGTCGCAATGGCGAAGGAGAACGCTGATGATGCCCCGCCACATCCTTGGGACACCGCAAATCATAGCCGAGTTACACAAGAAAGCCATAGATCCTCAAACAAGAGTGTACCGCGTACATCCACCACATATTCTACTCATCCCCGCGCAACCCATCGGCCGCTCAAATTCTTTTACCCCACGCATGCCGTCTTCACTCCTCACCGTCCAGAGCTCCGGCCCGCTTCCCCTCCTCTGCATTGGTCCTCGCGCACCTCGCGCAAGAACCGCATCGCCGACCGCCAGGTGCGCGTCCTCCATCCCACATCGGCCGCGCCGTCGCCAGAGAGCATCGAGGAGGGAGCGGAGAAGGGCCAGGGGGAAGCGACCGTCGTGGAGCAGCGTATACACTAATTCATCTGACACCGCACACTAACTTTATTTCTCAACAAGGGGCTTCCATCACCGAGTCTCCAAACAAGGGACGCCATCGCTGCGCTCCGGCGGTCGAGTCAATATGAAACTGAAGATAGTCGCAATGTCGTTTGATGCAGAGACAAATTCCAGTGTATCGATGCGCATCATCAGGATACTGAAGATGTATGGCGAGAACTTAGACTGTAGCTACGAGTTGCACGCATCAGGTCCATTTCATAGCCATCAAACACAGCTGCAGATTCTATCACACTCTGTCCGCCGTACCGCACTATGAGACCGCGCGCTGCGCGCGCGGCGGGGCTGCGACAAAGACCGTAATCCCGAACTGCACACATCGCAACCAAGTGCATTGCATATCCATCGGGCACAACTGGATGTAGACTCTGTCTGCTATGCACGAGACCACGCGCTGCGCGCGTGGCGGGGCTGAAGTTCAGAGTACTGAGAGCCCGCTCAGTCGGTAGATGGACACTGGCAGTCATTCTCAAGGCTTCATGCTTCCGACTCGAGGTCGCCGTCAAGACGGGCACATGATCGATAGAAGCGCCCGGCCAAATAGATGCAAACGAATTCACCGGATCTGCTTTATATACTAGTAATACTGGTTCTCAAGTTCCTCTTCTTGTCTTCCGAGTCTATCCGCTGAAGTCGCGTGGGGTTCAGCCGCTGCTTCACGTTCCTGTCCGTTCTCAGCGAGTCAGCGATTAACTGACCGAGAATATTGCTGCCGATGCTCACCTGCGTGCTACACGAGTCCTACTTAGCACTAACGGCACGCGCTTACACCTGTGCCACAGACGCGTTAACCACATCACGTGATCGAGACCATTTGACGGAAATGTATGCGAAACTGGTCGTTATGCAGCTCTTTGTCATGAAAGGCGTTGATGTTGAGGTACTACCGGGTTTTTCTACTCAAAGAGTGCAGTATGTAGTGTGCAAGACGTTGTCAGGGGTCGGTAGCACCTCAGCAGGACGCTTATGTCATCATGTGGCTGGTGGGCGCTCTGTCGGTCAGTGCTCTGGCCCACCTCTGGGAGGCTCTGGGCGATGTAATGTACGCGACGTACTAAGTAGTGGGCATTGCATAGGCTCGCAATTGGGGGCTAGTATGATGATCAGCTGGTAATCAGATATTTGTGTGGTTTGGGCGGTCTGAGACAGCGAGTGCGGCACGATTGCGCCAGTGAGCTCACAACTTGGTGGGTCGGGCCGAGGATGACGCCTGAGGGGGTACCGGATATATAAAGGATCGATTTTCGACGTACATACCTCACGAAGTCGTCGTTTGGGCATTGTTCGGTACATGCTGTTTGCTGAGCATAAACGCCGATGCGATCGTCCACGAAACATCGTGCTGCCAACGTGCAACTTTATGTTGCCCCTCCCTCCGAGACATCGTGTAGTTTGAGGTCGTCTCAAATCCGGCTCAAATCCACTTACTTGAGATGGGTTTGACATAATGGCTGAAGGACAAGCCGGGCCTGGACGCCACAGACGCGAGGTGGCTTGAGACGGGACATACCATTTGGGGAAAGATTGATGGGGCTCTTGCACAACAAGCACAAGCAATGCCGTCCGTACTCAACGCGCCGTCGCTCAGTCGCGTCCCAGCACATCTCTTTCTCTGGCTCATACCTCTCGTCTTCGTCTCTGCTATGTTCTCTCAGCTGGCCCAGCGCATAGCCCACCGCACGATCCGCGCCACGGTCACGCGCCACGGTAGCGCAGGATCTATCTCCGTGACGCGCCTGCAGGTCCCGACGCATTCGTTCATATCGTCCTCGTCTTCGCTCTTGGCCGCCGAGTCGTCCGAACGTAAAGCGGAACCTGTGAAACAAAGGAGAGAACCCAAGGCAGCCGCAAAGCCGTCAAAGCCGAAGAAAAGCATGGACCGCCCACCCAAGAGAGCTAAGCCACCCATTGGTGCGCTCCCACGTCTTTAACTCCATTCACCCTCCCATCATGCCGTTTATGCAAACAGTCAAACCACTGACCGAGGAAGACATGCCGCCTAAACAGCCCTCCAAGCCTTACATCTTATTCTATATAGAATATTATCGGACCGAGCCGAAGGCCCCCGCTCTTGCTGCGCAGCAACAGGTGAGCAATGCTGCCGCAAAGGCGTGGAAGGCTATGGACGATGCTGGACGTCAGGTGTGTGCATCTGTCCGAACTGTCATTGCATTATTGAGTATCCTTGTCGCAGGTGTACCATGATCGCCATGCCGAGCTGCGGGTAGAGTACAGCAAACGCCTTCAGGAGTACTTCGACAAGACCGACAGGGAGACCCTCAAAAGAGTGACGCTTGAGCTGAAGGCCAGTCATCGTTCCGTTCCGAGGGACGTGAACCGTCCATTGCGGCCCGGATCCTCTTGGGTGGTGTAGGGAATGTCTGTTAATATGCCAACCGCTAGTTGCTCACGGTGTCCCTAGGTTCCTCCAGGAGCAGACCAAGACTATTGGTCCCGCACCCCCGGGCATGCGCCCTGTTGAGCTCAACAGCAAGATATTGTCAGAGAGATGGCGTGCGCTGACTCCGGAGGAGCGAGCCGTATGTCATGTTCGTCAAGCCAAAGCCCGTCATGCTGACGTCCTCCTGTGCCATAGCCTTATGACGAGCGCTTTAAGCAGCTGTCGGAAGAATACTATTCAAAGACCAACAGGTCGCCCCCGATCAGAGCGGCAACCCGGATCGCTTCCGAGTAAAGGTGACGACCGTTACTAGTTGGCTTATCAACGGGTGCGTACCTTGCTCTTCCCAGTACTCGAAACTTGAACTGAGCTCTCCTCGGTCTACAGGGCGTCCCGTGGCCTCGGTTTCGCGCTCGTCCGCCAGCTTACCTCCATGCCCAACAACCTCGTGATCTCCTCCTGCCGGAACCCGTCCTCCGCGTCGCAGCCGGCGCAGAGTTGCACGCCGTG